TGGTGGTTAACAAGAAGAGTCTGTGATTGGGCGAAAGCAGCTTTCGGATGTTTTGAGACGAATCATCTTGCCAGTTGTTTACACATTATCCCACAAAAGTACTTGATAAGGATCACAAAATTTCCCATAATCAAGTAAAACCCAGACTTTGAGATGTGGGTGCGAACAACTTACATCTTATGGGCCCAAGAGCGGCATCTTTGGCCAACTGTGTCAAATCACTTGCGGAGTAGTTTTTCGTTAACCTGAAGGAAAAAACCTGTACAATAATAATCAGCAAATGCTACATTTTACCCTAGAAGCAGTTGATGAGGTGAAACGCGACTGAAAATCGATTTATTTGAAACAGGTCTTAATTGCAGTCAAACGAGACTGTCATTGCCTAGAGGGATCGATTTGCATGAACCGGTAGGCGACGTTTACCTCGCAATCCTGACAATATCCTCGTGAGACAGCGCAGCATCTTGTTGGCCTCGGAGCAGATTAGTGAGAAGCTGAACGCGAGCCTCTTCGCTGGGCATTGGAATGAGTAGGCGTTTGGGGAAACGGCGGAGAGCAGCATCATCGAGGTCTTGTGGACGGTTGGTTGCTCCCAGGACAAGGATTCGCTCCTTACCGGAACCAACCTACAAATGCACGACCCGGATTGGGGAGAGATGAGTAAGGTGATTTTTGAAATGAGGTCCAGACTCCAGCGTACCCCATCGAGTTCGGCGAGGAACTGGGTGAGAACCCGCTGGGTGACGTGGCTGCCTGAGCTGACCCCCGCGTTGCGGGTCACCAGGAGGGCGTCGACTTCGTCGAGGAAGATTATGGACGGCTCGAGGGCGCGCGCGACCGCAAAGAGCGTCTTCACGAAGCGCTCCGACTCACCGACCCACTTCGACAGGACGCTCGCTGCGCTGATGTTCAGGAAGACGCACTTGGACTCGTTGGCGACGGCCTTCGCCTGAATTGGGACGCACAAAAAAGACACGATTGGGGTTACCAATCCAAGACACTGGCAACATGTCTTCACTAAGAAATTTCGACCACTTAACCGATGGAAATATGCAATATTTAGCGTGTCGTTCCTCTACACCTGCGCCCCGTTGGTTTTACTAGTCTGACTCACGAGTTTAGCATCACTTTGAATCCGAAATACGTCGCCGGAACGTTAGTCTTCGAGCAACAAGTGCTGAGGTTCTAGGCCACAAGAAGCCATTCAAACTAATTTGCATTAAGCCTTCACGAGAAGGCAATGAGTGGGAGAGGATTTCAAAGTGTGATCTAGGTTCTAACCGGCGGGATTATAAAATCAAATAAAAAAAACAAACGAACATCGAGTTCTTTGGAATTCGTGTAACTGAATAAATACCCAAGAATTAGTGGTGTTGAGTTGAGGTGATGAACGCAATATGAATGTAGACTACAGAATTACAAACTATCAGGGCTTTGGTTGGATCTCATTGATTTTTGTGGTTATTTGAATTACCCGCTTCAAGGAATTCGATGAGGATGATGATGATGATGGTGGTGAGTATGAAGACACACGCAAATAATTGCACTCCTTCGGTTGTAAGGAGGAACTGCTTCCACGACCTCATCGTTCCAGTGCATGGCTTTATCTGCAGAAAATAGGGGGCTGGAATTTACGCTAGAGAGACAGCAGGCTGTCAATTTCCAAATTGTGGCCGACGGTAAACAAGAAGTTGATTTACGTGAATTTTACTCCTACTGTTTAAACGCAAAACCTGCATTTTGCAGTTTTAACGGCTGCCAACCAAGCAGTCGACAAAATTGTGTACAATTTGGCATTTCGTTCCTTCCTGTCTAGATCCTGCTTGTTTTCCTAATCTGGCTCATTCGGTTGGCATCATTTCAAATTCGTAGACATCTTTGTCGCGTAGTCGAGAATATAAACAAACGACATTTCCGGTCCCTATTGATCAGCATGATCTGCCTAATCAAAATGACGCAATTTTTTAGAAGGATTGACGACAGGTGGCAAGTTGCTCGACGTCTTGGAACCAATTCCAAGATTTTACGAAATCCCATTCTGCATGTGACAGTCATGCTTGATATCTCACCGACTAGCCCCATTTAAAAAAAACTAGCAGACCTGCCTAACTGACTGTTTTCGACGCAAAATGATAGATTTCACAGCCATCACATTAAACTGGACTGAAATAAACACTTGGCCATACGGCTAGTCATCGACATTCTGTGTGGGATTATGTGCAAACAACTGGCAAGATGATTCGTCTCAAAACATCCGAAAGCTGCTTTCGCCCAATCACAGACTCTTCTTGTTAACCACCAGCTCGTCATTCTCATGAGACTGGATAGCATTGTTTGGTGCAGGCAATTGTCGCCTTGTTATCGCAAAGTGGTGCAGTCGATTTGCATTGGCACCTTGTGCGTACTCCTAATTCCACGCATTGTTGCTTGTCTGTTGAAGCCCTCAAGTCGGGGGAGATAGCCAGTGTCCCGAAGAGCTCCATTCGACCAGTGCGATTCGCCGACTTCCAAAACAGCCTCACTCGTGTGCGACCCAGCCTGACCGCCGACTCGCTCCGAGGCTACGCCGAGTGGAACAGCAAGTACGGCGACGTGCGAGGCAACCGCACTGCGGCCAGTGGCGATGCGTGGTCCACCAGGATACTTTCTCTGCGTCCCTTTTAGATGCAACTACCGCGTCATTTGACTTTTCTTTTACTACTTTTTGCCACTTTTTTTAAATATACCTCCTCATTGCCTCAGCTACCGCCGATGCGACCGCCACCACCTCCTTCTGAATAGTCGACTGTTGAACGCGCGAAGTACATCACTTAGCACACACAGAACCAAATTCCGACACCTCTGTCATTTGGGTTGGTTGAAATGTTGTCTTTTCGCGAGGACCAGGGTTCCACACAAGACCAACTGTGTCGCCATCACGCCAGTTTGAAGGGTCTCTGTGACACGGCTGTGCGGTCCACGACATTACCACACGCTGCCAACGTTGTTGCGGTTGACGGAACTCACACACACCCACAGTCATATACACACACCTACGTCGGTTCAACGAAGACACTGAAATTGAATCGAGGTGCTTGCGATTTAAAGTGGATGACACTCGCCTGGCAGGTGGTAGGATGCATTCAGCCATCTAGGGACTTATTGCATTGGCATAGGTGGCTGAGCATTCTCGTGGCAGGCCAACCGTGATGCTTGAGCAGGCAGGCACCACGCACTGACATCCACCCTGGTTGGATCTCGTGCCATAGATGGGATCTTGCATCAAGAAGAGGACATTGCGCAGAACACTCGCGCATTTCAGAGCACAGGCGTCAGACAGTAGTGCTGCGTTTCATGCCTCGAAGATGACATTCACTGCCTTGGGAGTAGACGACAATGTGGTCTTGATTTCAACGACATCTCTGGTAAATTTGATGCAGCTCACTTGAGGTCGGCGACCATCAATCATGTTGTAGATGCACGAATGTTGTCGAACAGTGACGCACACAGGTACACTGACTCAAACGCCGCCGAAGTATGTGAGAAACGAGTTTGAGTTGAGTGGTGATGTTCATCCTTCGCGCGGTCCTCAAATCTTGTTGGCATGGAGATTATCATTAGCTGAGCTACAATATGTTTGTGTGTGTGTTTCTTCCAAGAACCTTTCGGATCGTGTTCACTTCAAATGGCAGCAAATATCACAAAGAAACAGCCACTCCGCGTGCGCAGGGAAATAAAAAGCGCAGCTATCAACACGACGAGGAGCATTTGACGCCGGTTGATACACATTTGGATCGCACATGATTTTCACAAAATGTACCACTAAAACGGTTTGTTCCGGGCTTTGCACGTGCCAAACACCAGACAAGTTGACAGTACTACCCCATTGGTGGACAAGGGTTCCGCGGACATTTTGAGCTTGTCCAAAATCTACTCCGATTGGATAGCATCGCAGTTTTTTGAATAGCCTAATTTGGAACGACAGTGGCAACAATCCACCAGTGCAAACTTGTCGTATTTTGAAGTTGGCATCGTGAACGCTATGACGAAATCAGGACTACCAAGTACCACAAGTGTGCCAAAAGTGTGAAAGAAAGTAAGTCACCTTTAAACGCCAAAACAGGAGTTATCGAGAGTAATTCTGAAAATCTCAGCAAATGTTAACCTTGATTGGCGGGTGATGTTTACATTCCCTTACTAGCAAAATACGTTAGCAGCGTGTTATGAAAGGTTAACTTGAGACAATACCAAAACTTCATGGCGAAAACAAGCTTGCTAACAGGGGCACACAATGTGCTACCTAAGGAGGGAACCATTCAATCAACAACAATATTTTAACCAATCAGAGGGCTCAAACAAAGATGGCCGACGCTGGCCCAGTAGGTAAAGGTATTTCGTTTAAGATTTGCTACATACTTAACACAAGTTGCATCTATGATTACATACGCCAATGAGGATTAATTAAGATTAACACATTAAAGGCAACGTGTTTTTTACCTAAATCAATATTTATCGATTTCTTTCAAATCGCTGGACCAATCAACGAGCTTAATCAAAATAGTAAATAAAGTCATTTCATCGAAGATTAACTATGTACTGAACACAAGGTGCATCTACAGCTACACAAACCACTGGAGACTGATTTTGATCAACAATTTTTAGCCAACAGTTCGTATTTAAAAAAAACCAATGATTATCGATTTCCGTTAAATTTGTTGAGCGTTTTGCATTGAAATACACAAAAACGTCGACTAATTTGGACCAATGAACGGCCTTAAACAAAGACAGACCATATTAGCTCAGTTAGTGGATATCTCTTTTGGCATTAGCTACGTACATAACACAAGTTGCACTTGAGATAAAATACCACTGCGAATTGGCTTTAATTACTACCTTATGGCAGACAGGGTTTGTTCAAAAAATCAATAATTATCGACGTTTTTCGGAGTTGCGGAGTTTGGCATTAAATTTCAAAAAATCTCTGAACAATTTGGACCAATCAAATAATTTCAAAAAAACGGACGACAATACCTCAGTTAATGTAGATATTCCATCAGCGATTAGGCTACGCGCTCAACATCAACATTATCTACGATTACACACGACACTGTGGATTGATTTGATAGCCACTTTATTACCAAAAAGGCTTGTTCAAAAAAATCAATAATTATCGACGTTTTGTAGATTTGTGGCGGTTTGCATTGAAATACGAATAAACAACAATTTGGACCAATCAACAGGCTTAAACAAAAATGGACGACAATACCTCAGTCAGTGAAGGTATTATATCGAAGATTAGCTACACACTTAATACAAATAAACAACAATTTGGACCAATCAACAGGCTTAAACAAAAATAGACGACAATACCTCAGTCAGCGAAGGTATTATATCGAAGATTAGCTACGCACTTAATACAAATGTCATCAACTTCTAGAATACTGTGGGATAACTTTTCATCATCACATTATAGCCGACAGGTTAGTTTTTAGAAATCTTGTGGATGAGAGAGTCATTTCACACGGTAAAGGTGCCAATCAAGGCGAAACTTACAAGCAACGTTTTGCCATTTCCCGGTGGACCGAACAGCAGGATTCCACGAACAGGCTCCCGAAGTCCAGTGAATAATTCCGGACGAAGGGCAGGATAAATAACAGTCTGCTTCAACTGCTCCTTCGCCTCTTCGTTGCCAGCTAAATGCAAAACGACGCCACACGGTGGGTGTGAAAATGCCAGTGTCTTTTGTGCACAATATGTCGGGGAAAACCGAAGACACTAGCTTAAGTATCACCTTTCTGATTAAAAAAATGTATCATGACTCACCAATATTGTCGAAAGTGATATCTGAGGGATCCGTCAAGACGTCGTCAAAAACCCGAGAAAGAATAGCTTTATCAAATTTTTTGAGCTTGCTCATCGCAGCAGACTAAAATAACAACTTGATTTTTAAAAAAAAGGACCTCACTTTTATATCTTCTTTCGACGGTAGGCTGTGAGCCTTGTTTGTAGTCGGTTTTTGGGTTTGTTGTTTGGGCGCATCATGATTGTTGGGTAAATTTGCTAAAAAAATAATAAAATGACTACTTATATAATTAAGTAGAATGTGTGTATTGTTACACCCAGGTACGCGTGATTAGCAGAACTGCGAGCTCGATAACGTGGGTGACTTGATAGAAATTGAACATTCCTCGTTTGAAACTAATCAGAAGCTGTGTTAATATGTTCAAAGAAAAAAATTGTAAACCGCCGTGCCGAGAGAAATTGAAGAGGAGTTTCTCACATAGCTTTTCTTTTGACTTTTGGTGTAGAAAGAGCATAAATGTAGAGCCAAAAGCATTAGAAAAGTGGACGTACACAAAAACACAAGCCGATCCGACCCTAACCGTCGATATTTTATCATCTTCTTCCTAACAGAAACAACAGCTGCGTCGGTGGCTAAAAATAGACAACTGATTTAAAAAATAAAATTCGCCAAACCGTTCTTGACTGATGGCCTAGACAGCGCGTTTTCGAGTAACTTAATGCCATCGCGATAGAATGCGATGGCGTCTTTCGGATCACCTGTGAGTCTAATAAATTAGGAAAAAATGACAGCTACCTCCGTTTTCTTCTACCTCAACGCCTGATTCAATATACTTGCAGGCTGCTTTGAAATCTGTTTTGGCTAGCTGCAGAACGGAGCATGACGTGGCCATTCCTAGATCAATAAGGCAGTACAAGTCAGAAGACCATAACGTGTAGCGACTAATTGTTTCTATCGCTCTACACATAGGGTAGGTTTTCTAATGTACTGCATTGTGTGATGACGTTATATCTCTATTTCTGAAACCATCGAAACCAAAATGCAACAACCACACATTAATATTTTTATTCCAGATAACTAAATTAAAAATATCTAAGACAAGTAAAAACGTCCTACTTATGGTAGACCGAACCAAATGAGATGCAAGGAAACATCAATATTTAGGTAAAATTGGCGTTCTTGACGCGCTTGCTTCGTTACCAGGGCTTTCCTAATTAATTTAAGTCGATGAACATTAAAAGGCCTGGGCAGGTAACACAAAAACATTATTTGAATTTATTCCTTATTGTGTACACACGCAAAGTGTAAGAATCACGCTCATGTTAAGCAGCAAGTTCTTCACAAAAACAGACGAAAAATGCATGAATGCACTGTTCAAATCCGGAAATACAACAGTAATCTGCGACGCCAAAGAATTTTTTTTAGAAATGGAACATGGAAGGATGTCAGGGAACAGGCCTCAAGTTTGGGCTACTTGCGAAACCCCCAGATAAAATACGTTCATAAAAACGACATGTCTGGAAAATGGGTCAATCGTAAAGAGTGATTGAAACAGGTTAGTAGATATTCTTGTTGGAGCAGAGTCCTGTCTGTAATCGGCGAAGCCAGGTCAGGGCTAGTTAAATTAACATTACCATTTAGGGGGCGCAACATCAGAACAAAGTCATGAATTCGGCTCTGAGTAGATAAAAGTACTATTTACAGGCAGAATTAGCGTAATTCAACTAAGCATAAGATATCAAAACATGAGGACTAGACTTCATATTACTCAAGCACCAAACTTCCAGGACCGGATGGTATTTCAGAAATTACAATTAAATAGGAGGCAGCTCCTTAAGTTTTAATAAACGCAGTCAGTGTTATAAATAAACTAGTGGAGCAAGGACAGAAGTTAAAAAGGTAAACAATTACTCAAGTTATCAAATAGATCTTCACAATAAAAAACCGAACTAATAGGTTTACAGGTTAAGAAAGACAAGGCTATACAGTTATCGACCTTGGTCTTCCACCACAAATCGATTGTGGAGGCAGACGATTCAGCAAAGTAGTAAATAACGCTTTCTGACATTCTTGTCGTGTTTTATATTAGTCTGGTAGTGATTTGCTTTGTCATGTGAGGGTGTTTGGAAGACTAAGAAATTGTCTTCATATTTTGCACAGCAACTTGTTTCAATGACATGCATCAACAACTGCTTAAAATGTGCATAAATTAGGTCACAAATAGACATTTATCTTAGGACTTATGTAAAACTACATTATCATTTTAAAATTAAACAATGTGGGTACGTGTTTGGAATTATATGAAAAATTGCAAAGTAGTTCTAATCTTTGATCCAAATGAGTGAGCCATGGTCTTATTTCCAATTTTTAGCAGCAAAATCGTAAACGGCCTTTTACTGTTTCTTAAATGTGTACATGGCAAATGATTTCAAAAATTAAGGAAAAGAAATGAAGTGAATCCGAAATGTTACAAATACCTGAGAAGGGACATGGATTTATGCAACTTGAAGAATTATGGAGGGAAGAATATGAATTTGGCTGATACTTTTAAGACTGTTAGGTGTTTTACTTGTTTTATCTTATGAATGTTACGCATGATGTGTAATGAAGCATAACACTCATTCCTATTCCCTGTTTTTGATTAGGATCCAAAAGTGCTTTATCCAAGCCGAATACACTCTATCATTTATGTTTATAAAAGGAGTAAGCACTTCTCGGATTGTTAGCAAGGTCTGTAATTTAACATATATTAAGAAATATATTTTTAAATTTTAAAATACCCTGCAATTATTACATGGCCATGGGGAACGTCTAAACTGTTTTTCTATCCAAAAGTCATTTTTCAGAACCCGTGTAGACAAAATGTTATGGAGGCAGCAGTTTTGCATGACAAATGGTGTTAGAGTTACCCTCTTATGAGTCTGGGTGAGGTATCATTGACAAATTGTAACAAAGTAAATGGCTCTGAGGTCATCACGAAGCAACTGGTGTCCAAATGTAATTAAAGTTAGCTCTGGGGAGGTTGTATTTATGCTGGTAGAACATAGAATACCACCAAAAATTTAGCTTTTTTGCTCACAATGTTGTGTTTACCAGTCGACAGCAGTAATGGCCTTGAGCTATGACTAATTGCAGGGGGCTCGTGTTTAGTTTGATAGGAGGTGGATTTTATCATTTCAAAATATTTAGTTGAATTTGTTTTTTAATAATACAGGTGTGAATATATTAGCACTAGTGGTTGCCAAATTGGAGGCTTAAATTTAGGATTCGTAACTTAGGTCTATGCGTTTTAGTGACATCGATTTAGTGAACTGGACGGAATGAAGACGTGACAAGTCAAAGTATCCTGCTCAGTCACAGTGTACTTCATAGACACGTCTGTCGGTAATAATTGTAAAAACAATCTATTATTCTTGCACTACGAATTTTTATAAATTTTGTATGATGCGGCCCACTTGGTTAGGGATTTGAGTGCAAATGCAGAACAAAAGCTTTGTTGTGGGCCCCAGCATGTGGTCCTGAACCCCGCCGGGGCCACTGAATTAACCCTGACCCGATTCCGATTGCCTGATGCCCACGATGAAGAAGAAGACCGGAGAGGACGGAACAAAACCGTTTACTTCAGAGCTCAACCAGAATTGGTGTCGTTGTGTCGGGTTCACGCGTGTATATTTATACCTCGGATGCGTGAGTCATAGATGCGCTAACATCGAGATCTAGGTGTGAGGTTAATCTAAGATACATATACGTGAGAATGAAGAGGGAGTTGAGGCTTTGCGCGGCTGTCGCCATTCTGCGAGAAGGGGAGCCTTTTGTCGGAGGCGAAGCGATCGGATTAAGATGTTGAATAAACACCACTCACAACAGCTTCTAATTAACTAGTTGAATGCATAAACGTATGTGCCACATACGACCATTGTTTGAGTGTCGTGTTTCAACGTACTTAGTTAATTGCTGTTGAAATACTGTTTTTAACTTGGGACCAGCCTAAAACCTTTGAAGGCATAATTTAGAGAAGACTTCAAAGAACCATTGCCAATTGATTAGCCTGCACACAAAATGGGATAAAATTTCCCGCATTGAAAATGTCGAGGTAGTCGAACATTATAATCTAACACCGGTACCTGAGACGACTATTTAGGCTTGCCAATGGTAGGTAAAATGTCAGAGTAATGGTTTGTTCTTTAATTAGCACACCAATAACGACGCACCATATAAAGGCTGTTTGCGTGAACAGGAGAACCCGATCCTATGTTAACCCTCTAGGCATGATGTAGAATCTCTGAGCCCTTGTACTAATAGTGGCACACCAGACAAGGCCTCATTAACCAATCATAAGCCAAGCGCCGTCCATCCGAGTTCTCCACGCTGGCTGCGCCGCGTAATACATACCACCACTACTCTTTCCTCCATGTGTCGGGTTAGCTGCTAATCTTCTCTGTAGGCTTTCTCTGCGTCAGCCACGTCGTGACATGTACCTGCTACAAATGATATCGGAACCTAATTCAAAAACATGACAAGGACTGAAGGCACCCACGAATGCCGACACAGATTTCTCACACGCTAGATGTCGATGGTCAACTTGGAAGTTTCACGAATTGAACGCAACCATGCTTGTAAACACGAAATGGAACTGAGCGAAAATTAAATCACTACCGCCCTTCTGGTATTCTTTACCTTGATTTAGTAAATTATGAGGTCACGTTGGAGGCAGATTATCAAGTAATTAACCCAAAAAGGAGCGCCGGCGTCTGCGGAAAGCCCTTGCTGTGAACAATAAACAAGCACCGCTAATATATGTAATATATTAGTTATGCAACCACTTTAAAACGAATGAAACGGGCCGTGTTGTATTTATATACAGAAATGGTAAAAAGTCCACGACAGCTAGACCAAATCGGAAACATTCATGGGCATTTCATCGATCTGAGTAGAGTAGTATTGTTCAATGTCTCGCAGGATGCGGATATCTTCGTCTTTCACGAAATTGATGGCGACGCCTTTACGTCCGAAACGGCCTGATCTACCAATCCGGTGAATATACAATTCACGATTGTTTGGCAAGTCGTAGTTAATCACCATAGAGACCTGTTGCACATCGATACCTCGGGCCAACAAGTCAGTGGTAATTAAAACACGGCTAAAAGAGTAAACGCAGTAGTTGTGATCTTTATAAACTTTAAAATGGACACATTAATGATGAATTCGAATGCTAGTTTGTCATCATGTGATTGCTCAGAAAGCAATTTATGGCGGATCAAAAAGTAAACACGGAGTACTAGTGAACGACTCAGACACAATTTCAAGACAACTTCATTGTTTGACGCAGCCTAAACGATAAGTTTTTTACTCAACAACACATCATAAGAACGTAAACACATGCTAGAAGATGTCTACGGCAGAATTTGGAAGTTTGATATATGAAAAATACTTTTGGTAAGAGGATAAACGACACTACTACAAACGCCAACAAGGTGTTTTGAATCTGTCAATTATACTTTAGTATGTGAGGCACAAGGAATCATAAAAACTGCTCCACATCAGAGACATAAGTGCAAGTTAGGCTACCACAACCAGAGATATTGGAACTAACACAGTGGCGTCGGTTAACAAGGCAGACACCAACTAACCTTTCACCACTTCGGAAGTTTTTCATAATTTCTTCACGTTCTTTTTGAACCATGTCGCCGTGCACGACAGTAACTGTGAAATTATTCTTCCGCATCTTTTCGGCTAACCACTCAGCCTTGCGCCGTGTGTTGCAGAAGATGACTGACTGCGTAACAGTTAACGTGTCGTAGAGATCACATAGGGTGTCAAACTTCCACTCCTCACGTTCGACGGCCACGAAGAATTGCTTGATCCCTTCTAGTGTCAATTCATCACTGAAAAAGAAGAAAGTCTCGGGATATAAACACGAAATTTATGGAAGCGTTGGTAGATAAACGACCTTACACACAAAATAGGCTGCCTATAACGTACGTTGCGTACAGCTTACTATGCATAGCATTAAATCTAAAATCTAAGTCGCATACGAGACGTGAAGTAATCAAGGGAAACAGCCTTTAAACGTGATCTAATATTTGGGAGCGTGACTGAGTCAAATTGACGAACATTACTAGAGCCAGTGTTGATAAAAGCGCCATACACAATAGGGGGGATTTACAGCAGCAAATGACAGTCATGAAGGAAAACTCAAAAAGTCACAAATGTACCTAACACACCAGCCACGATAATTATCAAATACACTCCAACGTAAACTGCTGAGAAAACACAGAACTTACCGCTTGACAAGAATTCTAACAGGGTCGGTCATAAATTTAGACGTCATTTCCAATATGTCGTGTGGCATCGTAGCAGAAAGCAAGACAACCTGAGTACCCGGAGGAAGGTAACGGTAGATGTCGTATATCTGTTCCTTGAAACCCTTATCCAACATCTCGTCAGCTTCGTCCAAAATGAGTAGCTTTATTGTGCGCGTTCGTAAATTGCGACGCTTTATCATATCTGAGCATAAATAAAGAAGGTTTAGTAAACCGACACCAATATTTGTTTGGAATAATTCCTGCTTAACTTCAGATTAGTCTTGAAGGTGTATACTTGCAAATCGTACAGGAAAGCAATAACAAATCGACAAAAGAAAGGTATGGATAAAAAATAATGAAAAGTCCCATGTTTTACTTCTAAGTTAACGCTTAGATGTGATGGAACGAATTAAACAGTCAGTTTTACGGTTCAATAGCCTAAGTTCATAAGAAACATAATATTTACTTGAAGTATAGCTTTCACTCACCGAACACTCTGCCTGGTGTTCCTGAGACGATGTGTTGCCCATAATCCAACTTTTTGATGTCCTCCCCCACGTTCGTACCGCCATAACATGAATGGCATTGAACGTTCATGAAATCACCGAGGACCAAAATAACCTTCTGAATTTGCAGGGCCAATTCCCGCGTGGGTGAAAGAATAAGGACTTGGGTGTCACGAAGCTGGGTATCTAACACCTGCAAAGAAGCAATTGCCAGGGTTGCTGTTTTTCCCGTCCCTGATTGGGCCCTTAATAGGACGAGAGGTTAAAGAGAAACCAAAGCTTACTGTGCAATAACGTCACGGCCGACAATAATTTGTTTGATAGCACGTTGCTGAATTGCGGACGGCCGCTCGAAACCTACGGGCTATAACATTAATATAAAAATGTACCATAGGCATAAACACCCCTTAACAAGTCTTCTTTAAGATTCATGGAATCAAATGTGGGAATAACATCAACATCCTCAGATGTTTCAAATTCCAGATTCTTGAAATCATCAACTGCCGTATTTCGCCTTGATTTCGATTCAGCCATACCTAAAAAACAACTCCGTTAGGATAGCGCAAAACCTTCACACACGAAAAAAACAAACAAGAACGCTTAAAAAGGATTTATTATGCTGCTACTAACTACATGAATGATGCTTAGTATCTCCAAGGGTCGGCACCTTCCGGGATTTTCCGGTGGCGATAGAGAGCACTGCGACCCTTATATGTGTCAAGAGCAAACATTTTCGAGTTATACACACAATAAAAAACCAGTCCAGCGCCTGCTATCCCAGTCAAAGCCGATAAGACGATACTTTTTCCGTTGATCCGAAACCAATTAGGGACAGCCATTTTTAATCGCTTTTTCAGCCTGAATGAAAATGCATTTTTATTTGGCAACGTGGTGTACCTTCTCCTGTTTCGTTTTGTTGTAGTCCAAGTAGATAATGTAACCCAAAGTAATTGGCACTACTACGCTTAACGTATTCCTCCGAATAGCCGTGAACAATCGACCAACCCGACTTAAGTTGGACATTGTGGTAGTTCGAGCGCCCATACACACCTAAGTTTACTTAAACAAAAATATTGCTTTAAATTTTTTAACATAACATGTAATCAGTACAGATTAATTTCTTGTCGAATACCCTAAAACTCTTACTAACAAGCTTTTTTTATTTTGTGATGTCGCAAAAGTGGCTTAAAAACAGTGACATCAAAATTCGACCAATACTTGTTAACGAGTCATTGAAAGTAAAAACTGACTTTACTACTGTGTATAATCCAGTACTGCAGTTATGCAGGTATTGAAAATGCATTAATAGTAATTTTAAAGAAAAAAATAAAAAGATTTTGCTAGCTCATCTGAGTTTTTCTTTTAAAAATTGTTGCTCAACCAGTGCTTAATAATTGTATCAGCTGTTTTGAATCTGATAAAGTTGTAATACAGAAGCCAAGGCAAATCATCATGCCTTATTCGCCTGTTTCCAAGAAACATACCTTATTTTATGCCGATTTCCTACTGTTCTTTCAAACAAATTAAAATAAATATACGATGATTTTACATATATTATCGCTCTGTATAACTGGTAGTGCCAGGTGCATTCTCAAATTTTAAATTGCGTTTATGTGCACTACTGCTTACTTTACAGAACCAGCAACGTAAATGTTTGTTTGCTATCTCAATGATTCGTTCACAAGGATTTATCCCACAGCAGCTGTAATTCGGGAGTATAGGTGACTACAGTCACTATTTTTGGTTACAGACATGGGCTTCGCATCTAATCATATTAAGTGTATTAAATCGGAGGATTAGTGATGCATACGTAGGCAATTTACATCGTAATTAGTAAAATAATAAACACCACAACCGATGTTCGACCATTCAAATTCGAATAAGTATGAAAAAGATCAAAATCACATGCTGATATTCAAGAGCAAATTAAACATATAATGGAAATCAATTAATCCAACCTACGTAAGGGAATATACGGCAAACCCCGGAACTTCGCTAACACTTTGTGACAACATAGGAGGTTAAAGAGGAATATTTACGAATTTATTTACAACCAAAGGCACAACCTGCCCTCGAGGCCAATTCATAGTATAGACAATCGGGAATGCCATAGACAAAATACTCCAGAGAAGAGGATTAATAATGTTTTTTTCATCAAAATAGAATGCTATTTAGGTATTTCGTTTGTCCAACTCAAATAGAACAAGGCCTGGGTCCAAATCGCACAGCGTCCAGAGAGAACATGCAGCAGCCTATAATGGTACAAAAATTAATTTTCCAACAACCGAACCTTTTTAGTGAGGACTGATATTATATCTGCCTAGGGCTTCAAAAACCGTTCAGCAAGATGTTTAGTTAAAAAATTAGTAAGAGATTTCTGGAAAAAAAAACTCGCCTCTCGCAAAGTTGACGGCTGGTTCTTTTCAAGATACGTACACAAAAGTTCAACAATTGGCTTCAGTGTAACCGAAAAAAGCTCCAACTAAAAGTCAAAAGTGTGCGCTGAAAGTCCTTAATCCAAACAAAATCCACCAGTTAATATGTCTATGAATATACAGGTTTAAGGCAAAACACCCCTTTTAAGCAGACTGATGCAATACGTGACAGCAACTACCTGAACACAGATAGGACCGAATGCGTAAAGAAGCCTCCTTTGAACTCGGCAGGCCGTAAGACACTCAAATGATGATGGCGCTCCAGCACTGTGCAAAAAACAAACAAAATTCGACTTTACACTCACGAACAAAAACAAGAAGTCGAAAATTACTTGCGAAAATTACACCAACCAGAAATCTGGCTGAGTTGGTGTTGCTAATTAAACGGTGTCATACCTAACAGAAGCTCCCCTTTCCAGAAAAGTGACCAGGGCACCAATGAGATCGGAGGTCGCGCGAGAACGTATGAATGTCCCCGAGACCGAGGCTAGTACGGAGAACAACTCGAAGGCCTATTGGTGAATGGGAGAAAAGAAACCAACCATGATTATCACGATGGTTATTGGCACCGGCTTCCATGCGGTGCGATTGGTTACCTTCTCGACCACAGCAGGGTGACGATCACGCATCCGCGCTATCAACGGAGACCAGATTTTGTGCACCAATGGCAGAAGCAGATCTGGTGAGAGAGGGAAAAAATTAGGATGAAATCGACCAGCGTACCTTCGTGATCACGCAGAAGACCGCAGCCATCGCAAAGCAAGGACATCGACGACACCCTGAGACGAGGGCTCTCGCATGACATCAAGTGAATGGAGCGAAGCATGATCTACAGTGAAAGAGACACTTGCTGGACCAAAGTCACGACTTGCAAGCCTTGCGCATCGAGGTATTAGGCACACAGCATGACTTACCTCCTCAACCAACCTTATCTGATCGGGATAGACTTTGGGCTTCTCGCCGTTTTCGTCTTCTTTCTGTGTCGGCTCCTCCTCTGTGGTCGGAGGGTGTTCGGGGGTAGTTAAAGAATCGGCGTAAGCGTATTTGTGTTGCCTGCGAGTTGAAGCTACCAGTGACAGTGTGTTGGCCAGGGCTTTGTTAATGCAAGCGGTCAAAACTGTCTAAAAAGTACACATTTTTTTCCTCGAGGTAACAATAACCCGTCGGTGGTCGACAACATTGGAAGTAGCGATCATTTGAGTGAAAAAAAGGCCCTATCACGGTGGCTATGATACAAAGTGCTTCAGCGGTTTCAGGGGAGTCAAATAAGTTTTAATTGCGGGGGCCAATGAGATTTCAAGTCTATTTTGATTGGCTGAAATGCGAGTTTAGAAAACCTACCTATTTTTCCCACACGAATTTCTGCCTAGGCTCTCTTTAAAATGAAACAGACGTGTTTAAAACCTGTACAGAAACTCAGGATGGCAATTTTGTGAAAGTGGGTTAACATTCACAAAAATGACTGCTTCTAGTTAAACGACTAGCTGTCTCAGAGATTTCAAACACAAACCTATCTCTCACAAAGCCGTTTTTTTAGTGAAACAAGAAGTCAGACACGCAGTTATGCTTACAACCGACATGCGTGCAACTAAAGAGCTCCAAAAACAGGTGAAATTTTTGAATGAAGACAACGGAGACAACAAAATACGACACCTTCGAAGAGGTCCACACCCAGACAGCTCACCTTGCTAGTGCGACGATTGAGGAGCAACTCGAGGTAGGAGGATTTCGGTTGAGTGTTTGTTGACTCAGCCGGGAGGGCAGGAGTTTGTGCGCAGACAGGTGAGGGCGCGTCATCGTCTCTAGTCAGTCGAAAGCACGTGCCCATAATTTTGCGGAGAACAGGCAAGAACGCGGCCGCAGCAAAGTCGTAAGTGAGGTCCATGCACATGAGCATCTAGGGTGGAGAAAAACGTGAGACCAGGCGCGTGAAGTCGACAACAACAGTGCTCTTTGAGTTGGCTAGGGTACTTCGTCGTTGAAGCAGGGGTTAGTTTTGATTGGTTAGACATCAACAGATGCGATGCCAAGAAGAGTTCAGTTATCGAAGTTGGGCGTTTCAAGGCCCTGTAATGCCAAGTCAATCACACCAACGACCCACATCACCACGTACCTGCATTACAAGCGGCCGAATTCGCTGAATAGCCTCGTGATTTGCGTGTTCTACGAAATACGACAGCGCGCTACATGCAGCCTCCAATTTCGAGGCGGCTTCCCGCGGCATCGGCGTCACGTTGTCTTGAGGCGCGGCCAAAAGAACTGCGTGGAAGTCCAGCGTTAGTGAGGACAGAACGGGTCCGGATGCGGCGGATATAAAATCCTCAAATCTATAACGAAACCGATGAAGAAGAAGGAGCGGCTTTTGAGGCAATCTGATTGAGGGAGCACTACTGCAACTACCTGCCATAACCGCAATTGCTTGCAATGCGATTCAACGAGGTCTGCGCTGTGGACGAGAGCAAATCGTCGTCGGTGGCAAGGCCAAGCATCTGCAAGATGAAGGGCTGCAGCTCCTCGGGGTAAACCGAGTCACCCTCGCGTGATGGCCTCCAAACCTGCATAAATCATTTAACACAACACCGAAACACGCGTGTTTAAATAAATTTGCGCTCGCAGAATCTCAACGTACCCTTGAGGCTGTCGACAACAGTTCCATGGTGACGCATGCCTTCAGAATCTGGGATTTCCTTTCCTTTATTGTAGGAGACAATGAGGAGACATTGCTGGCGATTGGCTGCTCAACCGCGGGCCACTGTACAATTGATCGATCGCAATTGGTGTTAAACATCTGCAAGATGTTTCGCTGAAACAACTCGTCCAGAAGAGAACTACAGAACGAAATTGGACTTGTGTCACTCCTAAGCAAATGTTTACTCTAAGTCCCTTATTTTACAAGATTTTGTTTAAATTTAGACCATTGGTTGAAAGTGTCGACCGCGGCGCCAAAGTCAAATTTTGTAACGAATGGTTACGACATTGGAGGTGGCAAAGTGCGTTTCTCTTGCTTGAAAAGTATATCACAATGCTGGAGTACATCAAATCAAACATAAAACAGCTTACGACACAAGACTGACTCGTTGCGCGATTGGCTGGTCATCTAAATACGAAAAAATGAGTTCAGAAATGCTTTAAAATCTCCACACCTTGGCACCAGGTCGTAATGGGCTTACCGGGAAAAGAGAGGCCTAAGATGCAAGCGGAGAGCAACTGAAGGGATGGTACTTCAAGATCCACATCGGAATTCAGCAATTTTAATAGCGTCTGACTGGCCACATCGAAATTCAGGTCTAATTGGCGCAGAATATGCCGAAAAAAGTTACCACTTACGTGAGCAGGCTAAAGCGCTGACAGCCTTTTCAATGCGGGACAATGTAGCCGGGTTTCGAAAATGTACAAAGTATTTCCTGAACAGTTGTGTTGGAGTGCCTAGAGCAGTGTCGGTGACAAGACGGCCTCTTACTGTAAGTGTATGCTGTTTCAGCGATCAGTGAGCTGATGTTTTCGGACACACGGAAGGCGTCGAGGTCTGGTTGCAGGTATTTACACAGCGTCCGAAAGTGCGATTCTAAGGTAGCTTCGCACTCGACAAAACGGGCGATTCCATCAGCACCTTAAATTTACGCTTAGTAAACGGAAAAGTACAATAAATTTACCCAAAAAGAGCAAAATCCCACGCATGCGATCAAGAAGGGCACCACAGAGGTTTTCGTCTAAAATATAGTGAGAAATTTAACCCTAAAACCAATGTTTACGGAAGGATGGATGGACGGACGGAAGGACGGAATCTTCAATACAATATAATCAAAATTGATTATGTATGACATTTATGAATACTATGAATATAATTACTATTGTGCAAAGAATGATGTATGTTAAGTGAAACCAGTTCGAATTAAGCACACTTACTTAAATGTGACAAGCTAGTGTCTGAAACGTTACTAACTGCAAATTAGTACACAACAAACCTGGGTACTTTCGCAAAAAACCATCGAGTTCCTTTGATGCATCCTCTAGTAAGTCAAGGGCAAGACGTTCGATGAACACTCGGCCAGGTACTCCAATACGCTCCAGTTCTGCTAATTCGGGCGGAGACAAAGTCGAAAACCGCAGAACCGAGAGCTCAGAGAGACAGTCACTAGCTTTGGCAAATGCAGAACATTGTTCGTCTACTGCAATGACGATAAGCGAACGAACAAGTTGATCCCTCAAGAGATGCGCTTCCGATATGTCATTTAGACAAGTCCAGCATTCGCGTAGGATATCGGAGGCAAATGCAGAGAGGGCACAAAAAAGGCGTTTTCGTGCCGAGACTGAATAGTCTACTGGCCCAGATAAAATCGACCAGATGCACTGGTTGATAAGTTTTCCAAGATGAGAAACACCATTGACAACTGAGGCATGATAATCCTGCAGCTGCAATCGCTCCAGTGTTTCTTTATTTAATGCTAAAAACATCTTATTTGAATAGCAACAATGCCTACACTTTATTGCCGACAAAGTCTTGTTGCCATAACACACGATAACCAACTTTGCAAGCACGGCAAGCGCATTCTGAATTCATGAATACAGGTAATAAAGGACATACAGCTTTAACTACAGAATTCCTGCCCTTTTCTCCAACAATTGCAGTAAATAAAGCTTGTGAGAAACCGGGCAAAATCTTAGAGAAACACGAAGCATTAAAAGCATGCATTTTATGGGTTTCACAACATAACGCTGTGTTTGAACATTCCAGGAGAGATTTTATGGAGGAAATGGCGCGAAGCCTAACTTCATTACTCCTCTGACTTTGCACCAGCAACAGAATGTGTGAGTACACGTGAGCCACAATGGGCATTGAATCAAAACTAAGTAACTTTTCTGGTCTATCAAGGACAATGAAATAATTTCACTGCTTACTTCAAGGAAGGATGTGAGAGTGTGTTCTCAATCACTTCGAGAAAATTTAGCCACGCTTCATCGGAAAAATCACGTTCTTCACCAATTTCAAACCGATAAACAAGCTCGCTCATATCAGTGAATATCGTAGCACAATCCATGGAAACCTTGCCAGTTTTTAAAGCTGCCGACAACTTCACGCAATTTTTTAAATAATCCTCCACGTTATGAGTACTAGAAATGTTACTAGGTCAAGCAATTTAAGCATACGAAGCATTGGCTAACAGTAAGTGCAGGCAGAGAAAGACGTCAGCAGAGCGCTTATTCAAAAGCTTGGGATCTTTGCTTATTAGTTCCCTTGAAAGACCCTCAATCATAGTCATCAATACTACACCTGATGAAGGTTTGTCCATAATGTTGCAGGATGCGCACCGTTACTCGTTACAAAAACGAGTATACTTTAACGCGACTCTATTCAAATGCAGGTCAAAATATAAGCATTTAGTCCAATGCTAACACGAGGGCAAAAACTGGTCGAAATAAACAGAAAGAAATAAAATAACAATGAAAAGAAGTGGTAAACTATATAAAATTAATATTAAATGCCATAATTTAGAACAAATACGAACTAATCCAACTTGGTTATCCAGGAGATATTAAATACTAACAATTTAAATACTTGATAATGAAACATGTCAGATGCAATGCAAAATTACACACAATTCCTAGAAAGCCGCTGTACCATCCTTCAACCTTGAAGGAAAGCCTAATCACCATGGAGTGTTAAAACAAAGACATGTTAAAATAGGACAAAGTTGCTAAATAACATTTACCAGATCCCTTGCCTATCTTACTATCTGTCGCAAATAGGGTTGTGTCGTATAAACATGTGACGTTTTAGATAGATGTTGTGTTCTTGTTTGGCAGTCCTCCTACATAGATGTCATTATGAAATAATTTCCCGCTTCCGTCGTTCATTTGGTTTGCCCATATTATTACAGTCTTAACTTGAATTATGACATCCTAGCGCTTATATATTTTAAAAAAGGTTTCTTCGAGCTAGTCTGCTTGCAATATAATTCGATGTACAACAAAGACGATTATTACGCTGCATTCGTTCAAATGCTCGATTTTGCACGCCATTTGACAATACATGCTCTCTAATAGACACTAATAACTAAAAAGAAAACTTATTTCTTTTTTCAGTTTTATTTAAAACTGATTAAAAAAGACATCTTTTCTCTATTGCCTTTTTAGGAACAAAATTAACTTTCTTACCACATATATAATAACAAACACATGACTATTGTCAAATATTTAAGGCGATTTTGGTGATTTTGTGCTGATTTCTATCTCTACTTTACAAAAAACAAAAGAATTTAACTAAAATTTGCGCACCTTGTGCTTTAATGAAGAGCTTAATTAATCTGACCCTTAATCAATCAGCCGCATTTCTTTCTTTACCCCATATCGATGTTAGAACTTGCTGATTATTATCATTAGTTTTACTGTTACTGGTTTCTATTTTTTGAAGTTTAAATTTTAAAATTACCTATATATTGAAGAAAATTAATTTTAAGGTAGCAGATTTTCAAAAATCGACCGAAAAGTACTGGAATGGAGCAACAGGTGCTGAGAAATTACCTCCCATAAAAATTAGCTCCTAAATTTTGTGACTATTGTATAAATTTAGTGTACATTTTTAAGGTTTCTCAAGCATTGCAATTTTAAGCACTCTTTTAAAAATTCACAATTTTTAAAAAAAATTAAAACGTTCAGCGTCTAACGTTTTTATAAATGAGCATATTTCTGGTCATTGACATATTAATTTTAGTTTCAGAATAAAATAAATTTGAGATCCTGCAGCTTTCTCTGATGACTACATCTTCAAGGGTTTTTAAATCAATTTTTGAATTTGAAAATTACCCTGAGAATATTGTCATGCAATCAGTTAGCGAATATTCAGATCTTTCTTTTCTATTTTTGACTTTTAGAACTCAGTATTCAGACTAACAAACATTTTCTTCATTACAGGGAACTTTTCAACTGACCCAGTATTAGGCGAAACACAAAAACTTGAATTAACAAGAGCCAGCTATTCGTTGTTCTGCTTACATTTGGAATAACGTTTAAGAATCGCATCAGATAAATATAGGGACCTTTCCAACTGCCGGTATTTCATGTAGTTGTTATATAAATTTCTACTGATTCCACATCTTAAGTGTATATAACACCAGCTTAAGTAATTGTGTTTATACACGCCGAAATAAAAAAATCCGACACAACTGATGTTAATGGCATCATCCTAAATATAACAATTTTGATTATAAGTAGATTGAACATTAAATATTTACAAAAATAGAGTCCTTACCACTACGGGGAATTTTGAATGGTATTGCAGCAAAACCAGTATGGAAAACAAATGGTTACACGGAAATAAAATTACAGAGGTTAATTTAAGAGATCGTGAAGAAAAATGCAACCACAACGATTTGCACTTGTCTACTGACTGCTGTAGAAAAAATTTTAACCAATAGGCACCCATGATGTTCTAAAGCAAGGAAGCCATTTTAAATTGTTGAATAGGGGACACAAATAGGGTCACAAAGCATGACCTGAACTTCGCCTATTCACGCTTATTTTTTTAACACCAGGATAGCGCAGCTATCGAATGAATAAATGTAGGCATTTTGCTAATCTTAAAACTAAATTCCGCATCGAGTCACTGTCTACAAAAACGCGATAATGAAAACCAACTTCATTTTTTCCGCGCACAAACATTCACACAAGTAAATAACTCGAATAATGTGACATTAGACAGCTTCAATATAACAAATATTCAAAAAAAACAGGCTTACATTTGTTGAAAACGCAAATAGCGGCAAAACTGATTAAGGGCTCGTTAGCGTCTCTGATTTTAGCCCTTGACTTTAAAAGCAGGAGTCCTAATAACTATGAAAAAGGTAGAGTTTTTTCATTCATGCTGACTTATCGTCAGGTCGGTTTAAAAATGTGAGACCTATCACAAATGGAGTCAGCCAGGCTCATATTAAAGGTTCTCCTGCAAATATTTTGTCAGCGCTCTCGAGTTTCAATGAATACCCTAATAAAAACAATTTGCAGAATTAATGATTAACGGTTTGTCTTGGTTGCCATGACACAACCAAGCAAGGTAAATTAAAACAAGGCTTACATCAATGGTCAGCCTTTTTGCAAGAACCAAAGACAAGTGGCTTGCAATATCGTTAATTGATGGGCATTTAATTCAAAATGAGTTGTTGAAGTCAACGTCACGGTGAGATTCATAGTAATCATTAAATCGGAAACGGATTATGTCTTCAAAAGACACTTCTGCTTCTTTTTATTTTAACCATCTCAGTTTAAAGCATAAATATGGGAAAAATTGACCTTTTGTAATTAAACCACTTTGTTAACTACCTTTTATCGGAAGCTATAGAACTGATGACCAGTTCAAGGAGTTGCCACAAAGGGTAGTTTCTCAGAGAGACTCATTCTCGTAAACTTTCGCAACCCTTCCCCCAGGTTAAACTACAATTCTCGCTTTAAGAAACATGTTCACGATGTAACAGAGTCGTCCTTAAAAATTCGTTCAGATTTGACGCTTTCTTGGGAAATAACTAAGTCGTTACTTAGATGTAGCAACATGCGTTACTACTCGCCAATCACCTTCACCTACAGGTGTCCTGGTTTAATGGTCACTCCGTGGACCTCACATTTCCCACCCGTTGTCGCATACAACTCCTGACCTCTGCTGATTCAGGCTACCACCAGACACGTCTGCCACTTGTGGCCAATAGCAAATTCGGACACGAATGTTGTCTGCTTGAGTAAATGGCTTCGCATTCACGTCACAGAAACTTGTGCGACGGTAAAATCTGTGTACGCTCAAGTCCACATCGGGACCTCAAGAAAGTCGTCCTTGCACTTTTCTCAAGTGTCCTTGACTGAGTCACCGGATTCCGTCCGAACTTGTGCTGGTTGACAATTACCTCCATGGAAGCCTGATTGTTTAAATTAATCGGATTTGGCGTTTTAATTGTGCGCTTATCTAACGGCGTTTTCTAAATCACATCCTCACACGTTCTCCAAATTGTTCAAAAGTGGTGATCTGCGTGTTTAAGAGGAGTATTTACTTGATATCAAGTTAAAATTATATGTGTATTAATTAATTTTTAGAGGTTCTATAGCAAAGCTTTTTAGAATTAAACAACTGAGAACAACGAACATAATCGTGTCCATTGCCTTTAATGACTGTGCACCATCTCTCAGGTAAAGTACGAAAACCTTTGCAAAATTAATTTGCAGGCCTGGAGGCACTAAAGTCATTGACAAATTGGAACTGTTTATGCACTAGGGCATGCTGCTGCTGCATTGATCGGAACAAATGGTGGTCAGATGAGGCCAAATCTGGTGAATCTGCCACGTATGGGAGAACCTCCTATCCCAAATTGAAGACGGTCTTCTGAATGTCGCTTGCAACGTGAGGTGGTTGAACGTTATCCACCAAGACGTGCTGCTGCTTCGTTGAAGGTAGTGGGATGGAAACTGGTCTGGTAAATATGCCGCGTGTAGGAGAACTTCCCATGGCAAAATGTAGACTGTCTTGTGAGTAGCACGCGAGCAAATTGTGGCGGTCGAGCATAGTCATGCAGCAGCAGCAGTATGACGTGTCTGCTTCCTTGCCAGGTAAATGACCTTTTCTGGCCAAGTGTTTCACTCAGTTTGTTCAACTGTCACCTGCAGCGTTGCGCAGTCAACGTTTGATGACCACTTTTCTAAGACCTCGAAATTAACTGCACCCTTCGTGTCTCCCCACCGGATACACAGGAGAACCTTCTTCAAGTCGACGGATGTCCTGTTTCGGCGTCGATGTACAACTGGGTTGTCTGGGATCTATCCACAACTTTGTGGCATTTTTGATTCTCGCAAAAAAGTACTTTCCATCATTCGTCACAGATTTCCACGGAAAAGCCCATCCACTGCTTGATGCCGGCAAGCAAGCAGTGAAGGTCATAGGTTGACCTAGGTTGTGTTCGCTTAACAAATGTGGGGAGACCCAATTTCCAAGCTTTGAATTTGTCCCGTTTGGTGTTAACACCCGGAAATAGGTGTTTGGGTGACTCCTAACTGAGCTGCCGCAAGCTCATGTTGCGTTTGCGCCGTCTTCAACCAGAAGAGCTTGCAGTCGCGCGCATCTTCAAACTTTCGAGGCTGCTGTCCTGGGGTGGCTTGTCGCTAAGATCGAAATCACCGCCTCCAAAACGTTTGCTGCAATAATCGCACGTTTCAGAAGATGCAACATGTGCACCAGCAACACTACAGATTGATTTCCCCGTACTTTAGAAGCGTTTGTCCCTAATTGGAATTTGTGTGAATTGCACTGCCATCGAATGTGGTGTTTATCAGTTGCCATTGTAAGTGCAGCTATTGTGACTGGTTATGTAACTTACGTAGACTTGTTGTTCAGAATTCTGATATCTTGCGTTCGATCCTATCAAGACAATTTTATATGTAATCTCAATCCCGAAGAGTAAGTTTGTAAGAAGTAAGTCACTAAAAAACTAGCACCAACTTTTGTATTCAGAGGGCTTCCACCCGTTAATGTCATCAAGAGTAAGTAAAGTTTCTGCCGAATTCTCACAACTCATCTGTTTGGACGTGGTCAGACGCCAAACTTGGTTCGGATCGTTACTAACAGGAATGCTACTTTCTCCCACTCACGAAGAAGCCCAGTGAACAAAAAAAGTCATTTTTTACGAGGCGTCGCCCTTGAAATGTTTTATTATTGATGAGTTGTAAACTTAATTGAAGTTTTTAGTGTAGCTGCAGGGACGAAATGAGCGTGTGAAAATCTCCTTTGGTGATTTATTGCTCAAAATTCACATACGCTAAGTGGATCAACATCTAACTGGGGCTCTAAATTTGCAGTTGGTCACACACGATCAGTTGGGTAGGTCTCAGTAAGAATTCTCACGACATCCGTATCTGATAAGGAGATTTTCGTGCTGCACTTTGCGTTCAGTATCGCAACGATCTGGACCTTTGTCCAATGGATTTTCACTGTCGAGTACTTGAGCGTCCAATACAACAACGCTTAAACCTTTGTCCAATTAATTTTTAGTCGAATACTTGAGCGGCCAATGCGATAACGTTTGAACCTTTGTCCAATCAATTTTCACTGTCGAGTACTTGAGTGGCCAATACGATAACGCTTGAGCCTTTGTCCAATCAATTTTTACTGTGGTGTAATTGGGTGTCACAACGTGATTGACAAATGCCCAGTGACAGATGCTAGATGATTCATTATAAGCAACTAAAATCGTATTGGTGATAAAGAACTGATTTAATGTCGATTTTCTTATCAAAATGTCACAAGACCTCCTCATTAGGCTTTTTGGAAGGAAATGCAGGTTTTTTTCCAACTGAAACCCTATTTCAATTTCTAAACCTCTTCGTGAAGGACACATGGCTTTTACTTCCACTATAACGGATACCAAAATTGTAAATATTGCATCATGGACACAAAAACCACAAACCTAAACGGCTGTCCTAATTTCTTCAGTGACAAGATCTTCCAATAGGAAATACGCATTTGGTGATCTGATTTATTAACTGCCTTAGCTACAATGCTCCAAGTTTCTCGCATACATTTGGATAGTTGGTAGCTGTTTCTGCCTAATGACTTGGATTGATCAATTAAACTGAGTAATAAAATTAGGTTTCTCTGAAAAGAAGGATGGTTTAAGAAGAGTTAGTCTGAGTATAAAACCGAGAATATGAAAGTTTGATCTAGTGTCATTGACCCAATAACCTGAGGTACTTCCTCATAACTCTTGAGGTTCAATTGAGAAGGATGATGTCACTATTTCTAAGAAAACGCTTGAGGAATGTTAAATTATCGCCTACGATACGTCGCATGTGGCGCGGGAGCAGTGGGACTACAGTCACAATAAATCAATCTGGTCTCATGAATGCAGAGTTATTTAAAATCTGGGAAGATCAAATTGACGCCTGTCAGAATCTCAGTTAATGCCTTCTGCCGCTATTCTGGCGGATAGCTAATATTGCATTCGCCAATAATAAAGAATAAGCCAACGCCTAAATATTGAGTGGGCCACCTATCTCGTGAACTTACTGTCTCAGCCAAAGACCTATTATGCACATACCATGCTCTAGGTGACCTTAGCAACATAATCAACAAATATTAAGTGTAATTAACGCAGATTTCATGCCGTCCCTATTTCTGTGACACTTAGTGCTGCCACATCATGCCACAAGATAATTCATGTGCCCCCTTTAGCTAAAACAAAGATTATTACCTTCTTAACATTCCCATAATGAAAAAAAGATCCACAATGGGCTCTAAGCCAGACCGTCGACTCCAAATTCATAGGCTGTTCAATCCCCAATGGCCAGTCGAAATCCTTGCCACGCCTACACCAAAAGATAGGACAAGCAGCTACGTCATTGGTTAAGAAATTGACCAATCAGCGAGTAAACGGAGAATTCAACGAGGAGTGGCAGCAGCACGTGCGTGTAGGCGAACGTATACGTAGAGGGCTTGATTCAAATAGCGCGGTGGGCTAGCTACAGACGGTCGTTTGTCATCAAAGGGCTTTCACTTTAGGAATTTTGCAAAACACTTTCACCTTTCATCTAAAATGGTTGAGGACCTGAAGGAAGCTTACTTCACCATCGACAAGGGCCACACAGGTTAGTTAAAACCCAATCGTGTGTTGCTTTTTCATCACAGTAATGTTATTTGTAAAATAAACGAAAACTTCAAAGTAATCAATGTTTCACAAGCTTTAACACACTTAATTAGCACTGTAGTCACTGACTCTGTCTAAGTGCGCTATGGCTTCTATTTGACAAGTCTACGAATAAGGTGTCGAGTTCAACACACAAGAAGGGGCCACCGCATATTCGTGTCCATGTCCTGATTGCGATTTGGATTCCGAGTTTTTTGAAGTCCATATTAATCAAACGATTGTTTTTCAAAAGCTTGAATTTCGGCAATTTCCTGGCTGTTTGATCTCGTGAGTTATCATGGAACACAGCAATCCTCCTGCTTTCCAACTTTCACCCCTCTCAATCGATTAATTTCCCTCCTCGCCCTAAACACCACGAACCAGTCGTTATTGCCAATTGTTTGAGGTTAGGCCCATATTTCAAGCTTCTTGTTTAGTTGAAAATCCGGATTAAACTATGACACCAGATGACAATCTACTCCTCAGGAGGAAAAAAACGCACATCTGTTAATGTTTCCGACAACTTTCTCCTGCCTTGCCATCTACTTTGAAGTACCAGGGGTTCATTTCACAACCGAAATTTAAACACGTGGTAACGATGTGGTAGCAACTTTCTCGTCAGTTGCCAAGACAAAGGCACCGCCCAAACCCGCCATGCAACAAGGCGGCGTGTTGGTACAGGCCCAGCTCACGACAACCACAATCACGCATTCTTGTGCAGGGTGTGCATTGGAATACGGCGGTGTTCCTGCCTCGTGGTTACCGCTAAGTGGTTGTTCAGCGTGAAACGTGCCTCAATTCCACAGTATTGACTCGGAAAACTCATTAGCCAGTCTAGGTGGATATGCTATCTTTACTGTCGATTGATTAATTAACATACAGACAAAGTCTTCTTGACAACGGACCCGATTTTCCCATGAATTTTAGGTGGTTTTAACTTCTGCAAAACTTACGCAATTGCCACGTTTTTAGCCGACATAGGGGTCTGTTATAAAAGCAGTAGCCTCAGTAGTCTTTAAATCGAGTTGTTCTGTTACCCCTTGCGAGCCACGTGGCAATTAAAACAACAAATTTTCGGGTGAAATCAAGCAAGCTGCACCGACCAGCAACAAGTTGTCGTTAAACATACGAGAGGTGGGCGTGTCGCGGTGTTCTGAATTTCCGTTGTCTTGACGACAATGAAGAAAAACGAGGCACACTTGGAAGATCCTCACGTGTGATGAGAATCATTCTGACACATGCACACTTTCTCTCTGATGCAAAGTATCCCCTTAAACGAGATACCTCAAATTGAACCAATCTTGTGAGTCCTCAGTTTACTCTTGCCTTCAACCCAGCACCTATCTAAACGTGACTATTTTCGTCGAAAGAGGGATTTTCCGGGTTTCCGGAACAAAATAGGCCGCAATTTCCAAGTTATTTCTGAGTTACACAAATACTCGATTGATTTGCAACAAAACTTTGGTGTTCGTGGTCTATTAAACAAGTATTATTTAGATTTTTCAAAGAAAGCAAGGAGATCATGTTTTGTTTAAATTGTATAGCTGTGAGATACCTAAGCCAGGGAGTGTGCAGTAGTCCTAGGTGCTAACGATAATATTTTAAAGCACAAACCATTCATGCAACAAGTGCCCTGGTTGCCTGCCACCTCCAGGCTTTCATATTTCATCGTTTCAAGTCCTTGGTGGTGTTCATTTCTGACTCGTTCTAGTAGGTGCACTGATTGTCCCCGTAGCTAAAATTGCAAAACTTGAAACTACAAATCATACTTTTCACCTTTCTCAACCTATGCATTAGTCATCGCGGTCAGTTCATTTAACTTTGAATTAGGCGCCATTATACTGGGAACAATTAACGTGGAACTTTATCGAAATGCCTTTTAACGACAATAATTTAAACTGATTTTAACTGTTTCCCAAGTAAGTGAAGGTCGTTGAATCACGTTACAGCACGATTAAAACAATTCGACGACATTAACTCACATTGTCTTATTTGAACATACTTGCAACATTCCTAATGCACACATTGTTCGCAGATATGTGATTTGGTGTCATCTTGCAACATGCAATTGTCGTGGAATTTTGTTGTTTAAAAAACTGAAATTGCATTCGTCTTAAATCAAAACGTAGATTTGGAAGTAGGCGGGGCTGCTTGACCACTTATGAGCAGACATGCTTTCTTAATTAGCCATCACAGCCGTTTTGTGCTTACTTTGAGAAATTCCGTGTCATAAAACGGGCCTCTACCTAAACCCTTATCGATTGGCCAATGGACCAGACGCGTCCCATAGTCACTTTCAGGCAAACAGTAGGAAGCCCTAGCGACGAAGGGTTTCTCACAAAAACCACGAAAAACATCACCAATAGTATAGTAAATCACTCGCTAATGTTTGACAAACAATCAGGTCTTAAAATGTTTACATTAAACGTGATGCATGGATGTGGCCGATGTGTTTTCCACACAAACTGCCAATAGTACCAGTTTCGCGAAAAATCGATTTTTCGATTGTTCTATAAACGAAGACTAGATCTTTTGTCAAAGTTCCAGTCAGGAAACCAAATTTTATTATTTTACTTTTAAACGAGCTGAATTTTTTCAACTTTGATATTTGTGAGAGTATGGAGTTAAAATTGATCGAAAAACAGAATCAAGGTCAAACAAGAACCAAGCAAATTTGAAAATCAAGTCGCGAAAGTGATGGTTCAAGGAAGATGCATCAATAATCCGTCAAAAGTGTTGTTATTGAACAATCAAAGCTATGTTTTTGTCTTTCAGACGTGATTACCATGGAAGCCCTTGAACAGTACCGTCAGGAGAACGACCTCAGCGAAGCTTTCATCAAAGTAAGCACACATCTCAAATTCACTCTGATTTGACATCAGATGTGATCATGAACCAATCACGTTGCAGTATCGTGTGGATAGTGTCTGTTTGAATTAATCAAATTTATATTTAATTGAATTCCCTGAAGGACGCCGACATTCACAAATTAAGCCTAAATCCATCTCTAGTCGTTGAAGAGAGAGATAAAATGAAAGCATTTTCGATGTAAAAAGTAAAAAAGAGTACCCAGATTTCCACATAAGTGTTCCACCCATTTGGTTTCTAATCACTTGCATCATTTCATCTGGGCAAACTAATATTTTAAATTTCAAGGTCAAGTTGCTAGGTCAGTTCAGATGGTCCAAAGAATTTTCAGAAATAGGTGCTTAATTCCTGGAGAAACGAGAACTGTGAACATTGGCGGTTTCTGAATAACAATCTAGAGGGTTATGCAACGTATAAAAGTTATCCTAAAAGACAAATATTACGTCAATAAAGAGAGTAAATCGAAATTGTTAAGCAGTAAACTTGGGCACTGCTAATGTTTAAGATCAAATATTGTTCCAAAGGAACCAATGTAATATAACAAAGGGTGATTGTAAAATAACATGGCCAACCTCACAAAAATGACTTTGCAAAATGTCTTCCAACCCAGCGAACTGCTCCTGTTAAATAACAGGGAGAATGTCGACGAACATGTAGGCGGCTTCATTTTTGCATCCACTTAGAATTAATTTATATTGGCTGGCAATAATTACTTCGTTCTGCAAGGTGATTGGTCGCGCTGATGTCATGGTCGTCCCTGTTCGTACATCATGATCAAGCGCGCCATTTAAGTCTCCGTGGGCCAGTGATTTGTGAAATCCATTCCAAATTATTGCATAATAGATGTAGGTAACCAGTGACCTATCATTCATGTGCGTATCTTTGCGTAGGCGTTCGTTGTGTTACAGCCCGACCATCAGGAACTTGCCACCTCGAACGAGATCTCCAGGGCACTTTCGAAGCAAGGCATCAAGGAGCCACAAAAACAGCTTTTTTATGGGGCAGTTCCCTTTGAATGACAGCTAACCTTTTACCTGCAGGCCCCAGTGAAAAGCATATACCTTGCTTTTATTTACGAGTGCGAAATGCCGATGTTTCTGCGTTTTTTCACATCAAAATAAGTTGTTTTAATTCGCATTTGGGAAATGTTTTCCAATTGGCTTACAGACACTTTCCTAACCAATAAAAGTGCACCTTTGTGACCTGTGTTGTGAGATGATTTCAGACATGCCTTACAAGGATATGCAATCTGTAGAAAGCAGAGGTATCAAATATGACGTGTTTTCTTCTCTTAACAGCAATGGAAAAAACTTTTCGATCCAGAAAACACCGGCGTAATCACGTTGGAGAGGTTCTGTGAAAAACTCGGCTTGGACTACTCGGATGTCCGCGAGGAGTAAGTTGACAGAATGTACTTTCGCAAACAAAATCACTTTATACTAAACTATGTTGACTCAAAACCTATTCATCATGAGCGCTGCTCGATCATTGGGCAAACTGAAAGTGGCGCTCTGTAAAAATTCGAATTAAAACAATGAATAAATCATGTCTGACAGGGAATGTTGGATCATTCTCATGAATTTCGTTTGCATTGCGACAACTGATTTTGGAATTAATCGACCCGGTAAAAGTGCATCATTTGGCTAGTTCTTAGAACACCCGGAATGAAATTTACTCCGGTTGCGAATTGGTCAATAGTCAATAACACGGATGACCTTGAAGTTTTCGTGGACCACCACTGGTGCCGTTTAGCGCGCGCGCAACATGAAAGCGGCCATTTGTGCAAAAACTCCCCCAGTTTATGAAAGAAATCTCAAACCGAGATTTTCTTCAATCACAATCATCCCAACAAGGAGATCCCGAAACGTATGGGGAGCATTCTCTTGCAAATACTCACACAAGCAATCTGATTGGTCGAACGCAATATATTGATTCCATTTTCTTTCGCGCACAATTTAACTTGGATTTCGCAGAAAGCGCAGAATTTCAAATATTTTTCTTTAAGCAAATGCCATGAGTAGTGTTTACTAAGCCATCAGTTGCTATCTGTGGGATTTTTTTATTTTAATTTAACATTTTATGTATACAAGGGACCACTCACCTTTCAAAAATAAATAAAGACGCTATTCGGGTTTATAATGCCAACATCCCCCATATTGTACTTAATTTTTTTTAAATTTGGGCGGCACTTAGGTAAATCAGCCAAACTTTTTGAATGTCTAAGCTGAACTTACAAATGACACTAATTTCCTTTGCCTGTCCATCTTTCCAAAGCTTTCAGCGCGTGTTCCATGAAAATTATTGATCAAATAATGTCTTTTCTAGTTGAAACTCATTTCATGTCTCACGGATCCCCTTGTTGGGCATTCAGTATCCCCAAGACTCTATTTTTCGAGTCTTTGACATTTTGTCATTTTTACTCGTGTTTACGCACACCACTTTTTATTCGTATCAGCCGCCCCCTTCCTATTGGCCTATTCATCTCTGAGGATGCGTTTACTCTGAATTCCACTCAAGGCCGCTCACGCCAGAAATAAATAGGCGGGTTTGAACGCGTACTTGGGCTTTGCCTGAGCCGGTAAAAGATTCCCCAACAGGATCATGTCCTATTTTGGGGAGGCACTGATCCATACCTGTTTTGTCCGAGGGGCTAACAAATTTGGATTCGATTATTCACTCTCGGTATTTGCACCGGTGTACCGTTAATCCGCATCACCCTTATACCGCTACTTTTCTGTCACCATTTCTTTAAGATCACTCATAGTTTTGAACGCAGATATTTCCATGAGATTAGTCTGATTTAAGAACCAATTAAAGCAAATTCAAAATTAGGCTTAAAATGCGGGAGTGAAGCAGAAGTCAATAGAATCACCGTCTGGAAGTCGTGGTGTGGCGTCGGATTAGGGCACAGACATGTTGGACAACCTGGCCTCAGCCAATCCCGTGTCTCTCTGCGATCCAATGGCATGCGGGAAAGGAAGGCAGCCAACCAGAGAAGGACATAGATGAGATGCAGTATATACTGAGCGGCGTGGCCAGCGTGGCGGACTCGGATGGAAGGCGCCTGGCGCGTGGCACTGGCTTCTGATTGGTTAATACAGCCTGTTCTGTTGTACCGGTCTTTTTCCTATTAGAGCTCGGGTATTCTACATTGGTTCTTTAAATTCTGAAAATTTTTTGACCCAAAAAATTATGGAAGCTTGCCTGAAACAAGTGTGTGTTATTTTCTGAAACCGTCATCTTCTCTTAAAGCCGCGACAAATTCGAGAACGCGGCCGCGGCCTCACAAGCTCAACCGGAAATTCTTCAAATCGCCGAAGACATGGAACCAGATAGGCAGAAGGCCATCTTCGAATTCGTTCAGCAGGCAGAGGATAACAATAAAGACAGTGAACGGGTGAGACTATGGCAACTGTTGTTTTCTGCTATCAAAAGTTGGACGTTCTAGTGCAAATGATGTTCATTTAAACAAGCCTACTAACCAGTACGATTAGTAGATAAGCGTGGCGCTAACGTTTTTATTTTAAACGGATCTAGTAACTAGTATCCATTAGTTATCGGATCCGATTGGCCGCTCAGCGCTGTCGGTGATTGGGTGGATTAGTGGACAAGTTCAATCAATTCAAAAAGTTTTTTTTGCATTTCGCTTTTCCTTCTCCTCCCCACTTGCTGTTGCTTCAACTTCCAAGAATGTCGTGAGGTGGCTGAAGGCCAAGTTGGATGAGGAATATGGTCGGCTCTGGCACGTAATTATCGTGAAGGGTCAGTACTACGCCTTCTACTCTTACGAAGCCGGTTACTCCTTCTGCTTCAAGAAGGGTCATCGCATCTACATAATCTACAAGACGCCCTCGTGCTAATGGCGCCGCGTCACTCACCACCCTTGCTAGACTGCTGCCTTGTTTGACCCTAATTCACTGGAAATGATTGTAGTGTTTGTCTGAACATGCTCTGTCTTTACGATAGACGCAGTGTTGCTTTTTGCAATTGCCGTGAACTGACCATTGCGTTATAAATGTTGCAACAACTTTCAGTCCTAATAAAAAGCTTCCGCAACCAAGACGCCAATATAGATCTAGGTTGAGATTGTCGCATGACAAGAAGGTGACAAGTTTCCTAGTTAGCGTTTCTGAAATCCCAATAGGCAAAAAGTGTTCGTCAGAAATGAAACAATTTGTTCCATTTTTGGCAGTTCTTGCGACTCTAACTCTACCCACAAGTGAATGACAAAAAAACCCATGTGCGTTGAGTCAAACCCACCAGAGGTGTCGGTTGAGAAGGCGGAAGCGCACATACGACCGAAACCGGATTGATTACTGACTGGACGGGGATATTTAATGACGTCAAGTTTTTTCCAAATTTAGGAAACTGTAAAGTGGCTTAAGTTCAAGCTGGATGAAACCTTCGGGCGGTCCTGGCATGTCTTCATAATCCACGGCAAATACTACACGTATTACTCATGCGAGGCGGGAAGCTGTCTGAGTTTCCGAAAGGGGAGCCGAATTTACATAATTTACAAGACACCCGAGTAACTCCACTTTTGTATGTCCACTTTTTTATCAACAAACATTATGCTGGGCTTGGTGTTTTTAAGTTTGCGACAAACTATCATCAGGTAAACGCCAAAATCTGGGTTGTTTAAACCATGCAAGGCATGAAAGCAGCGTTACTTCAAATGGGACAGTTTTTTAAAAAAATATGAGAAAAGGTTAAAGTCAAGACTCACGCTCAGAAGTACCCTATTTACCGACAAAACAGTTTTTTTGGTTTACAAAAACTCGACATGATTCTGCCAGCTTCTTAAAATCAGCAATTTTTCTAATAAATTTTGAATACTTTTAAGATCATAGAAAGAAGGACACTGGGTAAAATAGCTAGTTTAATTAGGACAGAGGCAAATTTAGGAAATAAATGTCTTGATCAAATTTGATATTACGCTTTCTTGTCGCAAGCCTCACGGATTTATAATACCCCCTTATTTGCGCGACAGATTACCCTAGATTATCCTCACACCTAGGTCTCGATGTTAGCGCATCTATGACTCACACATCTAAGATATAAGCATGCACGCACAAATGCCACCCACGACACAACGACGATAACTTGGTTGAACTCAGAAGTGAACGGTTGTGTCCACGTCCTCCTTGGTCTTCTTCTTCATCGCGAGTAGCAGGGAAGCGTAATTGGTACAGCTTCAACTCAGTGGACTCAAGACCATAACATTTGGTGACCGTGACGTGATAAAAGGTTCTCCAAATTCCCCAAAAGAGGAATTGATGGTTTCAGCCACAAGGAGAATGTCAGTGGCATTGATCTGATAAGAAAACCGTTTTAGAGTGACCGACAAGCATGTTGTTATAATCTCGTTTGCGCTTGTCTCTCGTTGGTCCACCGAGAAACCATTCACAAAATGGCCACTATGATTGGAAATATTTGCGGGTAATATATGGTATACTATGAAGTCAAGAAAATAATTCCTTTTGTTTAATTAAAAGATTTGGTCTTTAACACTGCCTTGATTCAAAATGTGATTAAAAATGGCGTTAACCACAAATTAATTGTTTTTATGTTAGCAGGGTAAAACTTGAAATCAAAAGCCTTTGTGAAACCCAAATATTATTTTGACCAAAACAAAAAAATATGCGACTGGCATTTGACTGAAGAAAGGCCAGTATGCTTACATCTGGTATTCGACAAAATCGAGCTTCCATTTTAGTTAGGATAGTTGCACTTTCCTCGATGTACTAAAGCTGCTAACACCTATCATGCCAATAAAGAACACAGTGACTGGAATTATGATTTGTGCCTTTACGACTGCGTGATTTACCTGAGGCCAAGCCAGCAAGTAAACAGCAGTCAGTAAAATTCAACGTCTTTTTCATTAGCCTAGTACTTATTCGCAAAACACAAATCTCTCTTGCCATCTCAAATGATGATGATGACGAAATCGATCTCAATTCCGTGACCCGAGGCACAATTATTAGTTCCAATCATTTGTTGTCCTCATTAGGAGAATAGGGTGCAAGAGTCCTTTACCTCCTTGACACCGTTTTAATAATGCAACAATTTGTGTTCCTGGAGGATCTTGTGGCACTTAATGCCATAGTGTCGAAGCATTTACAAATGAAAACTGAAGCCATTGTATGAGGTCGTATGCCCCAAAGATACAATAAAAGTAGATAGTTCAACCAATTTGCATATTTAAGGTGTGCACTTTGCCGTCGTCATAAATTAACTGTCAATGTAGGGATTATTAACGCTGACAGAGAAAGTTCGATATACAAATATAGGAACAAATTCCATGTAAAATGCTGCAGTTTGCATAAAGAATCCGAAAACCTGTAAGATTAGGGCAAGATACTGTATTCAACAAACTTTAAAATTAAAGCACAATTTTATTTGTTTTAGTCCATAGCATTAAGATTTTTCAAATTTCAAAATTTCTTCGAATTAAAGATGCTGTCAGCAATCTCTGACAACGGTATTTATATTTTTCTCGACAAATGATGGTTAGATTTATTTTGGCGTTTTGTGTGTGATCCGCGCGAAAAACGCACCTAAAAAGCCTATCATTATATTGAACAATTAAACATGTTTTACCAATTTCTTGATTTTTCACACCAATACTATTTGCTTAATATGTCTGCTATTACAGTGGTGGTCTTACATTCCAGGTTTTAGTTATTTAAATAAGCATTTTGCTAAATTTAAAAATCACAATTTCCTTACGATTGTATCTATCATTCTTCAAAAATACTAAGAGCACTTGCGCCAGACGTGGGGTAATGATTAGATCTACTTTGGTACTTTTGAAACCTAGGGACAGGAAGATTTACCTTATTCTGCACCTTGAATATCCAGCCCAAAACCTCGACCTGTAGTTCAGTTAGGAATCCGTACCATTCACTCAAGGATATAAAGTGAAGCCGGCGTTGGCCTAGGAAATAGTAGATATAAAAGGACATAGCAAACAGGACCCAAGATAAAATGCTGTAGAACTAAAGACGCTTTTCTACACCATAGGTACAAAGAAATTGGGATGCAGAAGACACGAAGAGTGCAGTAGTACCAAGGAAAACTCCACGAATAATAAAAACTATTGTTAGACCTAAAACCATTACATAGTTTATTGTTTATGCATATATGAGAACCTCGAATGACAGTTTCTCAATTAATTAGAAAATGGAAAATTAACTACAAAAATTTAATGAATTTAATCATAAAGCGACAAACAGCTTAACTTGAATGTGCATTAAATGCGATATCTACATGTACATTCGCTTTTAACAAAAAGATTAGATAAAAGTGTAGTACCAAATTAGAATTTAGCTGCAAAATTTAGGGATAAACTCAAAAAATTAATTAATAGCGCACGTAAAGGCGAATTAAGCTGCTGCACAAGATTTGTTTTTTTTCAAATATACTGCTTTAGAACCAAAGTACATTTTATATGCACTTTAATACGCTGCATTAAACTTATTCGGAACGAAGCAGTGTCGTCCTTGTCTTCAATATAAGACAGCAGTTAAGGCCCGAAAAGCTTCCATTTGTTACACTACAAAGTTAACGATTAGCTTTTTCTTATCAAAGTTAAATATTTTGTCAACATATGTTAATTACCTAAATTCCGGTGTTTTTATACCTTCCGGTTTGGTTGATGCACTGTTATGCTCATGTGTCATTCTTTTTAGTGTACAAATGCTGTAAACTGCATCAAAATGGACAATCTTATCTGTTTTACTTTCTTTAATATTTTTTATAACAATGCGCTGTCATTTTATTTTAATTAAGTGATGGCAACCATTGTGAATCTGTGTTTGTTTATTGCTACGCGGGCGCACTTATTTTGAATCACCGACGTGAATTTGTCTCCTTTTCGAGTATTGGATAATGGCGGCTAAACGAAAGACCGGGAAGGTTCAGGTTGAAGAACAGGTCTCGCTTAAAACTGCTCTTGACCCAAATGAAATAGTTTTCGGCGTTTGCCATATTTACGCTTCATTTAACGACACATTCGTCCATGTGACAGATTCTACCTGTTCCGAAACTATTGTTCGCGTCACTGGCGGAATGAAAGTTCGCGCTGACCGTGACGAATCCAGCCCATACGCTGCTATGCTTGCTGCTCAGGATGTTGCTGAGCGCTGCAAAGCTCTGGGCATCGGTGCCCTTCATGTCCGCATTCGCGCCACCGGTGGCACCAAGTAATTCTTGACATTTTCACTTACAACTTCTTTAGGGCGCGTACCCCAAGCCCAGCCGCTCAATCTGCTCTTCGTGCTCTGGCTCGTTCTGGAATGAAAATAGGAAGAGTTGAGGATGTTACGCCTATTCCAACTGATAGCACCAGAAGGAAGGGTGGACGACGTGGTCGCAGATTGTAAATGAGTTTTTAAGAAAAATTTGGAATTTCTAATTTTGACTTATATGTAAAATTCTCTGGGCGATTTTTATATACCTAGTAGTACTTACACTTAGTTTGTTGGAAAAGATTGTTTTGGGAAGTAATCTCCATTTTCTTTGGCAGTGTTAGGATCGTTTCGATTAATATCTTGTTTTTCGTTGGTTTGGATTTTTGAATCGCGGCTGCCTATGCTTCATCACGGTGATGTTTCTGATGCACAGGCCGAGATATTGGCACGCCTTATTCGGTTTGTGATGTATGGGTTGACCAGTAGTTATGACATCTTGTTAGCCACGTCCAGAGACACTTTGTGTCCTAATGAGTTGCCTATGGGCGCTTGTTGGCCAGTGATCAGATGGTGTATCTAGCCTTTTTTAACCGTTAGAAATCTGCAGTAGTGTCGTGTTTATAGTCCATTACATACTCGAAATAACGTTCACTTAGTTCCCAAATCTGGCCATTGGTCAGGCCTGTCAAGGTAGAATGCGCAACGAAGTCTCATGTGATAGGCGTAACTGGTAAGGTTGTTCAACGTGAAACAAGGTATAAATCCAGGCTGACTGCGTTGAATGGGGTCGTGCTCTTTTTGTAAAAGTACTACGTGCTTGTAGATCATGCTGGTGATGGTTGAAGGGCCCAGGCTTAGGAGTGATTCCTGCCCACGTTTACGTGACAGTCTTTAAGATTTCTCAAAATACAGGACCCAAATTTGGAAAGAGCTCTACGTGCTCTAGCAAAATTTTTAACGGTTGGGTCTCCCTGATTGCCACTACCCCAGATCTCCGAATTTAGCTCGAGCTCGTCTAGACTGCGTCTGAGACTGAGCTAAGCGGCATCATGGAATCTTTGCCGTGGATCCTAGGGGCGCCGACCAATAGTTACATAAACCGCTTCCCCTTCAAAGAATTCGGGCTGGCTAAGCAAGCTTGTCGATCATTTGTGCGCGGTGTTACGGCCTACCGGTGTACCGCTCACCGTCCATGTGACCAGCGCTCAAACAATTCTCGCTGATACTGACGTCACTGGTGCTTGGGGATTATGTAGATTTACTTAATTAAAGTCTTGTTGCTGGGCCAGTTTTGTGTCGCAGTATCTCAACTTTACAACTCTCAGGGACAGTCTCCCTTGTCACTATCTGCGAGTGTGTTGATGAACCCAAAGATGAGCACACTCGTCCTGACTGGGAGGATTAACCTCAGCTGAGACGTCCCCTACTGATCTACTATTCCAGAAGCTGTTTGAAGACCATAAGACCGTTTTTGCTTAAAGTCGACATCAGTGTTCTAAGTACCCAGCGATTCCATACATGATGAAACATTGAAAATTAGGAGCAAAAATCAGAAATGCAAATGTCAAAATTAAAAACGAAGGTGTAAATTGACAGTTAGTCCTCGATCTCGGCCACAGGAATCGTCTCCAGGAGAGATCTCATGAGTGATTTCCATGTCAATAGTCCAGTTGTTGCGAATATGAAGTCGACTTGGCCTGCAACAAAATAGCACATTTAAACCCTGATTCAAGACGTTAATTAAGTTTCTACTCGTCAAATATACCCAAACAACTAAAGCGATGGGTGGTTCCCGTTTGACCTATCATTCGCATCAACCTGCTTCTTTGGTTCGATTGGGGTCGACGACACATTCGTGCCTGTGGTAAAACCTAGACTTCAAGGAGACGCATTTTGGAAATGCAACACCGCAAACTAGCCAAGTTTTTCATTTGACAGTATGGAGCCACGAAGATTAGAGTCGTAAAGAGGCATTTTAGCTTTATATCCAGCAACGGAACACTTTAAGACCAATGCGTTACCCTCTTCGGACGCAGCGACCTTGCGGAGAGCTGCCAACTCAGAATGCGTGACACCACCGACAAAGGCAATCACAACGGTCTTGGTGGCGTTGTCGGGTTTGACAGAGACGTTTGAGGTCGTCGGTTTCATCCCACCGACAAAACCATCGGCCTTGGAAGCAGTCAGAACTTCGCCTGGGGTCTGCGTCTCGTCCAATTCAACGGCCGGCAGCAGGCTCATTACATAGCCACCGCTGCTGGTGTTAACTGCGGCTGCGTTTGATACAAGTCTAGAAGACAACAGTGTAGAGATCCAGATGCACCACAAATGCACAAAACGTGGGCATTAAGCAGTGAACTTCGTCAAAAACTCCAAAAGCCTCTAACCTGCGTCCAGCGAGAAGAGCAGTGTTCGCAGCACTGGACAAGAAGGCTCCGCCGCCGCCGCCAACACCGGACGTGGGCGCGAGCAGCGAGCGCGTCGGCCAGCCGAGAGCCATGGCTTGGACTAGGCGCACACTGATGGGCACACTGCCTCCGAAGATCTGAGCGAAGGCGCCGTCTAGCGACTGCTCCTGGTGCGGCGACTGCTGGTTCGTGCCGTCACTCGTCACTTGAAGTCGAAGGCTCCGTCGGAGACTGCTTGAGTAGGCCGTGGAGATCGCTGCGATGGTGTGTCTGACCGCTCCGTTGCCGTCATTGAAGAAGGCGGAGGTGTTGCTTGGCTGGGAGACCACTGCCAGACGAGAACTCTCTTCCAGCAGGCCGAGACGCTTCAAGTTGTCCAGGGTCATCATGTGCTCGGGCCCGTACATCTAAAAGTAGGCACGCCGCTTTATTTCTCAGGAATCAGATTCATTCCCAAGACGCAAGAATATACTACTGAAAAGACGGGTCATCAAGCAAGTTCTCATCTTTGAAAAAAGTTTGATTACGACCTGTAGAAAGGTTAAGTGACGACGTGGACCGTTTTCATTCGCCAACAAGTTCGCAACAAGGAAGGAATGGGGAACAAGCAGGGTTCTTTGCGAAAATTCGGCGGCAAGAGTGGAGCGGTAAGCATGGACAAGTCGGTTCGCCACTCTGGATTCACCAGTTGTTTTAAATATGCCTCTCACTGAGCGCCAGGTATAATAGCGACACGGATATTCCTGTCGCAATATTTGTTGTTTGGGGTAATATGTACATGTTATTGAACGCTCAGAATCGTCTTTTATTCGTTACGGAATTGACACGTCTAAGCTTAGTAAACACGTATTGTTTATACAGTTCGTCAAGTGGGTTTGGTACTAGAAATCCCAAGGTCATTTAGCTACCTTCGGTACAACCGAGGTGATATGGACGGAGGACGATGGCACAATGCCCATACCTGTGTGATTTCACGCGCATAAAACTCCAGTAAGCGCGGCTTAAGCCCGCCGCTGCAAAGTGACTGGACACAAATCAACCGAAGGACCTAAAAAACAGACCAGAGAACAAAAATTGAGGCAAAAAAAAACAAAACAAGGGTTTACTTTCGACTGACACACGCGAAGGCACCATACCTCCTCAATCGGCGCCATCTCGAGGATTCGCTTTTCGATGTAGGGATGAACTTTGTCAAGCTCGTGTCCACTCAGAAATCCTGGAGAAAAAGGAGAGAGCGTGAGAGAGGTCTTCCGTTGTACGTGAGTAATTCAAAGAGTAAATCACCTTGTTGAGTGCGAAATGAGGACATGAAGTCGTCCGAAGTAGCATAATCCTGGACGCTCTCGGCTATTGACATATCTGCAAATGACAGCGATCAATACAGGTGGAGGCAAGAGACGCTTGTGAGCAGGACTGGCAGTAGAACTTACGCACACTCGCAGAGGCATGTAGTTGTCTTAATTCCGGCAACTGACCAACCACCTGACGGAGCTTGTTTAACTCCTTTGAGGATTTCGTTTCCTTAAAGACGAAAGCGGCGCATTCTAGACTCTCTGACACCGATGAATAGATAAAACTTGATCCCTTTTTTGTACAAGAAAAGCCTTACATTTATGATGGCCGACAGTTCCTTGGTGCGTTTGCTGAGGATAGATGCAACATTTGTAAAATTCTGGTTACGAATGTCCGAGAAGAGCTGATCGACGGAATTGAAGACAACGCTCTTCGGGTTATTTTCGCTCCCCGGCAAGGGTATCTTCACACTTCCTGGGTGGACAAATAGCAAATTCACGTTATCACAAATTGAGGCAAAAGAATGAAACGCGTGAGATGCTGCAAGTGAGTTTATCCCTCAGAAATTAGAAGTGCTTCGACATCTTCAAGTTCATGGCAATGAAGCTAAGATCTCTAGCTTGCAGGACCTTCACGAAAGCGCGCACATCCCAGTTAAAGCATGAGAAACAAAACTTACCATATTTAACTGGGAAAACTTCATTAATGAGGCCCTCATAGGTAAGTTGGCTCAAACACGGGGTCAGAATGTCGACGCTGCGATCGATGATAATGAGGAGGTCAGCCTGGCCGGGGGATTCGAGGGGCTGGACGGTGGGAGCATCAGTCGAGACGTCCAAGTTGGCCGTCGCCGCAGCCTCCTGCCGCATTTGTGCCAACATCGCAACGACTCGCTGAAATTGCAAACAGGAGGAAGAAGAAGATCACTTGTGTTGTGCTTGGAAGATCTCTTCCGGCAGCGGCCATGAAGCACGTACCTTGGCTTTGGCGCCCTTCGATCGGATCCGAGGAAAGAGGCCATAGACGGCCTGGAATTTCATCAAACCTTTCGCCAGGTTGAACAGACTGACTTCGTTCTCGTGCAGGCTAAAGGACTGAACGGAAGCGTGCACATCAGTGTTATGCCAAGGGACCTTACGCAAAATACCAAGATGGAATACCAGAGAAGGACAACAACGACTGATAAACACCCACGCTAGTAATTAAACTAACCGCAAAAGAGTCGGGATCTTCCATGGATAAGAGGTCGGAATCCAAGGGCAGTAGGGTGAGGGGCAGTTCGTAGACGCCGGAGAGTCTGTTATACACCTGCGTCTCCTGCAAAAAGGCTTTGCAGACCACCGAGAATGTGGGTATTGCAATTATGCAGTACTCCCGTTTCGAGGTCTCTGAGGTTGGCGCACGAGGTGAAAATTCTCTACAACAGAAAATTACTGGCGGTTGAGGGTAGTCCTTGGATCCAATTGTCCGCAAACCCCTTCAGAATTAAGAAAAAAAGGGAACAACCAGAATGGAGGGGGACTTACGACTTGAGAAAATTCCTCACAATATCGAGGATCTTGAGGTTGGAATGAAGGACAAAAAAGATGGTTTTGACGTCGGGCGGACATTGGGATGTGTGTTGGGGATCGATCAGGTACGAGTGATTGACACCGTGGTCCTGAAAGGTAGGGAAACACATACGAAAAACCAGTTCAAAGGTGTCCGTGTCGGTCATGTGAATACACAAAAATAGATAAAGTCAGGCTTACTTAAAATGCAAACCAAATTCAAGAGAGGTGATTAAGAGAGGCTAGTTATTAGCCTGTCTACATTTTGCAGAATTTCACTCACTTTGACCGTCCAAGGCACGTGAAATGGAAATACAGGTAGCACAAACACCATCGCGACATTTTAGACTTCGTGAAACCTTCCATACAGAATATCAGAGACCAATAGATGGAAATTTCAGTTTTTGGACTGCCCAAAACACCGAAATTCAATCAACTTCAAAAGTCTTACAAACAATGAGGAAGCACCAATGCAATTCTCAAGGCGCACAATGCGCTTCTCAATAACGCAGAAATCAACACAGGAGGAGGGGCAAAAACTAGGAAAGAACACAAAAGCTGCATCCCAAAAAAGACTGTCTTTTTGATTTTAGGCATAGAAAACCGATTTTCGGTCAAGGCATTGCTAATCGATGTGTTGCTAAAAGATACACTGAAAATCAATTTCCATACAATGATACGCATGAAGCAGAGGCAGTGCACATTGATAAACGCACCTTAAGGACAGAATGACCAACGATGAGATTAACAGGGGCGATGGCCTCGCGCTCCCAGTAGATGGCTTTCGGTGATTGGTGGGCGTCAAGAAACCTTAGGAGTTCTTTCTGGTACGAGTCTTTAAAAGGAGCTGTTGACAAGGAGCGAGCCACTGTTGGCATGGTTGTGGGTGATTCTGTACAACTGAATAGTTAGGAAAAGGGTGAGGACAAAAATTGACGAAATCTTACGTCCTAATGTGGCGGACAATTTGATAAACGGTCCTCATCTCTTACGATGATGGCATCCATGTCCTCACCAAGTTACCGTTTACATGAAAAGTTTGCGCAACCAAAAAATCTAATTATTTTCATTTAAGCGTTATTCTCGATAAATTCCGAAAGAGAACAGCCAGCATTAAACAAACACGTATATAACAAGTTAACAAAATCATAACATTACAGTGTGACCGAAAATTCGTAAATATCGAGATTGGAGTAGCATAAAACATGGCATTGACAAATAACCCGATACGCATATCGGCGCATTATTGTGACCAGAACAAGATCTAGAGCATTAGTTTTGCGATAAACACCACAAGGTTATGCAAAAAGACGATCAGAGTGATAATAAAATTACGAATTCAAGGTAAAACAAGAAAAGGTCGTCAATTAAAGGACGTTTCTACACAATCAAGCGTGAATAAGGGTACACAAACTAATGTAGTAGAAGTTATCAAGTAAAAAGAAATTCAGGATTAGATAACTAAATTTGTGATGGTGTACTACCGGAAAAATAATCAAGTAAAGCTGGTAAAAACCCGTAATATTCACCAAGCCCTCAAAAACACGTTTCCAAAGCATGGAACAGACTTAACTGTTGATAAACAAGTTAGGAAATGGAGAAAAGTAACGCATAAGTTGTTAATTGAACTGTTGTCCCTAGTGAACGTTAAACAGCAAAGAACACGTTCTTAATGTCAAATGACAAATATACCACTTAAACTTCAAAACAATATGCAAATTCCAAACACAAAATGTAAGGAAAACAACACAAAAGTACTTCTGCTGCATTATATTCATTCTAAAATGTTTAAAAAAGTTTTGTGACAATCATTATACAACACAAACAGGGGAAACATGAATAAAGCATTTTCAAATAGAAGACAGCAAAAATTTATTTTCAAATGGACACAAAATGGATTATACACCATTGAAACTAAGCAATAAGGTTCAATCGAATGTTACATCGGAACTAGTAACAATTCCAAAAAGTGGATTAGTGTTGAGGAAAAATGGCACCTTAGTGGAAAAGAATGTGCTAAGAGAATAGTACAAAGTCACCTATTTGAGGAATATTTTTTATATGGTTAGATTTTGACCTTAGAGGGAAAGCGGTGAGGACAAACTATGCATCTATTTAACGTGTGTTTGAGCATAAAAGACGACAAGGTGTGCGGGGATGTACGAAAAAGAAAGAGCTTAAGTTCACTATGAAAAAAATAACTAGGAGGGTAGAAAAGTTTGCGGGTTGTATCGCAACAGGACCTGTGCGTAATGTTAAGCTATATCTGTCAAGGTAAATTACCTTCGTTATCCGACAGGAATAGTGATATTAGGTAATTGCTCGTCTAATAATTAACTAATGATGAAATAGTCGCTTCAGAGCTGGATGACCTCAAGGCCAAATAAATGAAATTCGCGCGACAAAATTATCCGCCAATAAGCAATCGGCAAAGTCTGAGGTTATATTTGAGACTAACGTGATCAAAGCCTATTACCTAAATAGTTATTGGCTATAGTTATAAATCAAAACCTATCTGCAAAGGTAGCACTGAAATACCTAAACTGGTCGTCGCAATTTGCCGACTGCGGAAAAAACTCGTTAAGTGTGAAAGTATGCGAATCTAATGAAAAAAGGTAAATCTCCACCTTTACAGTATGTAAATAAAGTACTATATGCATGAGAAGCGTATCTGCCTTAAAAAATAGTCGATAAACAAAAGGAAAATCGTGAAAGTCAAGTCGATATGGGCTGCTGATATTCGTAATTTTTATTTTGGTCGAAAGAATTGATGGTGATTAACATTCTATGACGAATCGGTAGTGGAAATATAGACATCTTGTTATTGCGTGGTATTTTTTTATGCAATTTGTGAATGGAGGGGAAAATTAGAAGCAGCAAATATTGAGATTAGGAAATATGTTTCTTAACACCTTTTCATTTTGATTAGGTGGAGGCGCACGCAATGTGGGCTGTTCTGAATTTTTAAGGCTTTTCCGACTTCTTCCTCTTAAAAATATGGACCTAGGCATTATTATTTGACCTTTTTAGTTGTTTTTTTTAGACCTTCGTGGATTTGGGCAATTAAAATACGTCGAAATGCTCTTTCCACGAAACCGCTGTTTTTCCATTCGAAGTATTCGTGCGCTGTCATTGGCAAAGATGGCTTCAAGATACTTTTAATGTGGCGTAAATGACGTTAAAAGAGCAATGTAATCTTGCAGGTCAACATTTGATTTTCTTACTTGATCAATACATTACTTCCTAGTAGCTAATCCCCAAATTATACGGATTTGCAAACCTAGGTAAAAGCTCCAGATTTCGCAGTTAAAGAACCTAGTTTGTGTCATATGCATTCGACTGTTAAGCACTACCAAAATTATATCCTTTTCGGAAGAGGCACATTTTTGTATTCGAGGTACTCCAACAAAAGTAACTGTGTGATTTTGACAAAGGGTCGTTCTGTATATTTGACTGTTGGTGACATATTCGGGAACAAATGTGTGCAATAACTTGTGGCTCACGGAAAATTTTAAACTAATGTGATTTATATTAAATTCCATTGTCGAATGTGATGAGTTTCAAAATAATCATTGTCATTTAAGAATTCTGTACAACTCTGAACTTGACCACTATCCCAATAACAGCAGAAAATCCAAAATTTCCTCCGTATGTCATTCAAAATATAATTAATTACGTTAAATAAAACTTCCGCATTCATTTAAATTGAAACGGCTTTGAGATAATTAAAACCCACAAGAACTGTAAGAAACTCAAATGGTAATGGTATGCCTGGTTGAGGTTTTTAACGATTTACCAGCATGCATTCCACCTGTGCCATAATCATTACCATCATTTCGGTATCGATAAAAGCCGCAGCTTGTTCATTTGTAAATTGTGGGGTAAGGATCAAAAGTGCCTGAGGCCTACAGTGCAGCTGCAGAGGTAAAGTTTAAGTCACCTTAAGGTGTTCTCTAAGCAGATAACAGCTGTTTACATCGCAGAGGCATTCGGGTTGCCAAAAAACTGATGTATGAATGGAGAAGTGCCTAGGCCATTTAAGCTGTGTATTTCAGAGCTGTTTCCGTATGAATGGAATTAGTTATGGGTGGCTTTGGGAATCTGTCTTCTATATAATAAGTAGCAAGGGAAGTAAGATGTCTAAGCTGATTAGATTAAGCCGATTAGATTAGACACGCCTTTTTTATTGCATGACAGAAAGAAGCCGCTTATCGCAGATAGTAGTAGGAAATATCTGCTTACACAACTATGTTTACAGGAATCGATCATCTCAAAGGTATAATCAAATGTTTCTACCTTGGTTTATTCGAATCGCTTCTGTTTTTATAGCAAGAGACATGTATTCATCCCTAAAAAGTATGCGCTGACGACTTAGACACCCTTGATTTTGTAGCCAGATGTTATAGTGATATGTAGTTTTCGGCTATAATACATCAGCTACAGATTAGTGAATATCATTGAGATGACATAGCAAAAGCCTGTTCAACGATTGCTGATAAATTCTAAAAAAATCGTACAAGGGACAAAGCATAGCTAAGGTGATATCTTATTATAGCTTGACATTTATGTCATTATTATTCTGGGCTATTCAACTTTGAGCGTAATGTTGCTCGATATTATACTCAAGGACTCGCCAAAGAATTAAAAAGATTTATCTGAACTTTACTTTCTTCGTGGCTCATGATATTAGAGACGCTGGACCTTGCCCTTGTTTCTGAAAATGGCGACTTAGTCATATTTAGTCTCCTAACGAATGGAAGGTGAATTAACTTAAGTAATCGACAACATTGTTAGATCAATTCCAAAAAAAAGTGGTTAATTGGCAATACTGATAAGATGTGGACCTATATAGTGTGTCAGAAATTCAGCAATTTTTATAATGGGTGGATGTTCTCACAATCTGGATTACATTTTGAGGCATCGGAAATTAAAATGAGATACATTACTAAAGTGAAGAAGACTTTGATTTTCGCTATTAGGACATTGACAGGAGTTTTGGCGAGGCCTACAGGTTTAACCTGTGGACCTTGCTACTTGTGGAAAAGTTGGGAATAAACTTTTTTTTATTGCAACAATGACGGATAATAGCCATCTTTCAGGCACACGGCCTCGTGTTGAGGATATCAATGCTGCACACATCGGAGAATCCTTTCAAGGTAAGTCAGCAAATTTCTAACACGATGGAAATGTTTACCCTATTAGATTAAAATCATTATTGCTAAGCTGTTTTTTCTTAGGCTTTCAGTGTTTTTAGGGTCTTGGAGTCACACTAAATTGGATCGAATTAAGCAGCAATATAATCTTCAGATTACACCGAGCATTTTACTCTATATAGCATAAAAGTTCTAAGCTCTATGAATTTTTCAGCATTCCGAATCGGCAACCAAGATAATGATAACTACCACAAATTTTCACGACTGAAGTCAATATTGACGAAAGCCTTTTTTAGTTCTCTTTTAGCTGAATATTAGGTAAGAAAAAAGCAGACCCCAACAGTTTTCTTTATGCCAACACCGACGAGTTCAGCATTGAGCATTGAATTTTCACTAAGTTTTTTCTATGAAATATAATTTTTTTCTTACTCAGAGCCCAATTTAAGACTGACCTTTTATTAACAATGGAAAACCTAAAAGTGTTATTGGTGACCTATGTCCCACCGTTTAAAGTGTCAGCGCCTCTTTCGAGCTCCTCAGGCGTCAGTGTCTAGCGATGGCCTATCTTCGCGGTTGGCGGGTTTCTTGCCTCAGACATTCTGAGGACGGCGTTAAACGTCCATTCAGTGTTGTTTTAGAACATCGGGATAAGCAGGAGGCTCTCCATTTTGAATCTGGTGCAATTACTGAGTTACTTCATAATGATTACGCCCTAATTAGAGACCGTTTTGCTAGAATAGAGGATGTTTTCGGCTGTTTAGGTGTATACAAGTCCTCTACGTATGACCCGGTCTTGAAAGCATACCCATCGTTTCTTGTAATCGTTACAGAGTGCAAACTCATTGGCAAACTTCCTCTGTACGAAGTTTATCGAATCAACAGTGTTCGTTTTCTTTGTTTGGATAAGGACAACTATGAGGATGAATCTTGTAATGAGGTATTTTTCCTTAGAAATCGTTTTGCGCATAATTGAATTAAATTAGCTCTCATAAATTTTTATAAATAATTGTTATTAGCCCTTGTAAATGAGTTATTGTTCTCGACTGTTCTTCATTTTCGCTCATTAACTCTGTTTTCCGTCTACCTGTTTTTAATAGCGCTTGTCGTGTTATCAGTTTTATCCTTTACCAAATTATTCCTGGGAGACTTTGGTCCTAATTCATCCGTCCCAAATCCAATTTCTGAATAACTAGTTTGTCGATTCTCTGTTTATCTGCGTTCTTTCCTTCCTTTGGTATTTGTGACTTGGTATGAAAATGCCAGCACAGTACTTTGACTTTAATTATATTTTTTAAGTTTATCATGATTTCGTTTTTTCTCTCCAATTTTTTTTTATGTTTAGATCAGGAAGCTGATTTCTTCTGGTGCGTTCTACTTTGCAAAGCAACTTTCTACCGGGATGCCGTACGACGTGACCAGAAACACTCAAAGCTATTTTCAGCATGCCGAGGGCCTTGAAAATTTTCCAACTAATGAATTCAGTGATCAGCGCTTTCTCTGGAATCGGGGACTGTTAACGCCATTTTACCAACAGGGCATCACAACCGCCAACTGGATCTACCCTGTTATTTGTGGTGGCTTCGGTGTGTCCACTCTTTATGCTGGTTTGAAACGCGCCCAGATTTGTGTCGTTTCGCGTTTATCCACACTGCGTCCGGGAACTCGATTCAATGTCCGTGGTGTCGACGACAATGGATATGTAGCCAACTTTGTTGAAACTGAAGTGGTACGTATTGTTTTCGTCTTATGTTATCCATTGAAAACCGTCATGTTTAGTCTTTCTAAGTTAGTAAATTTCACGACAACTGGCTTGTCGCAGTTTGATCCGCCCTGTGCACAAGGGAAAAGCGATTTGCAAATTAGCACGTTATTTTCATTTATTCTTCATGTAGACTAGAGACGAACAAAGGTTTGGACAAAGTGGGGGTTAATGTGACCACGCTAGAAGAATCCCGGACATCTCTTGGGACTCACTGGTTTTTTTTTCAGCAAACCATGGTCAGAATGTGGGGATTAGTTCTACCGTAATGTATTAAGTTCTAGCAATTTAGGATTGTTGAGCCCGAGTTGATTGGTTATTGCAGGACTCACAAAACTGGGGTCGTATTTCACGACCTCACCATGTACTACTACTCGTTTATGTAATGTAGTAGTAGTACGAGATATCTCCATTTCTGCTAACGGATCACGCGAGGCTACAGAGTGTGGCTTGAATATTAACTCATTCTCCCATTCGCTTTCGGCTACCTTTACAATTCTCACTTGCCTCTCTGGATTAACTCACCAATTCCTTCGAGAATTGACGGCGTTGGAAATTTACTAATTTACACCGAGTCACTTGTTTAAACCACTTCTCTCGCTGAGTAGCGCTTTCAAATCCACTTGGCACTGTTTGCTTGTGGTGTAGGCCCAATGCTATGAGTGTTGAGCATAATTAACGATATTTCACCTAGATTAACCCTTAGGGCCCACACAATTTATAAAAAGACAAATCGTCCACCAGACGCCTCGTAGACATATTTTTTATCGAAATGTTGCTTTATCTTTGGCATCACATAACTTTTTTTAGCTGAGTGGTTCGATTAGAAGAGTGCGTAAATGCCTTCCCCAAAAAACAATTTCGTGATGTGTTAGCTAAAGCCCTAGACTGTTTGATAGACTAAAAACAAAAGGGTTTCATGCTATATCCATGCTAATTGAGCACCGTTAACTGATTTCGGCATTAAATAACAAGAACTGGTTTATTTGTTCACAGAAATGGCACTAATGCCTTTCTACAATAATACGGTATAATCTACAGCTGTCGTAAGCGTATACTACCTTTTCCGATGTCTGCCGAAAGCGTAGCTTTTACCATCCGTGTAAATAACAGTAGCGGCGTAGACCCTAGCAGACAGGCTCGCCGGATAGAAGTACAATAGAGAAGATCCGGAACGTAAGGAAGTTTACGTGTTATCTGTTGAGGGGCGAACGTCAGTATAGTAAAGCAAGGAGTTACGGGGAACAACATGGCGTATGTTACTACCCCCTTCCGATGACTATCTCCGCGCTACATTTTTGCATTTTGGGTGGCACAGCGAGCAATAAATGGCATTCCTTGGCACTGGAGCAATCCTGGACTCTAACCCACCTCGTATTTGCAGCTCATCTACGTGGACAACCAAGTTCTGAGCCACGTGCAGATCCGTGGGACGGTTCCGTTGTTCTGGGAGCAGCCGGGCCTCCAGGTGGGCTCGCACAAAATCAAAATCCTCCGCTTCCACGAGACCTCCTTGAAGGCCTTCAATCGCCACTTTGCCGAAATCCTCTCGCGCTACGGCGAGACTATCATTGTCAACCTGATGGGATCCAAGGAGAGCGAGGACAAGCTGTCTAAATTCTATCACGAACTCTGGAACATCTCTGAGTACCAGGCATGAGAACTCTTAGAACAATTCTCTATAGTTTCATTGCGTTTTAATTCGTATTCTTCTTCTTCTTTGAGAATTGTGGTCAAAGTACCCTTTTGGCATTCCCTTCCGCCATTGTCACATGATTTAGTCCTGCTAACTTAGAGGTAAAGGGCCATATATGTAGGCCTTATGATAAGTTAAGCGGGCACTTGTAACCTCTGATGATTTCTATACCTGTTTTGCCGTTCTTCCTATGGTTGTTGTATTTTTTCCACTTTTTTGCTGTATGATTTTCATTGTCGGCTCCTATTATTTGCCACAGTCCAAAATAGGCTATGTTGCCTTCGACTACCACGCGGTTGTGGGATCAGAGGGTGTCGAAGGCGTCAAGTCTCTCCTCTCCCGTCTGGAGTATCGTCTCTCCGTGTGGGGATACTTTCACTTCGATGGAACTCAAGTGAAACGCCGTCAGACGGGAGTGGTAGGTGTGCTTGGTAAAAGCCGAATCGTTTTTTGTTTGATAAAATTGACGCGTTTCGAATTAGTGTAGTTGTGCTCGGTGCGTTCAACGGCAGCTGCTTCACCAGTGTGTGAAATTTTGACAGAAAACTACCGTTGTAACCTTCCCCACTGCTAGCGGCTTTTGATTGGCTGCTTGTGAGTAGTTCTGCCAGTGGGTGTCTAACGAATCCTCGTCGACCGCCACTCGTGTTTTACTCTCGCAAAAACACATTAGGGTGTGTTTTCTGATTGTCACAAGTAGGCGTGGGTGTTAATGCCTCCATTTTTAGATGCGTAACGCGATAATTAAGGCGACGATGCACAGTGAAAACAAGGTTTTTAGAAGCGCTGGAGAATGATTCTTGGAAAGAAGGATCTGGAAGCCGGCTAGTTGCCGTGACATCGAGGCTTACGGTGCCTTGGTCGCAAATCCTACGTCTCTGACGCACCTACCTGTCTCACAATTATTTGGTCTTAGACAATTTGCACAAACCGATCATCAAATTTTCGTGCAGTTGACTCGTAGCCAATCAGAGTGAGGCTCGCGAGCTGCTTGATCACCAATCAGTAACATTGAAGGCGCCACTGTTGAATCCAGCGTGGGTGCAGACCTGCATGCATTTCCCGTGTTGTGTCGTGATGCTTAAGAAGCCACCCACCCATAGTCCGCTACGCTTCCCCCTTTCCGTCCAATCAGGTGAGGACAAATTGCGTTGACTGTCTGGACCGGACCAACGCCCTGCAAACCATGATTTCAATTATGCTCCTTCGGGCGCAATTCCTCAACGCACTGGATCTCCTCTCCGGCACTAACCAGTACACGGACAGACATGCACAGGAAATTCTCCAGTCGGTAAGCCCTTGTCAACAAACCCGTGCTGTCCATTTTGTTGCCTGTGATTTCGTGTGTTGGCAGAATCGAAATGTAACAAGGAGATTGCCTCCAGTTGCATTTGATTTCATTGTACAGGTATCTATCTTCAAAACCTTTTGCTTTGCTCGACGTACCTACCTCGTTTTTGCATTATCGCTAGCGTTGTTTAACCAACAAGTGGGCTTATTTCCAACTTCCCGACGCGATTCCATGACCTCAAGTGATCCATCTCCGTGTGCGGCTCAGATGACGGGAAACAAGCTTTGTTTACGCAGTTAACGCGACGGCTAATTTGATTGTTTATTCAGCGTGTTATCGAATTTGAGAGAAGTCGGTGTCTAGATTCACAAACAACTTGCTCAAGTGTGCTCAACAAGGGGTCGTGGGTGTGGATTTTTCCTCTCTGAGTAAGGCCGAGTCACCGTCCACGTTGTTATCTCTTCGCCCACTTGTCGATTCAAGCATTTCCAACTTCAATGTGTGTAGTACTCCTTTGGATTGTCCTGCCGACGTTCTTGAATGCAGGTGCATTAAGAAAAAAAGAGCTCGTGTGGTTCTCCCGGGTGCGTGGTTGTGAAGGTGTTGTTGCCTAACTCGTAAACACAAGCGTTCACGCCAGCGTGCAGTGCGTGGCATCACAAACCAGCCCTGAAATATGCATATACCCATCACTCGTGAGTTTGTACTTCGATCTTTCTGCTCAAGTTGTATGCGCTGAACACGTGTTCGAAGTCGGGCATTTGTGGTTTTTTTTTAACGGCATTCAGTCTCTCCATTTTGCACAGCACGATCCTTATTAATGATTTCTATGAACTAGATAACAGAAATGTCGATCTTCCCTTTGAGTTGGTGCGTCCGACTTGACTGGTTTGTAGGTCCGTGCTTGCGGTTGAGTTCAACGGCAGCTGCTTCACCAATGCTGTTGAGTTGAATTGGCCCGTTTAGGCTACTCAGATACCCCCAACTTGATAGTTCAACCAAGTTGTGCCAGTCGCGCCACTGGGTTCATGGGGTTGCCGATCGATACAGTCTGGGTCAGCCCCCAAAAGGAACAAGTAGCTGAGTGGTCAGATGAACGAGACGAGTAGCTTGAGGGGGGAGGAGTACACGCACAAGATCGGTAAGGATGCTGTGAAAAGGAGGTCAGTGTGGCGGAAAGCGCAAAGGTCGGGTTAGTGGACGCGAATCACCACGAGTCACCACAACTGATTCCCCCCCCCCACCATCCCCGAATGTGTGGTTCGCTCTCCAAGTCCTTTGTGTCCTTCTCACCTCGGGTTGTGTTCGAGGCGGATATTCTCGCTCTTGTTTCAAGTCCAATCTCCAGCACTCAGGTTTGGTGAATCACCAGGTCGGAACACCGAGTAATGTGCCGTTCCTGGATTCGATTGTTCTTACTCAGTTAGTCGAACCAGGGTAATGTTAACCTCCTGCCATAGGCTTGTTGGTTTTCTTGCAAAATGCCCCCTCACACTCGTTCAGTTGCTGCATATGTTCTACGCCATTGTTGAAGCACTCCTGTGCGTTTCTTCCAGTGGTTGGATCATCACAAGGCTAGACTCGCCAACATGGCGGACTACCGTAGCAACGGTTATTTTCACCTACCGACTGCTCTTTCAGCAAATAACTCTCAGCCTCGTAGCTGTAATCTCGTCCTCCTAGTTTGGTAAATTTTAAGGCGGCACTGTGTGTTTCTGAAGGCCTGCCACCACCTAGGTCTATTTTTTACAACTGCAGGCACCCAAAGGTGTTATAAAATTATCGTGTGTCCTATGATCGCCATCATCAACCAGTATTGATTTTAGCTCTGGATTGAGAACGGGGATAACGTGAGTAGGATTTACACGGGCACAGGGGCGCTGGGCGGTGACCGTTCGAGGTTCAAGAACGTCCAACGCAGCGCCACACGCACCATCAAAAACAACTTCTTCGACGGCGCCAAGCAGGAGGCCATGGTGGCTCTGGTCAACACCTGCAGTCTGGTTGGCTGGCAGCGTCTTGTCGCTGGTAAGCATTTTCTACCGTTGTTAGCATTGCAAACCAAATCACACTGGCACTGAGGTCTCTTTGTCCGACCAATCAGAAATCTTGAGGTTGGTTGGTTGCCGGTTTGTTGATCTCATTAACCTGAAGGTCTGATATTTAAAATTCGGAGAGGCCTAATCCCTTTTTGGCGGTGAGCAAATGACCTCCGTGCGTTTGCTTGATGATCTTGTTGCAGTTATGCCAGCTACACGTGATGCGCTGACACGACGTATCGACAAAGTCAGCTGCATCAACGAGGTACTGATTATCTTTCTTCTGCATCAGTGACTTTGTGGAATTTTGCGTGTTTTTCGGGACCATTCAACGCCTTTTTTATTGTCTAATTTAGCCCATGAAATTGTACACACACACACACACGTACAACGCACAAGGCATTCACACGGATGGTGCTTATTGTTAGCGTTCATTGCTTCGCGGTGAACTGTTCAACTCCGTCGAAACATCAACTGAGGCCTTTATTCCACTCAAAACACACATGTTTTTCTTCCGCCCAGGACAATTTCTTCCTCGACGTCTTCACTTCCTGCCACAGTCAGTGTTGCAGAGCATCCTCGACAGAAACGCCGACTTCACGCGACGAGAGCGACTGAAAATCTTCGTCGGAACGTGGAACGTCAACGGTGGCCGGAACACGCGCTCCCTGGCCCACATGGACAACGACCTCTCGGATTGGCTGTTTCAAGGCCAACACAGCTGGGGCTTCCGCAACCCCAACGCGCCTCCAGAGGCCTTCGCCCGGCCCACCGACATCTTCGTTGTGGGCTTCGAGGAGATCATCGACCTGAACGCAAGCAACGTTGTGGCCGGGAGGCAGCGCTCGGACAATCAGGAGCACTGGGGCGAGACGCTGCAGGGCATGCTCGACGTGGCCTCGGTCACCGGCGAGCCCTACGTCCTGCTTTGCACCACGCAAATGGTCGGTGTGTGCATCTTCTTGTTCGTCCGCCTCGGACTCTGCGAGCACGTACGCAGTCTGTTCTCGGCGTCAATCAAGACTGGCATGCACGGCAAAGCCGGAAACAAGGGTGCTGTCGCTGTCCGATTTCAGGTTAGTTAGATCTCAAAATGGCCTCCTAGTAAGACGAAATTATCAGCTGTATGGCCTGCTTCTTACAGGTTCAGTATATCTATGTAAGATCTTGTGCCATCTCTCAGGTGACGTACGAATGCCGTCTGGAAAGAACCATTCAGGCTTCGAGGCAGCAAAGTCCTCGTCGACGAATTCACGCAGGTCGTCCAGCGTTTTGAACAGTTTGTGTTCAGTAAGGCATGCTGCTGCTGCTGCATTGACCAGAACAATTGGTAGTTGGATGGGGCCGAGTCCGATGAAGATGGCGTGTGTGGGAGAACTTCCCATTCCCAGTTGAAGAAGGTGAAGTGAATTGGTCGAGCGTTATCAAGCATCATCATCATCAGCAGCAGTATGACTTGCCTGCTTCCTTGCCCAGTAAAAAGCCTTTTCTGGCCAAGTGATTCACTCAGTTTGCTCAATTGTCGCCTGTAGCGTTGCACAGTCACCGTTTGATGTCCACTTTTCTAAGACCTCGAAATTAAATGCACTCTTCGTGTCTCCCCACCGGATACACAGGAGAACCTTCCTCAAGTCGACGGATGTCCTGTTTCGGCGTCGATGTACAACTGGGTTGTCTGGGATCTATCCACAACCTTGTGGCATTTTGGATTCTCGCAAAAAAGTACTTTCCATCAACTTTCCACAGAAACATCCATTCACTGCTTGTTGCCGGCGAGCAAGCAGCGGAGGTCGTTTGTTCATACGTTGATCTAGGCTGCGTTCGCTTAACCAATGTGGGGAGACCCAAGTTCCAAGTTGTAGAATTTGTCCCGTTTGATCCTAACAGTCGGAAATAGGTGTTTGGGTGACTCCTAACTGAGCTGCTGTTGGCTCATGTTGCGTTTGCGTTGAGCTTGCGATGCCGCTTCTTTAAACTTTCGAGGCTGCTGTTCGCCTTGTGGCTTGTCACTAAGATCGGAATCGCCGCCTCCAAAACGTTTGTTTCAATGAGACACAAAGTATGCACCAAGAACACTACAGATTGATTTACCCGTACTTTAGAAGCGTTCATTCCTAACTGGAATTCGTACGAAGCGCAGTGCCATTGAATGTGGTGTTTGTCAGTTGCCATAGTAGGTGCAGCTATTGTGAGAGGTTATGTAACTCACGTGGACGTTTAGTTCGGGATTCTGATATCTTGCGTCCGATCTTTTCAACTCCGAGGAAATAATCGATAATAATTAAGTCATACACGTAATTTCAATAAACAACCCTGATATTGTCCTTTTTTAATAGATTGGTGCAACTACGCTGTGCTTCTGTTGTGCTCATCTAACCGCCGGCCAATCAGCAGTTCGTGAGCGCAACGCCGAGGTCAGCGATATCAACCAGCGTCTCCTTCTGCCACCGGACAAGCGCAGCGTCCCCTCACACGACTACGTGTTTTGGTTCGGCGACCTCAACTACCGCATTGATTTGCCCAACGCGGAGGTGAAAAATCTCATCTCCAAGAGCTCGTGGTGTGACCTCTTGAGGTCGGATCAGCTTTCTGTCCATCGGGAGGCGAAGGCCGTCTTCGAGGGCTTCTTAGAAGGGCCTGTCCGTTTCGCGCCGACGTACAAGTACGACCTCTTCTGCGACGACTACGACACCTCCGAGAAGGCGCGTTGTCCGGCCTGGACCGACCGAATTCTCTGGCGTCGAGCCAACCTCACCTTTAAAAAGTCCTCCAATTCCGCGCGCAGCAATGAAGATTCTGAGAAGATAGCTTTGAGCAACCTCCTCGTCTACCACAGGACCGAAATCAAAACCAGCGATCACCGACCTGTCTCCGCTGTCTTCGATGTTGACATTCAAATCGTACGTCCACGCACACTTATGCAAGCATTCTGTTTGCAGAAGAAGACGAAAATTGACCTCTTCCATGTCGGTTACCACCTAGGTGGAGCCCGAGAAGCGTCGCCAGGTCGTGGAGGGGGAGCTGCTGGCAGCTGGACCCGGCGACGCGACCGTGCGTGTGCGGTGGACCAGCGAGAACGCGAATGCTCCGGTCAGTGCCGACGACATCTACCAGTCCATCGTGGAGTTGGCCAGTTCCGCGGGCACCATTGTGCTCACGCGCTTCCACGGCGTGGATCAACTCATGCTGACCTTCTCGACGCCCTAGTAAGCTCCCCTTGTCTACTCGCCGTGCAAAAGTGGGTCTTTGTGGGCGGTGTCAAAAATAAGCTGTGGACTTTGGAATCGTAACTGTTTTGACAACCATCATCCCTACCCAAAGTTGTCTGAAAATCCGTTCAATTCACGGTGTGGCTGCCATTGTTAGTGTTGTTTTTTATACCAGTGCAACATCTAGCCCGAGTGTTCACAACGCCGTTTCCTTCATCCTCATTGGATAGTCGTTTGAAGTGAGATTATTGGACTACACTTCGCTGTAAAGCAGTATAATTCACAGTGGCACTACCATTTGGCGTTTGGCGCAGGTTAATCTACCAGCGAATGGTACTCCTGTCCATTTCTGATAGCTGCTGCTACTAGGGTGTTTTGCTTTCATAACGACACACCACTTTTTCTGGGATTGTCCAATCTCTTTCCTGCGTTCGCAAATGCACTCACACACCCGCCACACTCAAATGTCGTGCCCGACGGGTGAGTAAGTGAGCGGTCGTGTCGGCTTGATTTTTCTGCCTTTTGTCAGCGTATTTATCAGGCTGTTAAGAATTCCCCGAGCTACTATTTGGGACGCTCTGGCTGGCATGTCGAAGGCTTCCACGAAGAAGACAAGTCTACAGCTTGTGTTGGAGGACTTCACTGTCTGAAGCGAAGGTTCGGGCACACGATGGGACCAAGTGTTGAGTGGATGCTCAGATGTGCCTGGGCGACGCGATATCGATCAGTTTGAGTAATCACCACCTCGAGATGAGTTGCCGACGTTAACAACGATGTGGCGTGACTGTCAGATTGTAGTTATGTGTGACTAGATGCATCAATTTAGTTGTGCTGGTGAATGTTGACACCTACCAGTCAGTGGAACAGACCTCTTAGACCGAACCTCTGTTGAAGGCTTCGGCATGTGATCTTGAACTACAAACCGTTCACGCTGCACACCTGAGTTGACGGTCGTGTTGGTGTCGAGTTGCGCGTTCTGACGCTGGAGATTGACACGGTCTGGATTAATCGACTTTGGATTTTTCTTGAAGCAACTTGGCACAAAGTACCACTCACTAGGATCCAAACCTTCACAGTTGGTGTCCTCGTCTCCTGAGGCCACGCGCTGTGGGGGAAGGAGTCCACTGTGAAGGCATTTCACCCGCCGAATATCATCCCATGTAGACGGTTAATGCGGTATCCACACCTTGTTAGTTTGTTGTGTTGGAAGCATCGACGAGATCGCGCGCACGTCGCTGTGTTAATCGCCATGTTTAGCATTTTCGCTCATTTCTCACAAGGTCCGTCTCCAGTCTACTAAAGGCTTATTCAGTGTAGAAGGGAAACAGCACTACTTATGTTTGACATAAGTAGTTTCTAGTCCTCGCCAACAGTTCAAGACCTGTAGACCGTCAAATTTCTAGTATGGTTTCTGATTCCATTGCGTTTCACTGAGTTATGATGGTGCGTAACGTCCAGTAATTAAATAAGACGGTTATCCATTATTGAAGGGAAATGACACTACTTATGTTTGATTTAAGTAGTTTGTAGTCCTCGCCAACAGTTTAAGACCCGTAGACAATCAAATATCTAGTATGGTCTCATTCCATGACGTTTCGCTGAGTCAAGTCTGCAACCGAAATAGGCCGTTTATCCAGTCTAGAAAGAAAGCCACACTACTTATATTCAAAATCAGTAGTTAATTCATATCCGAATAATACTTGCTGAGTACGAATCTCTCATGACAGTGAAGCCGTGGAAGCAGTGAGGTGTTTGAACGGCAACAAGGTGTCCATCGAGACAGCGAGGCAGCAGGTGGTCCTCTCCGTGTGCTTCAATTCCGCGCCCAGTCTGCCGGTGGCCAGAGGTGGCCTGGGCTGCGACGGTCTACAAAGCTTCTCCACCGCCCTGAACAGGTTCTCTACCGACGAGAAGACACGTGATTGGCTTACTCAGATGAACTCGTTGGTTGCTGGGGCTGAGGACGAGTACCTGCGCACTCACGGACCGCCTCCGGATTCTGAAGTCTTCAAGCCAACTGTAAGCTTGGCGCACCTTCGACTCAAGGAGAATGTGGTGGCGGACGAACAGCGTCGACGCCAGAGGGTCACTATTCTGGCCAATGAGGATCAGGCCCTTATCGATCTTTGGGACGGGGAGGAGAAACCCAACGCGACCGCACAACCGGCACCACATGCCTGTGGTGAGTCTGTCTGCGTCGATATAATTCAAACTACTTAATCGGTACTTAGTAGTGGTGTTATTGTGCATTTCCTGCAGTACCACCTCGACCACCACCGCCCTCGTCAGGGTCTCAGCTCCCGGACGCATCGATTTTGAGCCAGCTGCTGCACCCGGGGGCCGCACTTCACTCTGCGCAGAGTTGTAACGACCTATTCAGTGATTTCTGTGATACCGAGACGAAATCTCAAAATCGGGTGCCCAAACAACCCACCCCCACACTCCCCGGTGCACTCGGCTCTCCGATTTTGAGGCATGCCTCGGCGCGTGACTCACCTCAGCACCCGCAGGTGACGATTCCAACCCCACCTCCGCCCAAACGCCTTCCCCCGCGGCCCCCACCACAACCCCCCGCTAACTCTTCGGCCGCCTTCCAGCCGCTCATCGATCTTACCACTGAGTGCGTTTCGATTGGCCGCTGTCCACGGTCGCCTCCCTTAATGTATCCACTTGTTGCATAAGTTTGTGCGCCGTGAGTGAGGGCTGGAACTGCAACAGAGCATATGCAAAACGTACTCTCGCCTCTAGGACAGTTTAGTCGATTCCGGATTGTGGGGGTGACTGCGTTTTTGACAATTTGACTGCAAATTCAACTTGCAACGCGTCGAAAATCGATATCTGAGTTGGTCAGAGTGCAAAATACACATTATTGATTTCTGAATGCTGTTTTGTACAGAAAAATTAGCGCGAACTATCGCGATTAATCAATACTTGGCATCGAATCCTCCTGTGCTATAGTAGTTGTTGAATTTGAATAAATCTTTATTAGCCAATAGAAGGTGGGAACTAGAAACAGGACCTTGTACCTCATGTACCATAAAGATAGTGTTCGTGTCATTCAATGGTTTTCGTAGACGATTTCACGTGCTCAAACTAACAATATCTCGTCTACTTTGTTTTTTAGTCTTCCCGTTGTCTCCCATAAAATGGTGAGTAAATTAAGCAATTCTTCATGTGCTTCTATAGGGCCCATTTACCCATTCCATGTATCGTTACTCCAGTATTGTATTGCCACTTTTGACCTCATTAGTCGCTGAAATAGTCCTGCTACTTAATTTGAAATAAGTAGGTTATTTTATGCAATTGAACGGATATCCTTCTCGTATTTCCGTACTTGTAGGAAGCCCGTGGAGGCGTGCCAGACCACCCAAAGGTGATGCCACCACCAACCATAACCCCGAGACCCCCACTAACCCCCGAACGCGTGGCACCTCCCATTCCAGTGCGTCCGAAACACCTCGATAACACCGCACCCCGCCCGGAAGCGAAATGAGGCCCCCTTGCCAAGGTCGACACGGTTCCACGTGCGCGCGAGAACATTCCTTCAACGCCAACCGATCATTCCAGTTATGCATTTCCCGGTTCTGTCAATACGGCCACGATTGTCTTGCAAAGTCTGACTTCTCCCTCGTCATATCTTTTTTTGGCCTTCCCTAATTTTAGCCCATACACTCTACGCCATGTGATAAACTAAATCGCTTCTACGTATTTATATATTAGCGTCAGCAATGTTGTAACTTAACTGTAGGGCCGTGTTTGGCGCTTTTGACTAATAAATATGCGAAATGCTTACACTAAATGCTTTACGCTACTTATTTGGAATAAGTAGTAACTCTATGTAAAACGACGTCTCCTTAATCGCACGAAAAAATCAGTCCGTATAACGGCGCGTGATTAAAATTTATATGCATTTTCCAAAGTCGAGACTGCCGCTTGTTAGCTAACGGCGTGACCTTGAAGAACTACGGGAAAACGAACTACTTCCACTGAATGCTTTACGCTACTGATCTGGAATAAGTAGTAACCTACTTTCATGCAAATACGAAATCCACCCATTGACCCTGTGTAAAACGACCTCTCATTTACCAATCACACGAGGAAGAAAAACAATTCAATCCGTATAACGGTGCGTGATTAACTTTATATGCATTTTGCAAAATTGGCACTTCCGTGTGTTAACTAACGGCGTGACCTTGAAGAACTACGGGAATAGGAACTGCGAGAAGTGTGGGAGGTGGAGGAGTAGGAGCGTCGACGTCTGCGTGAGTGCGAGGTGCTGCGACGACGACGTCCCCTGTACGAGACGGACCTGGATCTGTGGCCGCGCGAGGTCCGACCCCACGAGCCCGTGTTCACACCGCCGCCACCACGGCTCCCGCGGCTGGCGTAGGTCGGACGAGAACTATAACGGGAGCTGAGACGACGGCGGTGACGACTGGGCGAACGCGAGTAGGACCCACGTCGGCGACTGTAGCTTCGACGATGACGACGGCGACGAGGACTTGAGCTCCTTCGGCTGTGTCGGCGGTGGTGCCTGGAGTGGCTTCTTCCTCTTGACGACCTGGACGAGGGAGAGCTCGACCGGGAGCTGGACGCGGTGGAATTCGACGACGTTCCAGTCGACGATGACGATGCTGACGAAGATCTACTCGATCCTGACGACGATGACTGTGATGTCGCCTTTCGTGTGCATTTGGCCTTCAGTAGGAAAAAATAACAATCGACTAACTCCGAAGCAAGTGGGCCACAGTGCTTCGAACGCCGCTTACCCCAGGGGGTGGGGCCGCCGCGACTGCATCACTTTTGGCAGCAGCTGCAGGAGCCTCGGCTGTGTCAGCTTCCTTCGCGTCGTTGTTCACCTTCACCTCCTCGGGACCCCTAACCTCCGACTCATCGTCACTCATATCCATGGCGACCGGAGACGGCACGACAGTCGGCACTGCGTCCGAATTACCGCCGCCGCCACCAATGGTGATCTTCATGGGGCTGATTCTGTTCGACGACGCGGCGTCGGCAATTGCGGAGGTGTTGGCAACGTCGTCAACCTGCCAACGACTGGTAGTCCACGGTCCGGTGGCGGGCGGCGTGCCGCCAGCGCCTTCTTCCTCTTCGGCTGCCTGTTCACGCGATCGAGAAGGTGCCTCCTTGGGTTCAGCAGCAACCGATGGCGAGTCGTCCCACTTGCTACTTATCGCCGCGGCGACGCCTCCACACACCGCCGACGGCTGCGCCTACAACACACGACGCAGATCAACGTCGGCGGCAGATCCAACACCTCTACTTGATCTCGCGTGCCAGGCGTGATCAATAAGCAACGCGAAAAGGGTTTAACAGGCCTATGCAAGCGCTGACGGTGTGTGTGCGTGCGCGCAATCAATCAAACCGAGACACTAATCACGCTTTTTTCGGTGCGAAATGTCTTTAATGCTATTACCATCGACACGCAGAGTTTCCTGCGTTTTGTGATTTAGCACGACACACGACAACGTCAGAATGAGCAGTTGAAGGAAACTGCAACAACGCAAGACGATTACTTAAACCCGGTTTATGGGAGGCTTAGTGGTACCCCAATTTCGGGGAATGACTGAGCGAATTCTTTCAAGCATTGTACAGAAGAATCCAATCTAAGCGGTGAGAGCGAGTTGCGTGTGGCCAGATTACATTATTTCGTGGATCATTTTGGTGCTAGAAAGAAGCCAACTGTTGACAAAAAGTGGCAAGCAAAAGAGACTTCACAGGACACTGTTCGCGCACTCTTTGGCTGATTTAAGTACGACCAAATAAAGAGATGCGGGCGCCCGGTACTTGGCGTTTTTCGTCAGCACAATCGAGCATTGCAACGATGATTAAAAACTCACATTCACTGGCGAGGCGGCATCACCCGACTTCTCTCTAAAAGGGTAAAAAGGTACGTGTTTTTGGGCAAATTCAGACCTCATGCCAACCTCCCAACACCACCGCCACACGGCCTGAACCTACGCAAGGTCTGTGGACGCGTTTGGCGCCTCCTCGTGAGTGGCGACGGCGGAATTGTCGCCTTGACTGCGGGGCGTCGGTGAGCGCGAGTTGTCGTGCGCGTCCGCCACAGGGCTCGGGCGCTTACGGTCGGGTGGTGGTGGCGGGGGGGCTGGAGACACCGAGCTAGACCGGGAACCGGAGCCAGCTGAGGACCGGGAGTCGGAGGACGGCGAGGGAGAACGTGCGTGACGCCGAGGACGCTGCGCAACCGGTGACGCGTCGCGCCGGCGCGACACGGCCGAGCGCCGATGCTGCTTCGAGAGGGCCTGTTCGCGACGTTCGCGCCATCTAGTACAAGAAATTCGGTGTAGACGAAAGACGCGTTGGCAAGTACAACCACCAGACACACTGGAGAACCTTCTTCAAGTGGACGGATGTCCTGCTTCGACGTCGATGTACAACTGGGTTGACCAGGATCTATCCACGACTGTTTTGGGATTCTCGTAATAGAACGTGTACTTTTTAACACCCGTGACGATTCTCCACAAAAAGTCCTTTTTATTGCCGTGAAAGGCATGTGTCCCGACGTTGACACGTGTGCAAGCGCTTGGAAATAGGTGTTTAGGTGACTCCCAATCGATCTGCTGCAAGTTCTCGTTGGAGTTGCGACGTGTCATTATGCAGTAGAGCTTCAAATTGTGCATCTTCGAGCTTTCGAGGCTTCTGGTCATTAAGAACGAAATCATCGCTTCTAATAATACGTCTGTACCAATAATTGGGAATTCCATAAGATTGGCCCCGTGTTTTGGAAGCATATTTTCCGTCTTGTTGGAATTCGAATAAAATGCAGTGCCAACGAATGCGCTGTTTATCAGTTGCCACCGTAAACTCGGCTGCTATGAGAGGTTATGTAACTCGCGTAGACTTTTCGTTCGGTGTTCTGAAACCCTTTGGGTCCGACCATTTCAAACCTCGTAAAAGACGGCGAAAACATCTCGAAAGATGACGTACTGTTTCACGAGATGCGCCGGTGGACTGCGTCGGGACCCCCGAGAATCACGTCGGCGTGACGCCGACGAAGACCTTCTACGGCCTTCCGCGCTCCTCGACCTACTTCGATTCCGTCTCGACGCGGCTGGCGAGTTTCGGCGCAAATGATCCGAAGCTCGACGGGGTGACGAGGCCCGGGAATGCAACGACGCCGACGACGACGACGACCTGGAGGCACTTCGAGGTGGAGCGAACGCCTTCAAGAAAAAAAAGATAAACACATCACAACACCAGTAGATTTTCTCTCTCTCTAAACCAAACCCAGCAAAACCCACCTTCGGGAGACTCGCAGAACTCTTTCTTGACCTTTCATGATCGGCAGCAGGCGAGGGTGAGCGTCTCTTAAAAAAAGAGAGAGAGAGGAAGACGCGTTGTGGTGAATCGCGCCGCCCAAGTTAGACACAACCAGAAGCCACGTAACCAAAATTTTGCACAGTGCGTTAGGGTTACTCCATGCGTGCACATACCTCGTGGTGTCGCGTCAAACGCCGATGACAGTCACAACACTACAAGGACATTGCAACAAAGAACACCACGTCGGGACGGTGATCAGCGAAAGCACGAAACGCAACCACCGACGCTAACAATTAACAACTTCCTGCGAAAGATACCGTGACAGTGGAGCAGAAGTGGAACGGAGGAGGGGTGAATAAGGTTGAAAATCATCGCAAAAAAAGTTATGAATCATCAGGTGCGGCTTACCCTTAGCGGCGACCGCCTCCTCGAATCACTGGCAACTGGCGGTGGTGGTGGCGGAGATGGCGCAGGACTGCGCCTTCGTCGTTTTGAAGCAGTCCGGTCGTCGTCCGCCTCGTCCACCACACGAGACTGCCGAGGCAGGCCACCACGGCGTCGGGGTTCAGGGCTTGGGCTTCTGTCGGCTGCAGCGCGTCGGGCGGCGGCGGGGGGCTAGGAGGGTGTAACATTTACCGGTTATCCTTCATTCTATATACTATTCTATTTCCACTAGCAGATAACCTGCATGAAACATTTCTATTTTACCAACGAACGACAGCGTTTGGAATCGGAAATCGCCTAGTTGCGTCGGCAAAAGGCAAAAAACTCGAGGAGTTACGGCTGGAGAAACCCAGTATGAAACCCCATGTGGAAATACCCCAACTCAGGCCGTGCATTTTTTAATCATAGTCACCAAAGACAGAAAAAAGGCCATTCAATGGAAATCCACGGTTCTATGGAGCCTTTGTGAGGGACTTCCAAGCGATGGTAGAATGCAGAACTGGAAGCAGCGCAAGCCGATTAACACATCTGGTAGACGCTCTGTGAGGGAAAATTGCACGCTACTTGATGCGAAGGTAATCTTTCAAAATAGATTCGGTCAAAACGCAACGCGTCGATTGGCGGAGACGATACCAAAGCCAGTCCAAATGCCCAGAACGACTACCACTTATTTGATGGTTCAAGCAAGTCGTGTAATCGGCGTCACTGCGCGTAACAATCGTGCCTTACTGACGAAGTCGTTGACAAGTTAGTAGAAGTGCAGGTGACTGAGTGGTCAGACGAGTGGATCAACGCGGTTATCTGCAACAACATCGCGAATACATATCACCCATGGAGATTTTGGTTAACTAACCGTGGCGTTTGGACTTGGGGATCTTAGAAAAAAACTCCGCGAGCTTATTCAAAAAGGCGGAGGGACCTTATCGAGGGTAGTGAACATACAGACACTCTCGAACGAGGCGGGGGTGAAGGTGAACGCCTGGACTTTGGCGAGCGACTCCAATCGCCGCTGTGCTGTCCGCCGCGCACCACGTTCACCACGTACTTGTCGTCCTGACCCCTGGTGACACTTCGTTGCGGCGGTGGGCTCGGCGTCTTTTGCTGGCGACTGCTGCGTCTCGGGTCCTCCTCCTCTTCCGTCGCCTCCTCGTCCTCTTCTGCTGACGAATAGGCGATTAACGGGCGTTTGGAGGAGTCGACGACAGCCTCCGGCGATGGAGACGCGTAGGAGGCACGTTTTCGACGCTCGGCTACGGGTGACCTTGAAAGTCGTCTGTGTGAAGGAAATAATTCGGGTAAATCATCTGGGAGTCTGGAGTTCCCGAACCCGTAGCAGTGATAAATATGACAGTTTCAAGGGTCCTACGCTCCCAATACAAAAGTAATCATGCGTAACAGCTAATTACACCAGAGAGTGGGATCATTTAAAACATCAATACCCGCGGACAGCCTGGTGTGGGGAGACCGTATAGTGGCACTGTAAAGAGAACAATAAGAGGTAAATGAAACGAACTCGGTCTCATTTAGAATACTCGCCTTACTAGATAAACCTATACACAGACAGGCTTCTGTCAGCCAATTCTCCAAATGGATAATGAAACGCTTAAGTGTGCGTACGAACTCACCGCTGATAGTGTCTAAAATGTAGATCACATAGGGAGACCGTAAATGATAGTTGAGCGACAGATAAAAAGTACCCCAGGTGTGCCACTCGTTTGCAACGACACCTCTTGCATCATAGGTATGTTATACATTAAAGAGACGGGGTAACGCAGTGATACCGACATACGGCGAGTGAATGTACTTACAACTTTGCAATGGAATGAAACAATTACTGCCGACTGGCTCATTAGAATTTTAGGGAAAGAATTCGGCATAGGCATTACGTGTGGATAAGCATTTATACAAAACGCGATTCCTGATTGGGGAATTTAGTGGAAACCAATAAGCCTAATTAGAAGATCTTTCATTGATTTTTGGTTGAGTGTGGATTACAAAACACATCCCTTACCATTGGCAAGTACTAAAAGCGGAAAAAATGATTGAAAAGTTGCGCGATCTCAGCTAAATTGCACAAATTATACTTAGTATCCACAGGTACTAGTTTGAGGCTACCAGCACCAGAAATCAAACATGCTAGAATACTGTCACAATGCAAGAAGCATTTTTTACACAGACGAATATGTGTGCCTAGGTGACTGGATGCAGAGAATGGCGGACTCACGGCTTGTCGAGTTGGCGATTCTCGTTAACTCGATCTCTATGACTATGTCCTCGGTTGGCAGTGGTTTCCATGGTGACGTTGACATTGTGTGCCGGCGAAGGACTTCGATTACGCGCTTCTGACGACGTGTCCCTGTTCGGTTTAGGGGAGGAATGATCTGCGCCATTCAAAGGTGACTGACGACTTCGACCACGCAATTCATCCCTCTCTCTAAAGCATTTAAAGGTACACCCCTTAATTTAAACTCAGAAATGCGACTAAGACCCTCAGCAAGAGAAAGGCTTTGCTCGCATTTACGGAAAGAAATAATTACACCAATTTCGATATGGGCCGTTATGCATTGGGGCTAAATACCGGTAGAAGGTAGAAAAAACAGGTTACGTAATGCTTACTTGTTAAATGTAGGTTTTCATGCAATTCTTCATCTGTTGTTAAAAAGGGTTAAAATAATTTGGTTTTTTTTACAAGCTGAGGAACTAAATGTCCTACGTCAATTAAACTTTCACGGTACTTTCAATCCCCACTGTCCACTGACCAAAAAAAATCATTTCAAAATTAACTAAGAATCTAGGAACTTACATTAGTGTCCGAAAGAAAGCCCACGGCTATAACAGTGATTTAATCGAACACGGGTTAGAGTTAGAGCCAAAGTAAGAACAAAATTCAAATGAAAATAGGACCCTATAGTGAATTACCCGGTGCGAGCAGCTTGTTCACGGAACCTCTTTTCGTGCCATCGACGAACGTCTTCAGGCGAAATTTTTCGTGTTCTTTGCGCAGCTTGATGCCAGTGTTCGGGGGTGATACCGCGGTCCCTACTGCCAGACCGGGAATCGGGGGTTTTGTAACGCTTTAAGGGACACAAATAGCAGTTCATGAAGGTCCTTATTTCGATTAGACATCACTTGAACACTAACTAGATTCAACGAAAGCAAACTCACCACTTCGCCCCGACCCTTTACTTTACGACCAGACTTGTAATTTGACACTTTCCAATTGGAAGAACGATCACGATTAGTATAGTGCCTGCATTATTGAAAAAAGAAAGCCATGACATAACTGAAAAATGTGGTTAGTGTCTACTTAAAAACATACCTCCCCGTCTGAATGGTCTAGAGGTAAAATGAACGGGTAAATACACATGGCCGAATGGCAGTTTAAAAGCATTACAGGGGCATTAGATAAAATTTAGGATATATTTAAAAAACTGATCAATGCTCACGACGTATTGTTTGAATTGCCTGGATCACCACGATACAAAAACTTGTTCTTCGGCACTTCGGGGATTTCTTCTGGTCGAATTTTCACAGAACCTGAGTCATCGCTATCCCTAGAAAAAAGTCATCAGAACCAAACGTCATACGAGGATGTGGAATCACGCTTGCGTCGAGACTTCTTTTTCTTTAGCTTCTTTTCTTTTCGCTTTTTTTTCTTCAACTCCTTTTTAGGATCTTTTGGCTTCTTCTTCTTGACTACACTTTTTGATCGAAATGAATGACCTTCTCACCTGGAACAAGTTCGCCACAATTTACGATTACAACAGGCTTTATTGGCTTGTAAATGCGAGTATCGGAAACGGGCACTGCCTCTATTTTGATCACCACTTCCTGTCCAGTCAACACATGCCCAAAAACCATGTGCTTCCCATTTAGGTGAGGTGCAGGAGCAGTTGTGCTAAATAATGATATTAACACAAACATAGAAATATGTGTACATAAAAAACTGCGAGCCGTTTGTATTTGGGCCGCGATTGGCCATTGAAAGAAGAAATGGTCTATCGTGAAGCAAAGACATGTCCTCATCTAAAAAATCATAAGATTGCCACAAGACAAACCAGCAAATGTGCCCCCATAAATTGATTCACCACCAGTCCCATCGCCATTGCTAAAATCACCACCTTGGATGATAAAACCTTTGATAATGCGATGGAAGGTAGACCCTTGATAATGCAAAGCCTTTCCAGTCTTCAAACCAATACCACAGATTCCTGTTAAGTAATGACAGGTAATGTAAGGCATGTACCTTGACAAAGTTTCTTGAAATTATCGCACGCTTTAGGGCACTTTTCATCGAACAACTCAACAACAATGCGTTCAGCTAAAAAAAGGAACAAATGAATTCGACATATACACTTACGTTCGGCTTCACCTATTTTGACATCTAAAAAACAACGAGTATTGAACCTCTTTCCCATTACGCAGGTTAGCAAATATGGCACCGATTCAGAGAGGTAGCTAAAACAAATTCACTGGTCACAAAAGGCACAACAGTGAACAAGAACAAGATTGATGATATTATTCAAATTCCTCTTCATAGAAAAGAAGAACTTGGATTTGTGTTGTTCAAAATATCCGAATATGGAGTCTACACTTTATCTATAAAAACTTAATCTTCAGACAACTAAGAAATATGTAAGGTTGCAGCGGAAAAATTTATATCTGCACGTGTCATCCATTAGTGATGTGTGCAAATATTCCACTGCCTAATAAAGTCTTTCGAATATTATTTGCAAGAATACTATTACCGTTCCATGCGTACCCTTTTCTAGAGCCACCTTTTAAACACTTCAGTAGCAAGTATTATTTAAGGCGATAAAAATAATTAAAACGGCTTTGGCCTGAAATATTAGGACGAAAGTATTACTGTTTACAAGTGTCATTGTCGAACAACAAAATATGGCCTTAAGAACAACGCCTAATTGCAATTGGGGTTTCTGATTTGGTTACTAAGTTGCTATTGGCTTACTTCCACGTGCTTGTCGAAGAATGGTGGTATTTATCTGTAATAAGTGCAACGAAAGTCTTAAAAAGAAAAATGTGGAAAATCACTTTCACACTTGTCGTTGTGCTACGGTGTCATGCGTAGATTGCTCAAAGGACTTCACGTACAAAGAAATGTTTGCTTATGTGCTTTGATAGAAAACAGACGTACGTTGCGCACATATCGTGCATCACCGAACAGGAGAAGTATGGTAAAGTGACTGTGGAGAGCAAAACACCGAAAGGCGCTGCAAAACAAATGGACTGGACGGCCGTGGTTCAATCGCGTTTAGCAAAGTTTACTCCTACTCCGGGAATTCAACTTCAGATGAAAAAGAAGATTCTAGAAAGCAATAATGTTCCACGAAAAAAAGCCAAATTCGAGGTTTCTTGTGTGCATGCTTAATATTTTTAGAACTTCCTTACGTCTTGTTTTAGATTCGCTCGTGCTGATGACATTAACGCCATTTGGTTACATATAACAAAACCTGAAGCTGAGCAAGTCGATTCTTCTTTCCTCAATAAGACGAAAGACGCGTCGCAATCATCAATTTCTTGTGGCATTGTAAGGCATGGGAAACGCAAGTTAGATGATACTGGAGATGAATCTAGTATCTGTTCACCTCTTCCCAAGAAACCATTAGAAGACAAACCGATCAACAATGGCGGTGACGAACAAAACGGTAAGGTCCAAGTAATTTCAGTCACTCTCTTAGGCATTAATAATAATATGTCGCTTAAAGAAGTCATGGCCTCCCATTTAAATGAACACAAGGGGCCAATGAAAATCAAGAAGTTGCGTAGAAAGGTAATTCTTTAAAAAATTGCGACAATTTGCCTGTATTCTAGACTTTCAGAACATTCAGGCTCTCCACACATTTTGATGAATCGGCCCACACGGAAGAGGCCTTGGAAAGGCTATTTCAGAAAGCTCTTAAAAAGAAGCGTCTATTCAGCATTTCTGAGGATAATCTTCGAGTATCAATCACTGATAATTCTGTCCAGGAGGACTAGTCCTATAACTTGCGCACCGGTTGTGTATAGGCTGTTTTGTGAAATGGTACATTATTTTCTACTTGCAGTTTTTTTCCTATTTTATGTACGTGTTACTTGCCTGACGTCGTTTATCCAGTGCACACCTTTTAGCAGCCAAATTAGCTTCTTTTAAAACCCCAAAAATGTGAAATCCACCCCGAAGTGTCTGATGCTGATTACATGGGACGTCTGTACGACAGAATTTGTTCTTTGTAAGATTTTTATATCTGTCTGCCAATTTAGGTAATTATTCGGTATCGGTAGTCAATGGGCTTTCCACGTTCTTCAAACAGTTTACCAAGCGCTTTTGCCAGTGTTTGAATATTTCTAAGTGACGAATGCAATTACTTTTTTCTTGTGGCCCTGTTATTTCGTCCCTATAGTGATGCTTCATTACCGTTACTCATGGATAGGTTGGTAACGGGGGGTAACGTTCCATTTGGTGGAATCCTGGCTTGGGGCTTCTTCCCATTGATCGGTCAAAATGGCAGCTCTAGTTTTCTCATTACTCAGTCCTAGGATCTTTACAACACTGGGCGTTCCACTGTTGGGCAACTCTTCGTCCTCTAAGATGCTGCAAATAAGGTCGAATGTGGTTACAGGTGACTCCCATGAGGTGACGTCGTCTTTGCGAATTCCGTAAAAAACCGTTAGGCGTTCCTGCTTTTATTACTTGTGTGTCTGCTCACGGCTACCTGTGCGGGGCGTCTTCCTTTTTTGTAATTTGTATTTGCGTTTAAATTGTGGTGATGATCTTGGTTGATGAGTGACAGATTGACAGTGTGGTATCCCTGTGACGTCGCAACAAGTTGTAAACGATGGGTTTTCATCTATGTCAATTTAGCAATTTACCAAAGTGGGGTGCTAACGCTCTTTTTTTTCGTATTGGTCTCACTTCTACTGGCTAAACATACCAGTGTATGAAAGCGGTCGCTGTAGACTTTACGATAAAGTCATGAATTAGCTGTGTTTCATTACACCGCTTACATTTGAAACTTGGGAGAATTCTTCCCGTCACTGGTGTTTAAAGATACGTCATTAATTCTATGATATCGGAGTCGAAAAATTTATCGATTTTTGAACTGCTAGATTTATAGTGTGCTTTGTTTTCTAACGGTGATTTATGAAACTAAGCACTTGTGTTATCAATGATTACCAATGGATAAAAGTCGATACGTTTCGTTGTGGAAATTCCAGAGGTGTGAAGCCACAAGACTAATTAAGGACGCCTGAATATAACCATACATGTCTAAAAATATGTTGCTTGAATGAAGTAAATTAAATGCTGACTTGGTTCCGAGACTCTGTTTATTCTGACTTTCGGGACCCTTGAACATTATGCATTTGAAATTACATTGATTTGAGCCTATGTGCCACGGCTATCAATGTGATGTACTCGAACTAATAAAGGAGCAGGTCCAAGATATGTGAATGCTGGGGAAATTCAATGCCGAGTACCTAATTTTTTCTTTGTCTATTAGATACATTAGGGTTCATTTTTGGCGTGCATTATGGCAAAGCACAAATATGCATTCTGATAGCTTGTCTTGGCAAGTTGTGAAACATAGGAAGAGTGGATGAAGATAACTTATGGATTTCGCTTAAAATCTAGAAAAATAAACAAATAATAAGGGAAAAAAGCCTTTTGTGCAATTTGTCGGAAGCTAGCTAGTAAAATAGGTAAGCAGTCAAATAGCACCAACGTAAATTTCTCCGAGATCAATCTTGAATGCCGTCAAATGTACACAAAGCTGCAACCCAAAACTCGCCTCTTTCACTCACCCAAAACTAAACGTCACTATTAGGAGAAATATGGCAGTCAGTCAACGTGTTAAATTTGCTTAAGTCTACTAGGCCACTGTTATTTCTTTTTAATTTATATTTAATTTCACAACACATGATCATTTGACTAGTCTTGTAATTCTACATACTAGTAATTATACCTTAGCCTTGATTCTTAGTAGAAAAACATCAAATATTTTTTTTAAAAAATATTCTTTGTGTCTGTTTTAGGTGTTGAAGTGAATAAAAAATTTGGCAATAGTTTAAGTATTCTAAATTTTACATCAAGGCCGAGAATTTAGAAGTCTAACTATTTAAACTGCCCTTTGGATTATCTTTCCTTAGCTATGGATTTTTTATCTTCGGATGACTCCTACGAGGAAGTTTCGATTTTTGAAAATCATATGGGGAAAGTTATTGCAAAGTACAACTTTCGTCAGAACCGGCAGGGTTTCACTAAGGAGATTTATGCAGTACCCAATACCTTCGTAATGCTATTGAAATCAGCTCTTCTCCCAGAGGGTTATCCAGGTTCCGTCAGTAAAGATTACCTTGAATATCAGATTTGGGATACAATACAGGTACTTTTTGCTTTTTTTAAAAAAATCAGGTGTTGAATATTATGCTGTGCTTTGGGATTCTGGTTTTAATATTTCTTTTAAATAATGACAAATCGGCGTAATGGCTGTTCAATAAGTACCAGTAATCTAAACACAAGACCAAATGTCTAACAATAAAATGTTATTACATAGCAATTGCGCTGTTTCTGTTCGCGCCAATTGATTTGGTCTCCATTTCTATATTTTAATTAAGAATACAAATTTCTTTTAGTTTAGCTTATGTGTGTTACCGCAAATCCCTCGAACGTTTACTTGTTAATGTTTTTTAGTTATTTTGGAACGTTTTGTAAAGCTCTACCCAACATAATTAAAATTCAACCCTTGGTAGCCGAAGCTCTCTTAGAAATTTAACTTCATAATCAGGATCATCAATTTGTAATCTCCACATTGGCTCCACTTTATGTATGCCTCGCCTGCAGTGCTATTTGAACCCTCTGTTCTTTGGAACCCCTATAACGACCAACAAATATAATTCTTCTCCCTATTTTAAACGGAAATTTTGCACAAGCACATGACTAAAGATGCCAATACGAAGCACCCTTGAATGTGTAGGCTTTAGATATTGTTAACATTGCGCATTATGCAGTAAGCCACTGTTCGCAACTCTAGAACCTAAGAAAGTTGCATTGGTTTTCTAAGACGGTCAGTCATAGTAAATATTTAGTCTATAGCCCTCATTTCGTTTAAAAATATTCAAGCATTCTAATGCGTATTAATTTCAGGCAATTGCAAGCAGCATCACAGGAACGCTAGCCGGTCAGGCGGTGCTAATTGGCGTCGGTGTTGGCAACGCTAGTGCGAGTGTCCTTGCCGCAACACTGACCTGGATGTTCAAAGGTGTGCCTTGCCGTTTGACTCTACAGTCCCATCACTTTCGTTTCGATATTGGTTTTCAACTTGCTTGTGCCAAGTCGATAAGCCAGTACCTGACAACGCGTTCTGCTGCCTGTTTTTAAATTTTGACTTGTACTCGAGTCGGTTAGGGAATCACAATGTGTTTTGTGCTTGTCTTTATTTTCTGACTCAGATTATTACAATGCCGTCGTTTATTACTCATATTTATAAATTGGCAGTAATTTAATAAGGAAAGTAAAATCATAGGCAACGACAGTTAATACCCCCAATTATGAGTTTGTGTGCAAAATTTCTCACCCATACCCTCACTTCCGCCATGACCTTCAATGGTTAACCAATCATTATCCAGTATTTCTAAAGCATTTTTATCCAATGAGTTTTGAGTATTTGACATTACTTGGAAAAACTCTTGATTCTTGTAGATGGAGCGGGCATGGTCGGCCGAATTCTCTTCGCGGCCTGGGGCGGGTAAGTCAGTTGTAGTTCTCCGGCGCTCATTGGTTAATTCGTTTTCAGCTCTAGTCTTGACAGCCAGTGCAAGCAGTGGAGGTAGGGATACTCAAACAGCTAATCCTTGATAGAATCTTCGCCGACGTGCTGAACGATCTATCACTCCTTCTGGAACTCCTGTCGGTCCGAATATACTACCTATTCACTCCGGTTGTGTGCTTCGCAAGTGTAATGCGGGTGCGTTTTGGGTTTCATTTTGTGACTTCCGCACGGAATCAAATGAGAAATTCGCACTAATCTTCCGAAGATGCGTCTTTTTTGTGGGCATCTGGCAGTTCGACAGAAACTATCGCTGCACATGCTATTTAGACAATGTGATGAGTTCTTGCATTCGTCATTACCTCTTAACGTTCCATCTCTAAGGTTCGTTTCGCATTATTTGCAATCACATGGAGATCAACTTACATTCAATTTGAGATACAGCAAGTACCCACAGTTTCCGTGGTTATTTAACGCGTAATTCCTTGCTTAATGTGGTAACCATTGGATATAGTCTTATACCTGCATCTTTCTTGTCATAGTTTTGTTTAAATTAATTGAATTTGCAGCCTCTGTTTATGCTTTACCGACAAATACGGCTTTCTGTTAACCGATTTATACCTAAACTATTTGGACTTCATTCTTTATGAGCGCTGAGTAATCCTCTCAAGTGTGTCACTAAACTGGCGGAGCCATCTTTTTCGACCAATGATGTCTTTGTGTATTTTCTCTTCTGTAGGCATTGGTTGGTATGGTTGGTGGCGCTACACGGGCGGCAATCACACAGCATCAGGCATTGGCTAACAACATGGCCGACGTAGCAGCTAAAGACGGAAGCCAGGTGATTCGATTTGTCGATTTCTCTAAAAATTAACAGTGTTGGGAGGTCTTGTGTGTTGTCGTGTAGTTGTTGATCGGTTTTGGTAGGTTAAATTGCAGTCCACCTATTTTCATGCGCTTTAAAATGCTTTCATCACATTTGTTTAAATTAGCTGAATTTTACGGCGTAAAAATGATGCATTTCTAGACATGTAACACTCGGCCTTGTACTAGTTATAAGAAATTTACAGGTCATGGCATTTATAGCACAATTAACTGCAGATAATGGTTTCTGAAATCCTATTTGGCTTCGCCCTAAATAGAGCAAGGTCCAGCAATCTTAGCTATTAAATTTATCCCGAATAGATGGCACTCCCCAAAACGTAACAGGTTTCGAAAATCGAGGGTTTCTACGTCCCGAGACCCCGGCAACTTTGAAATGTCCGCGGGCTGGTGTAAACAGAATCAGCCAATAGTTTGTCGAGTGCGGTTTCAAGTTAGCACACTTCTTATTTGCTCAATAAGTTCGAATTAAAGTTGTAACTTTTTTTAAATTTAAACTGTAAATATTTTCAACTCTGTGAAATACCTAGCGTCCGACCGTGCGATTTTTTGCACCTCGTAATTTTACAACCGAGGAATTTTTGATTTCCACTCTAAAACCGCCACATTTGATAAATTGACCTAACCGTGGTTTAGCTTTCATCCACAAACATCGCACTATTCTTCCTCCCACACATTCGATTAATGAAAATATGTTATTACTACTTTCAACATTTAAGTAGCGGCGTTTTTTGATGCTTTTATTTCAGGAAACGCTCTCCAACTTGGTGGCCCTCGCAGTCAATTTCCTTCTTATCACCATAGTTACAGGAAAACCCGTGTAAGTTGTTATCTGTTTATTCGTCTTACTTCAACCTATTAGTTGTGCAAGGGGCAAAATTATACCTATGAAATGTTCTTGTTTTAAACAGCTAGCATCACATTTTCTGACCAACCAGAGCTATATGACCTTGTCGTATTGATCTGATCGTCTATGTGTGAATTGCAGAATATGAACAGAATGCGCAAAATATCGCTTTTTGTAATCCGATTTCGGTCGATCTGTTTGCCGCGTGCCTTCCAAACTCTGCAAATTAATGTAATGCATCAATAAAAATGAATTTTCCCCTTAATGATCTGGCATTTCTATTCAATTAATTGATTATTCCGGCATAATGTCATTTCGACACATCACGCTCAAGTGCGTGACTGTCTTGTCCTGTGGGCATTTTGACGCTTCCTCACCTGAGTTGTTACTAAATGACGGAATAGCGTGCATTGCCTCAAATCTTACGTCAAACCCCATATAAAGTTATTAAAATTTTCCAACTGGCTTGATGAGTGATGTTCACAACCGAAGTATCAAATCAGCTCTTGTTTTTTTTTTGTTTTAATTTCACTAACTTATTCTCATCTATGCAACGAATGCCCCTTTATTTACAAAAGGAAGTAATTTATGGTACAGCGATGTGACGTGGAGTAATCGATTCCTTCAACTGACCACGTGATGTGTTTCCGTGTAAGCCAAATTTTCGCACAACCTGCTTGTATCCATGACTCACTTGTGGCATGGAATTCCCGCGCACACCTCCTTAGTTGGCATTGACGGAGTATTATACTGTCGATACTCTTTACTGAATTTAACCAATCACGCGGCTTGGTGCACACAGACGCAACCTAATTCGTGGAATTGCTAAAACCCCTTAACGATCAGTACACCTGTAAAATTTTGAACCACACCTTGCTGGCAGCGTTTTAGTGTGTTGTAAATCACAAGCCGGTTTGCCATAAACCCCTATGTGGATATACCCTAATGCGCGATAATGCCTACTTTTGTGCGTACAACCTGCAAGTCGTTTAAACTCGGCGCGAATGCAACCCAAAATGGGATTTCATTTGACGAAGACGGCGCTTAATTTATGCCTAATGCACGTATTGGTAGAGAACGCGCACCGGGGGTACATGCACTTAAATGTGTGAGTACAGACAGTCCCCCGATGGCTGAACTGGGGAGGGGGGCGGCAGTGTGTAGTGAGTCGTATTGATTCACGTCCGTTAATCAATACGACTCACTACTGCTCCCTCATTCAAACTCGGTGTGACTTCAACGTCCTCAGATCTGCTGGACATGCACGAGTTCCGCTCGCCGCTGCTGCCAAATTCTGTTAAAAGCAAGAAATCAAACTTTTTCCCCCTAATTTCGGTGCGGATTTGCGTCGGCAATGGATCGTTGACACCCGCGATAGTCTGGTTGTCTTCCTATTTTCACCAAGATTTTGTTGAATAGACCAGATCCCACACCAAGTACCCAGAGGCGAATGCGAAGACCAAATTCGACTAAGGATCAACTGTTTCGTAAACCGCTGAATCTGGGTGAATGTCGGCCGTGGCTATTTCTGTGTACTTATAGGTCGTATGGGTTAAAATATGGAATTAGAGTTCATCAGAGTGGACGCAGAGTTGAGGTCAAGCAGCTCGGCAGGGGGTCTGTGGGGGGGATGAGTGAGTAAACCTGGGTCAAGTGTGAAATGGTGTGATACCACTCGCGTCACCACAATTTCATCTTCGTTGAGCAAATTCCACCCAATCAACGCTCAGATGTGCCCAGGTGATCTGAGATCGATGAGATGGGTGAATAACGCAGTGATGAGATGTTGGTGTGAACGACGATGTGGCCTGACGGTAGACTTCTAACTGCGTGAACAAAGCTGGGTGAATAGACGTCACAAATCCCAGTCACACACACACAAGGACGTCTGTGCCTACCTCGGCACACACTGAGACACCTCACTTAGAAGTAAACACCGAATTTGTCTTGCCTTCCAGACTAATTTGGCTGGTCTTCGCTCTCCTGACGCCGCTCCACCTCTACGCCAACTGGCGAGCCGTGCGTTGTCTGCAATTCGACACCCTGAATCGCGCCCGTTTTCGCATCCTCATTGAGGATTGGTTGAGGAAACACGACGAGATGTCCGACCGACTGCCGCCTCTCCTCTCAGTGCGTGAGGTGAACCACCGTGAACCCATCGTCTATCCGTCTTGGGGAGATTCTCGCGGCCGCACCATCCACCTTGGGTGTTCGTTTGAAACCTTGACGCAAATGAAGTATGTTAACACAACTCCACGCGTCGACGTGTAGTCGAAGTGGTCAGCGAACTGCAGTGGCATATTGAACTGTTCTAAGTTAGGGTCGGCAATTAGAATTGTCGCGAGTTACGCTAGTGTCCGGGCGAAATGATCGTCCGAAATGTGTCAGGGATTGGTAATCGAGGTGTGTCATTTCTCGCTAACACCTTGTCTCCTATCCAGATCAACTAGACCAGGCTACTGTTTCAATAATACTTTAGGACCAGCTCCTCGATGGTGCAATTCCACTGAAACAGATCTGGATCGATTCCAGTATAGCCAGGGCTTTTCCACAACTCGATTTTCTGTTTGGGGAGGAGGCGGTTTTCCAATTTCTGAATGGTACTTTTTCAACTTCCACGGGCCCTTCAATCTTGACAGTCGTTTAAACCGTCCGACTGCAGCCCCACGTATGGAATTTTCCGGGGCTCCATTCACCAACATTCATTAATGTGCTTCCGTGAAAGTGTGAATGCTCTCGTCTACTTCGCTGCGCAAGAGTGCAATGAATCGTTTTGATTCACGTCGATGCTAAGTTTAGCTCGTAACCAAGATCCACACGCTCAGGCAACCAGTACCCCCAGATCCTTTGTCCGACGCTCGACCCCACCCTGCCACACCAATGCCAGACGAGGCAGGACCCCTTGTAGAGAGCTTTTGACGTCCCATCCAAGAATCGAGTGATCTGTCCTCTTATATAAGTCAAGGCGACTTAACACTAGCAGGGCTGCCAATAGGGTGCAGTAAACAATTGCGAAATCCTAACCTACGATGTGCCCTTATGAGGAACGCTGGATCCCCAGCTGTCCATTCACCCGGTCGTCGCATATTCAGGCTCGCTGTCCCTTTTGAACATGCTGAACCATCTGCGAGCACCTCCTCCCCACGCAACCCATCTCATTCAATCATTTATTCAACCCCATTTAGTCAGACGAACATTTGCCCACAGAGCGTGATTCACAACTTCGTTTAGCTATCTTTGGTCATCGTAATCTTCCTGGACGTCAGTGTAGCGTAACGGAAGCATTCAACCTGCGTGGAGCCTTCAACAAATGTATTAGTGTCACAAAAGCGTCAAATAGAAATGACTAGTGGATGCCAAATTTGTTATACCAAGATACGTTTGGTAGTATGCCTATTCCCACACTCCCCTGCGGTAATTTTGGTATCGATCGCCTTCTTGTAGCCGTAAAATGTCCCTTCAACATGTCCGGTGAGAGGAGAAGCCGTCAGGTTCACGAAGGTAGCCACCTGGTGTCCGAGATCGATTTGGCCGTCCATCGAAGCCTCAATCCTCCATCTCGTCGTTAGTCTCATTTTAATAACCCTCTCCACGAAATTGACGTGTGTCTGCTTGGTTTCGCTCTACAACTTAGCTCAAATCCCAAAATGTTAAACACAAAAGGTCGTTCTTCGGTTATCACTGTGGTTTGATTAGTTACCCCCAGAAACCACGCACGAAATCAGCTTGAGATGTAAATCTTATCATTCGTAGTTTAATATCGATGCGTGTTGTTAAATTAGTTGTATGTGTGTGAAGTAACGGTTTAGCAGACAGGCCATTTGATGCACAAATAAATCCGTTGCTTGTTAACAGGCCATAAAGAGAAGCGAAAACGGATACAACTGATTATTTGCGTCACACCGAGGCAACTATCTTTATGTGCGGATAAGTGCGACTGATAACAGCAGCCAATGAAAACGGGGATGAGACATTAAAATCGATAAATCTGTAAGCGAGCTTCACTCATGCGCGATCGATGAAAGTCCATTACAAACATTCTCGCGCTCTAGAGTGCTGACTATGAGGCACAGTAGACGCTCAAAGATTATCGATCCGAATCGACCACGCGACTGCGGATACCAGGCGCCGGCTGGGTTGCTTCCTCGGCTCACAGAGTTGGCGGAAACGGCGAGTGTTGCGTTGTCGTCGTTGAAGATAATGGAATTTTGACTAATTGTTCTCCGAGCTCGATAACGCCTATGTTGCTCTTGCTTGCCGCTAGATCAGAGGAGATGGTTTGACTTCCCTCTCCTTTGAAGATGTATCGATGAATTGGAGTTCGGAAAGCTTTTTTAGTCATTTCTCTCAGGCTAATCGGTTCGCAGTGTTCCACAAATCCGATTAAAGCTTGACTCACTTGGTGGTGTATAATTAGGAAACCTGATACTCTATTTACGGTTGGAAATTATGGGCTAATATAGGCATGCACAAGCATTAACACAACCAAACGAGGTCGCAATTAAATCCTCTGCCAGCTGGCCGGTGGCCTAATTATTTCAATAGTGAACGACTCGGCTAATTAGGTCAAAAGCTCTGATTGGTTAAAAAAGGCTGCGCTTTTTGCCAGAGGTTATAATTTTAGGAGAGAGCTATTACCTCGGATTCCAATAGTTGATGCCGTAAAAGATCAAACCAATCACGACGATTCCTAACCACGAATCCACCAATAGTGACAGCTACTCTGACAAGGTGTTTGTTTACTTGTTTTTTTTTCATCTAACGTACTTTTAAATTTAAAAAAAAAACGTCGCTTTGTGTCACTTTTAGGGACTGCAAACTTCAACCTCTGATGGGCGTGTACGCGAAGGAAAAGTACATACTCTACAGTCCCGAATGGAAGTATTCAGGTGAGCTATCTCGCCTCAGTCTATTTCACCATTTGGAGGTCCTAGGGACGTTACCATGGCGACAGCGCAGGACCAATCATACCAAGCGTGAACGGGCACGCAATCCAATCAGTTATCTTCAGTACACTCCACTCCACGTCGCCATGTTTGTTCAGAGACCAATTGTCGAGCTTTCCTACATAAACTGACGGCTACGAACCATATTTTGCGAATTATTTTAAGATGAACAGACTAATCGATACGTTCGAAAACGTATCCTAGACACTAAATACTACGACAATAAATGTCAAACAGTAAAAGTAGACAACAAATGGGGTGGCTCAACTACCGTTCATCATGAGCACTGCTCGTCTATTGAACAATTTGTAAACGGCGCTCTGTAAGACCCAGAATTGAAACAACAGATACAATGTCTGGTAAGAACATTTGCTAATTGCTCTGAGCACGTTTTACGTCGGACAACGATAATTCATTCCGCTGATTCTCCGACAAACGTCCCGTTTTATCTATCATTGGTAGTCCTCACGCACACAGCGAGACTCACCTGAGAAGCATCTGGTTAGGGGGGGAGGGCGCATAATTTGACTTGATTTAAATCAGCTACATGTGTAGTATGTCTAGACCTTATCGATCACCCAAAATATTTTCTGGTTTTGTTAACCCCTCAACTACCTGAAACTTCTCACTTTCACCTCTACTATTAACATACCTCGTTTATTTACTGCACATGCATCTCCCCCACTACACATTTCAGCCACTCAGGCATCTGTGCTTACACCATTTTCACCGAAACTGCATTGGCCAAGAACCTCATTGGTCATGCGTGACTTTGACTACACATAAACACGCGACAAGAACACAGCTTAGTTGGGACACTTCTTGTCTTCCTTGTCCCGGTGTGGCACCAAGCCCCATGTCCAGGCCTTCAGCGACCTCTACACATCGTCGTCCGACATTTCTTAATCGACATTTTATCAAAACGCCACAATAATAAATTTCTGTTCGCCTCGAAGTACGTAATTAGCTGACTATTTTCAGTTAGCTTGTAACAAAAACCACTTTGTTCTGGCTCTCGACAATGTTGCGTTGGGCGCGACTTCTTATTTGTCTAGCTGTCCGAAAATTCTGACGCCAAGATTGCTTCGCGTTTCCTTGGCGTCTGCGTTACCATCAGAACTCTTTTCTAACAACGTAATTGCGTAAACCTCATCAGCTTAACCCGTGGGTAGTTTGCTTGCGCTTAACAACCAGTTCGCAATCCTCAGATCACATACTGAACTGTTATTACATTAAGCAGCCAATCACAGCAGCGTTTGATTGAATGTACTCACTGAAACCAATGCACCAAAATCTACGACATGTCGATATAGTCCTCTAAGCAACGGGCCAATTATCGTCGAGATCAATTTATCGTGAGGTATAGTATAGCAGCTACTAGGGTGGAAATCCCAAACATTTGTTGAATACCTGGCTATTTCGAAGTTGACAAACAGACCTAGTTCCCGGGTGGCTTATGTCGAATCAGGTGTTCGCGGAAGCCTTGTCGAATTCGTTGAATGACTAATCGGAAGCGCTGTTGTTATATGGTTGTTAAGGCTGAATAGTCGGCAAGTCGTTGCTGGTTGCTCTAACCACCTGCACATCTGCTCCCACCTTGCGAAAATCAAAGCCAGACTCCAGCAGTGTCCTGTGGACGCTCTAAGTGTATTCAGAAAAAGCTTCACTTCTTTAGGCTACAGGGAGTATCACCTGCCGATCTATATTTGCCTTCACACCGACGCAGACACAATGGACATCTTCAAGGCCCTGTTCCACGCTGAAATCGTCTGTGCTCTCTGCTACGTAAATCAATGTCTTTTGATGTCTTCTTCCAAACTCGGCTTTATACGTGTTTCACAGGCATGGGATCCGTTGTTAAATGGTTTTATTAGTTATTATCATAGGCACTTTCCGAGCTTTCAATGATCAGAAATAATCATGAAAGCGAAATTACTTCCTTGCCAGTAAATTATACAACCTTTCTTTCGGCTTCGAGTTTGTGTTAAGTTGTCCTTTTTGCTTTTTTGCAGGAAGGCGCCGACTGTGAAAGCTTCAAGCAATTCTGGGTTGGGGATGATGGTAACTTTCGCTTCGAATTAATTGTTAATTTGGATTCTGTATATGGGACAGCGCAACTTGTGATTAAAATGACGCGCCAGAAAGTTAATGGCCTCACAACTTGTGAAATGCCACACTCGCATTGTCGCGCCGGGTCACTTTGCCTTGCGCCAGGATTGAAAATTTTCTTTTTTTTCTACGGTGCACAATCGATTTGAAGATGGGTGTGATCGAATGCCTTTGGTCCAATCCGAAGTGCCCACGATTTGTGTACCAATCAGCGTCGCATCCCGGTTCAAGGTCGTCTGTCGTGGATGCAAACGTACACCCGGGGTTGTGCGGTCACCAAATAAGTCCCTCTGCTTAACCAGTTGGAAGTTGGAAGTTCGACAGCCCGATCACTACATTGATGTCCCTCACAACTCAGTTCATTCACGAAATGCACCAAACACGTGGCTGGTTTCCAGGTCGTGTCAGCCCCTAATCGAGATCCTTCCCTTTTCCGTTCTTCCGAATCCCACCTGCTAGTTTTTAGCTTGAGATCCATGGTAGCGGCTTTAATGTGGACACCGACCATGACTGGTATCGATTGCTAGAACGCTTCACTTGCAACGTCTTTGACAGCCTATGATGCTTGGCTGGGTTTGCCAAACAGGCCACAGTTTTCCCACTAAATTCCTTCCCACAGTAAACCCTCATCGTAAACCGCGTTGATACCTGGCGCGAGCATCGTCATTTTCGTTGTTGGCACGACGCCCATCGCGTCCAAATGTGTCTTGTAGGTATTGCATTTTTCGCGTGGACTCTGGGTCGGGCGACCTTCTGGATGACTCGGATCTTGAAGTCCTTCAGCGAGCACAATTCAAGGCGCGGGGAAGCCCAGTGGAGTCTCTCGTCGCTGCAAGTCGATGCGAAACCTTGGCGGATTCACCGAAATCTCTACCGTGTCGCGGCACCCGAAGAAGTGTCAACATCGAAGAAATGTGCTTGAATTTCTGCTTGTGCATCCTTTTTTTCCTTACAGGATGGCCTTGACTCCTTGTTTAAAACAAACGTTTCTTTTGGTCTGATCTTGTGACGCTAAGTTGATCCAAGTCGAACGCCAAAGCTCAAACGTTCACACCATCTGCTCCCAGAAATAAAAGTACATGTGTCAATTTACAAATGCTGCTACCATCAGATCTTAAAAAATGTACCAAATTTCGAAATCACTTGGTAAATTCCAAGACAATTGGCTTGAACTTCACAACCATGTTGTTAGACGCGCAGTCAACCAATCAGAGTCCATTAACACAGGGGTCTGTAATCCATATTGATTTTTTTGCTCATTTCAACAGGATTTGAACTGTCAGTGACGTTGCAAATTTTGTAACATTTCGTATTTAATGATTGTCTGGATTTTGTGGGTGGAAGGTGAACGATTCCCATAGATGTCTTAAAATACCACAAGTCATGTGAGCGTGGCTAGATGGCATTATTTCTGAACACTGAGCCGACAAACGTCTGTTCTCATTGGTCAATAAATAAAAAAATTATTGTTCGTAGGACAGACTCTTATTCACCCACAGTAATAATTATCAATATTAAGATATTGATTATCATTGCATTTTTGAATCTGACACTTCCTAAGGCTAGAAATGATCCAACTTCTCATATAAAACTTTTGTAGAAATGTTAGCAAACTGTTTGTTTAAATGATTTTTCGAGTGTAGACGGTTTCAAGTTCTGATCTCCGTAAAATACCAATTTTGTCAACTTGGAGACTACGAAAATCGCCTTTCGTGGGGGCATGGAGAAATTGATTCCAAATAATTAGATTGATTTTTTGGAGTGGGTGAGAACAAAGGCATGAAATGTTTTTGGTATTTTTGTGATTTCCTTTATGCCTTTAAACTCAAAATCAAATTAGCATAGTGACAAAATTAAACAGCCAAACTTCGAGTCCCAAGGACAGGCTTGTTTTAATCAACTGATGACGATGCGAAATCTCCGCTTTTGACGAAATCACCCTTGTAGGTGGTCCCCATGGATCTCTTTGATGCTCTCTAAATTTTAAGAATTCGTGGAGAGGTATCCAGTAAGATGGAAGGCTTTTGTCGGGTAGCATAAAAATGAAAATTGAATTTGTTGCCATGGCAACTGCAATGTCAAGTGTGCTCAGTGTTCTACGTTTGATAATAAAATTCGGTCGATTATATGTAGATAAATATATCGGGTCTGAAAGTACAGAACAACAGAGTAAATTAATATTAACTTGCTCTCTTGAGCTCAACCAGTAATCGTCATTCTCGATGTTATTTTAAGTGAGTTAGCGGCAAGAAATGTTTGGGATCACTTTACTACCCTGAGGTTCAAGTTACCGCGAACTATTGACTAATGTACCAAATCGAGGAGCTGTTAGTGGGATATTTATATTTTAGCTCAGTACAGCCCCTAACAGCCTCAAACTATTAAAAAATTCTGAAAATATATTGAAAGTATTAAAACGCAAATTCACATTTCTTCTACCCGTTCGATTGTTAAATTAAACGACTTTATGCACTCTCTTCTGCCAGTATTTGTGCTGTTCGCATAAAAATACTCAAGTTCCTACAGCCGGTAACCTTAGTCTCTCACGTACGCCTTCAACAGTCTAATCAGTAGTTAGTGGGAAGTCGTAACTCAAAGGATTCGAGCATAAACAGGTTGTTTTCGAAACTAACCAATTGGAATTTTAACTCCAACGTGGACTTTAAAGGTGGGAGAGAAATCCAACAGTCCATGAATACCACGCCCACTCACAGAGAACACGAAATCATTTCCTCCAAATGAAATGAAATTTTACTGCCTCTTTCCTATTGAGCATTGTCCACAAAAGACGGAGAATTTGCCGTCTTCTTTAATTGTTTGGTATGGTTTTACTATTTTTGCGTATTAACTAGGCGATAAATTCATCACTCTTCTGGAAAATAACGATCGTGTTTGAGCCCTCTTGGTATTGCCAGCGAAGTTTCACATTAAGTCGATGTAAACAAACAAATAAGCCAATAAAACGCGTTGTTCGCGCAGGATGTGCGCTCATTCAATTCGTGAATTTCATTACCAAGCCAAGTCAGTATCCAAAGTATTGATCAATATTGATTTTATTCTACTGACTGAGATGCGCGGATTTTGTTTGGGTGTGCTGTAGCGCGCGCTAGTCGACCCACACACGCCGGTCTGGCCTGTTCTTTGTCCTCCTCTTCCCTCCCGCACTCCCGCCCGTGAGTCCGAGGTCAACGCCGACCCTCCTCACGGCCATCCCTTTCCCCGCTCTAACCCTCCCTAAACTCTAGCCCTCTGAATTTGTATGCGGTAGTATGGAATATATCCGGTTCTTCCGGTTCTATAGTGTGCCTGGCAGCTAACCATGATGGTGTTGCTATCTAAGAGGGGTCACAGCGCTTCAGCAGCATAAAGCGTAGGAAAAGAGCGTTTTTTACTTATCTCGATGCTTTCTTGAAAGATTACATCGACTCTGGTGGCGGCGGACATCCCAGTGCACATCACTCCACGAGGTAACAGACCCATCTCCGATCCTCACTAATTCCATCAGACGTGATTGGCGTGACGCAGCATCTACGGGACACCCTCCCCCCTTTTCTCCCCCTTCCAACCAATCAACACCACTCGCCCAACCCAACTCAAATCGTGCCTATCATCTGGACGGGGTTGCTGCCAATCAATTTATTTGTTGTTCATTTTCTTTCCTCGTCTACATGACCTGAAGACGTGTGCTTTAGGCGAAGCATTGAAAACATTTTTAATGATCCTCCAACCGGAAAAGCACGTATTCTTTTATTACTAGCAAGCTCAAGGCATAGACGACACGTAGACCATGAAGGCTGTAGGTTGGACATAAAAATACAGACTACGAGATTTGCTTGAGCGGAAATTACGAAGTTTAAAATGGCAAAAACAAACTTTACTTGAAGTTAAAAAGTGAATGAAAATATTTAAGGCAAACAATGAGTAAACTAACCACAGTTTCCCTACTAATTTGCTTTTTATAATGGTGGAGTTGTCTAAAATGCGTTTTTGTCCAGCTAAACCCAAATTTGATCGACGCAACTACCAAATAAACCAAACTTATTCAATAAGTTGTCTCAAAATCATAATTAAAAACATGGCAATAATGAAGAAAACATGATTTTGGAATTCCCAATGGCTTTTCATCGAGTCGTCAGATATTTTAAATGACCGCCATAACCGGTAAACCAATCGCATTTTAGATTAGACAGTTTGAAGTACTCATGCTGAATTTGTGCAGATTTTAAAATAGGAATATTTTCGCGGGCTTTTGTGGTTTTTAAATGATCGGACGCAAGGTTTCAGAGCGCCTTAGTAGAAGAACACGTCCCAAAACACGACGGCATTCTTGCGTTTCCCGAAAGAAGGCGTAGGGTCGTAGAAAATGATGGACTTGGTATTGTTAAAAGTGATGCAGAAGAAAATATTGAAAGAAACCAAATCCGTCTGGCTTCCAACTTTCTAACTAATTTTTAAAATGTCTCAACAGATCAGTTTGGTCGATTCTAAGATGAGCTACTGGAGTTAACAAGGCCATCAATCTGTCTCGAATATTTGTTTTCCTGACTCCCTGACAGTGGTCTATATGACATTAACCTCAAATGCCCAGTTAACGATGAGTTGGCGGTTAGTGTGTAGTGAGTTATGCTTGTTTGTAGAATTATTGATTTCAATGACTCATCCCTACTTCTTATTGATTGCTGTTATCGATCGCATGTTACGCATGCGCACTCATCCGCTCACAAGGCCACACACGTCTGGAGTGAATCCCTTTTTTCACAAGTTTTCACTTGTCGGTAGGTAGTGCAATCAAGTCGCTTCATGTGCTTTGCATGACGCTATGGTCGCCACGTGCTAATGGCATCGTTGCCGTGGTAACAGTTGACGGTTAACATGGTCGCTAATGCCCACCACTGGATCCACACCTTCCGTGATCAAACTTACGTCACTTATGTGAACAAAATGCTTTCGTGACTGGAGTTGTGGACACGGCCAAAGTCAATTTAAATAATCACACCTTTGTGCATTTCCCAGGAGGCTTCGCGGACGCTCTAGTTTAAGTTTTTTTTTAAACTAACTCTTTATAACTACGTCCATGCTTATAGCACTGGAGGCAGACGCTCAGACATTGAAAAGTGGGGTACAGCGTTGGCATTGAAGCAATTATTGCAACCATAATTTCTGAAAAGGTATAAGGTCTGTCCACAATATGGTAAAACAGGGATTGGCTCTAATGTCCGGCTCCGGTTTGGTCATGTTCTTTACACACGATTGGGCATAAAGAAGTGTCTCGGTGTCTCCAACGCTGAGGCCACACCGTCACCCGAACCTGAAAGAGACGAAAAACTCGGCTAGATATTCTCTCGAAGACAAATTCATCCTAGCTTGCTTCACGCGATGGGAAGCTGTCTGATGAATTTTCCCCCTTGCGTTTTGACAGCACTCAACCAGCCTTGCCATGGAGGAGTGGAGTTGGCAAAGCGTGATTCATTCTGGGCTTTGTTAATTTTTTTCTCTAAACGCGACTTGCGTGTAAAAGATAGACAAGGATTTCGAGGACAATCCGAAAGCACAATTAAGTCCTTTATCCTAATTGACAAATAACCACGCCACTTGAGGTTGGTGCGATGAAGACACTGACAACTTGAATTTATTGGTTGTTAGGTGAGCGCGTATTTGAAAAATGCGCGGCAATTGGTTTTTCGTAGTTTTAGTAGCTCAAAATCCATGACCCGACCATCATCTGCCAAATAACTTTTATACTATTTAATTTCATGGAAAAAAAGCATCCAGATGTCAAGATAATTCCAACTTAAAAGTCCAACGACAACAGGTGACCGGGGTAGACGTTTTCAGCGATCGATAAAGAATGAGCGTAATGCACTGTCGATCGATACATCAATCAATTCCCTGACTTTGCGCTTTTTAATAGGTACCAAATCTTCGTGTTTAGTTAACAAATCAGGGATTTTAGAGTGATTGTGGCATTTGAAGACGACTTCTTCTCGATCAAGTCATGAACACACAGAAATCTCGAAAATACGTTGAAGTTTACGCGTTGTTTACTCTTTTTTTTAAAAAAAACACAATTCGATGTTAGCGCAAAATTGAAGAATCGGATGCAACGTCTACGTGAATTACACAACCCCTCAGAATATCAGAGTTTGCGACGGAAACTGTAAACAGCAAATCCGATGGCAATGCATTTTATGCGATCTCCAACGACAAGGAAAAACAGCTTCTGAAACAGCACAGTGGGAATCAATTTGTAGTGTTCTTGGTGGCGACGCTGCGTATTTATTGATCGCGATTTCGACCTTGGTGACCAGCCGCGCCACGGACAGCCTCGGAGTTGCAAGGTACATCACAGTATCATTAGACTTTTCAGTAAATTCCAGGCGAACATATTTCGTAAATTCCATCCTTTTTACTCACTACCTCGTAGATCATCGTTGTCAGTTTGTTGAAACAGTTTGACTTTAATTGGAGTAGCGTGTTGAACCATCACAACTAACCGTCGGCACAGAATCCTGATTTGGCCGAAATCCCCAAAATAGAAGCCCACAGCTACGCACGACGTGATCTCCATTCACAAATGTGTGTTAACTTCCAGGTCGAACAGCAATTTCATCCAAGACAACACACGGGCAGCCCATAATTACGCTCTGGCTTTATTCGACAGCGGACACATCTCTCTCCAAAGCTATTCCGGTTCAAGTGGCCCCCACTTGGGGAATGCAATCGTTGACACATTGAAATCTCATCGCTCAAGTACTGTTTAAAATCTACGCACTCACACTGCCCTTCTAAGTGCATTTGAATTTAGTATAAGTGTACTTTGGAGATGCACTTTTAAATAACACCACTCAAACCTGGTTATACAGGTCCAATAGCTCCACCTAAGTTTCCCGTAAAACAATTAATAACTATTCATTTAAAGGCATATTCTCCTTTGTGATTTGAATTCTACTTAAACAAAATGACCTTATCGACGCTATGAAGTGCCTACAGGAGCTTTGAGGATGTTTTTCAGATAAAAGAATGCTTTTACAAAAAAGTAACTTGTGTCGGATTAGGTCCGAGGTCTTTCTCGGAGTGCCCAATTCTGTAGTACCTAAACGAGTTGTTTAATTAACGAAGTCAACACGCCATGTTTCTAGCATTTCATCCGCAAATTGTTCACTTGTGTCCCCTCTCCCTACCTCCCACCAAAGTCGTCAATTTATCAGGTCAACTCACCTTGGTCGTCCCGTGATAGCGAGCCACTCTTCCAGTCGTTGGAGGTAGCGCCGGAACTCCTTCATATCTTGAAATATCTGCTTCTTTCTGTCCCCGGTTTGACTGGCACTGCGTCCCCTCTCCCCGAGAATCGCATCGAGGTTCAACCGGGCGCGTTGGGCGTCAACTCGAGCCACAAATGGCGGCATCAAACACACCAAGCACAGCAGCACAAACCACGACATCGGCCTGGAAGCCACGCTCACGAAGGTGCTCGTTTCTGCCTTGAAATATCACCGAAAAGTGTGAGATTAGTGATATCTGATTACTGCCAAACTGGCGAGTCTACAGGAGTGTATTTTTTATTTGGAATGTTGAATTATTTAGGGCTGTGCCAAATGCCCCTCCCATTCTGTTCCGGTGACGCTAAATTGGCAGCTACGACCAATCCACAACAGTAGATAATGTCAATCCGTCACGCTAGGTTGAGTAGTGCATTATGTGGGTTACTTGGGAAGCCAATTGCACCTCAGTTTGGCATAAAAACTGGGTTCCCCACTAAAGACCAACTTCAAAACGGACTCCGACCTGGTCCAAATCTTGTCGCAGACAAAGTCTTGCACTTCTGAGCAGAGGAACGAACGTCACCAGCCTTAGACGCCGGACGAACGAGACCCCTAAGGCCATCAGCAGCTGAAGAAGCATTTCGGCGACTCATGTAAGGTATTTCGCACGCGTTTCTACGGATCTGCAGGTCCTTAAAACTAAAGCGAACCACGGACCATTCCTAACCAATAAGAAACGATTGCTCTGAGAAATGGTGTTTCCGTGCAGGACTTTAAAGCCATGTCGTGTGGGCATCTCGAAATTTGGAAATCGTGAGCCGCCTCGTGGATATATGACAGTGGAACATTTTGAATACACACCCTCAGATACTTTCGTCCCGGTTTAATATATTCCCCACCCTCCAGTCGGTTCATTAGTGGAATTCCAAGCAACAATGATAGCCTTGCCCACTTGTTGTCCTTAACTGTCCATCTCCACTCCATCGGTCAATTATTTCTGATTGGCGCATCGATGAAGGCACTTCATCAAAGCGAAATTTGTTATTCTGGCCCTGCTACCAAAGAGGCTGTCGTGAATCCAGTTTATTCACCCCCCTAATCCGGTCGCTCCACCTCCTACACAGGGTTCCCCTTGTCGCAGCATGTCGCCAGCCTCTCGCATCCTCAACTCCCCCTTCATTAGCCCGAATATTTATCTTGGAGTGTCCCCACGCATAGGTCTCGATGTTACCGCATGTATGGCTCACACATCCGAGCAATAAGTACATACGTGCAAACTCCACACTCGACACAACGACACCAGTTTTGGTTGACCTCTGAAGTAAACGATTGTGGCCCGTCCTCTCCAGTCTCTCCCCTCATCTCGGGCATCAGACAAGCGTAATCGGGCCAGGGTTAATTCCGTGGCCCCGGCATGGTTCAAGACCACATGCTGGGGCCCACAACAAGGCTAATAACTACCGACACCCAATTTAGGCCCAAATCAAAGGTCAAGGTTTGGTCCACGTACCTCAAATTTCTAGCGCTCACACAGAGAGATCATGTCATCACGCAGTGCTTTGAGAAAGGGAATGCAATCAAAAGACTAAAATGCCGCCTTGTATCATCTTGAGTTGCTCTGCTACTTTGAGCAATAAAAAACACTTTTATGCTTGCTATTTTGAGAAATGAAGCTTTGTGCATGTTTAAGGAAGAAGAGATGTCCAAGGCCCCACACGCAACTGGGATTTGCCAGAAGAAACGACGGGAAACTCAGTTTGTGCGTGTGTGGTTGACATGCAGCCTTTTCATTGTCACCTCTTACCGAACAATGGAACAATTCTCCAAGTATTCTGACCTACAGGGGGGGGGTTCATGTTTGTACCTTTCACCCTCAATTAACCAATGGGCAGCACCGCCAGATGTAGGTATCAAAGACATAAAAGTCTAAGAACAAAAAAGCTGGCGTGTACCCACATGGAAAATCACTTCAGGAAAGGAAGACATTGCGTCTGTCAAAAAGTGGAAGTGTGAATTGGATTTCCAGGTGTGGGTAGAGTGTTACCAACTCTCAAACCCACCGCTGTATCGACGAAATAGGTGCCACAAGGGTGTCTGAATTGACGGAAGTTCAAACTAATTTGGGTATTACTGTCTAATCTCTGAGCTGTACTCACTGATGCGTGTGACATTTACGTGTTATTTTGGTATAACCTTTTGTTTTACTACATTGGTTTTGTTGGAACACTAATCAAACTACCCACAAGCAGTACAGCTCTACTTACTGTCGTAATATTTTTTTGTTTTAGAGAACACAAATGCAATTTATGAACGTTCCGAGATGACGTTGATGTTCTACGGTTCCGGCTAGTCTGTTGTGTAGTGCTTAAGCGGTTGGTGGTTACAATGCGTACTGTGAAAATGCGGGCATTTTGATTAAAACTACATCCCAGGCAAGGAAAACGCGTCTGATTGTACACGATGCGCCTGCGTTTAGGACTGATAATCTGTACTTAGGTTCAAGTGTACCGGTGGGTGATCTATTTCGACTTCAAAAATGCCTCAAACATCATATTTTGTCCGCACAATGACCTCCAGAGGCACCAACTATTTAAATCAAAGCATTTTGAGATTCCAGTCTGCCAAGTAACGCGGACTGTGGTGTAGGAAATTAATAATCTACTTCAGTGTCACACGCTGATACTCAACGCAGATTGATTCAATCGTTTTAATGTTAAGAATCCACCACTGCCATGGTGAGAATATTTGATTCGGGAGTCAAGGCATCCCGTAAGATGAGGCGAATGACTGATTAAAAAACTAGTCGTTCGTCTTTCCAAATGTATAAAATGCCAAACCTCTAATGGCTGAGTGTTTGCAGGCAATTTTAGGCCTTGAAAGTGATCTGGGTGCTGTGTTGTGTTTTACTTGATTGATCAAGCTTAGAACTAGTCGAACGTCACTGATCAATGAGCTTTAAGGGGCACAAATTGGTGCTCATGCCTTTTTAGTGCTGTTTTCTCATGATAAGACGGACCTTTCTCATTTTCCCTTACACCTAAACAGTAAAATTTGATGAAATCGTGTCCTATAACTCAAACGACGTCCAAAGAGTCGATATTTAGTGTGTTAAGGTGGTATTATCCACCACCTTAGAGGTTTTGTGTGTGCAAAAATTGACAAAATGAGTTTAAGACCGGACATGCTTTGAGTTTAACACTTAATTTGCGTTTATTCCATGTAAAACATCATCGTAAATCCAGCACAAGCATCTGATTACTCCGTGTGTCCGTCCAAAAGCCAGAACACCACACATTACAGTTAGGTCCACGCAAAATTGATTATTTGACGAGATTCCTGTCTACACGATGATTCCAGACGTCTGGTGACCTACATTTCGGCTGCCAGACTAAGGAAGGTTGCTCGCCAATTGAAGACTACACGGTTACATGAACTATTTAACTTGAAATCACTGGCAATTTTCATTTCTAGGCCTAAGACAGAGGCTACTCATGGTCCAGGTGTACAAGTCATTTGGCAGCAGACACCAACGGGACTAGTCGTTTCAAACTGATTAAGTGTTGATCTTTCAGGCTAAAACGATGTAGTTCAAAGCACAAAAACAATGCCAACAAGTTGGACAAAAATTGACTCGAAATTAAAGACCTTGTGGTGAAAAATGCCGTTGCATTGTCTCATTAGTTTAACATTCTAAAATTTTCACCGCACATCAAATACTGAACAAAATATTTTATAACTTAGATCACCAGAGTTTGAATAATGAGTCATCTATTTACGTTCCTGAAACGAATATTTGTGTGACAACAATAAAATAAACGCAGGAAAGGATTCGATAAAGTATTGAGACCGTGTACGACAAATATGAGCATTCACTTAAGTAAAATAGGTGATTGTGTATGTTAAAAAGGGCCACACTAACCATCGGGAAGTAGAGAGAGAGAGAGAGTCCAGAAGAAGAGTTTGGTTAGGAATATTAGTGAGTTATATGTTGAAGTATTTACCCCTTCACCTCTCTGCTCATTCGTCAGACCTCACCTTTGACTCACACTCGACCAATGAGCAACGACCGGAGGAGTAGACTGACATAGCGTCCAATAGGCTTTCACGGACAAATTGGTGTTGGATATCACCACACTGCTAATTGTGCCAAATCTGGTGCGCTGAAAAGTGGGCGGGCTTTTGTAAGTTGCCCCTGTGCGTGTCGTGGCAGCAAATAATTGATGAAAGTTTAACACCAACAGCGGCATTTATTGTTCAAAAAAAATTTCAAACAAGCCGCCAGCAACCTCATCCCCGCAAATTAATGACTCCTCAATAAAGTTAATTAAATTTGCGCTAACAGCGCGCCACACACACAAATTTTGAGCCTTTAGAGTGACTCTAATTTTTAAGTCGGATTCTTCCAAATCTGTAAACGATTATTTTTTCCCGACATAAAAATTTTGTTGAAAAACTGAGCGTTGAAGCATCACCATATAAATGGATTATAAGAAATTGAAGGACATACAAATGACCCGCATTACCTTGCAAATAACGCGCATGCCTCAATCAGACTTCCCGCCAAATTTAGCATTTCAAAAAATCGATTAACCCGCAATGTAGTCATATTGAGACTAATCTGATTGGTTAAGATTCCAGGTTTATCTACGGGTCGGAAGCTAAAAAACAAATGTTACAAGGACAAATTTTAAAATGTGATAAAATAATCCATTTACTAGAAACGTTATATACTACAGTTTATCATCAAGTGCGCAATTTGATTGGTTTAATCCAGAGTATTCCTGAAAATGCCACTTGCAAATTCATTTCCTACAATTTCAAATAAATTCACGATTTTTATGCACAATTCTTCTCGGCCATCTAACGAAGATGATAAGTGTGCCCTTACTTGCATAATAAATCTGAGGAGTGACTGGTAGGAGTTACCGGTTGTACAGTAAGGCTTCCTAAATAGAGTTGGTGTCAATCAACAGTAGGATTTCTTCCTCAGAATGAAAAAAAAACAAATGTTGTTTTGTCCCAATTTGTTCTAAAAATGCTTTATTTATCAGTCAGCTAAAACAAAAGAAAAAGGCTGATTTTGATGACAGTGAAACAAAACAAGACGCAGACAATGCAAAGTCTGTTTAGATAAAATCAAATTGACTTAGCGTCGTCTTTCCAGACAAAACATTCTTTTCCGAAGATAGAGGACATGTTTTTGTCAACGATGGCCAGGGGAGATGTGTTGCTATAATCGCGACAATTGGAAAGCGGGCAATTATGAAGACTGTTTGGTAAAAGTACGTCATAAATGCGGCCTCTTGCAACCTAGTCAGAAGGATTTCAGATTCACGGAACAGCAATTGCCCGGTGTTTCACCTCTAAGTACAACGGAAATGACAAATATTATCTGGGTTAACCTGGATAAGGTGGGAGGTACACCCGCGGGGTTGTGTAGACAGACGTTTGTGCAGGATCATCTTGAAAGGGGGAGCTCTGGAGTCTGAGTATGCGATGACCGGGTTAATGGACATGAACCAACACGCTTCAGAATCAACGCCCACCGTCGGTTGTCTTGACACTTCAGCAGTTGACTCACTTCCAATAATTCATGCGGCTTCTCTAGCCTCCACCCACTCAGCGACCCAATCACCTGTCCGAACACGTCTGA